GAAAATTTGCCTATTTATACAGTGTTTACAGTGTTAAGGCTACATCTTCCAAACCAATAGAGCATGTGTAGGCATCCATTCTATAAGCACACAAAATATGTAATTTGTAAGGTAGCATGCTGTCATTTAAAAATATCTTTAATATGATATGAATTTGTATAAATGCTTGCCTCAGCAAAGTAAAAATTGAAATTAGTTTGTCAGTAGATCTGGTTATTGCCCTTTGTTTCTCTCAGCATTTCAGTGTTACCTGAAGATCTTCTTCCTCAATTTTTCACCATTTTCTTTGAAAGTTGGAGGGATTTATAACTAGTACGGGAAATCAGTTTCATATTTACTATTTGATTCAAGAATTTTCAGAGTTTTTGCCCTATAAAACTTTGTAGGCTTTATGACTGTGATTGTGAAGTTTTATTTTACTGAATGGCATTTTGATTCAACAGTATTCAGTAGAGTTATATAATGCCATTTGTTTTTGCAGGATTTCAGTCTTGTCCGGGGACATCATCTCTCAGTATAGGACGGATTTTGTTTGCTTTTCTCCTTAACACTGGCTTTAATAGTGTTACTTTCCTTTGTTCCTTTTGTGTTTTTTTTCCTGTTTGGAGATCCTCTCCCTCAGATTTAAAAAAATTTCTTCCAAATTTTGTTTGTTAAAAATGACAAAAATTTGTGCTTTTTTTGTTAACAGAATTATTGTTACATTTCCATTTTTTTTTATTTTCCTACAATAATGGTATATTGTTCAACCCTGTAGTACTCTTGTTGTTCTAAATATTATTTACACTGTAACATTAAATGTCCGACATCCTGACAGAGTAAACGTAGTGTATATGTCTCACTCAGTTAGACACTAAACTGTTAGTTTAGATTGACCATGACCTGGAACAGTTAGACCTAAGAGAGTAATGTATGTTTATTTCCTGGTAAGCCTTTGTGTATGTCCTACAGTTTGAGAAATATCTGATATGATATACTTGTATATAGATATTACTTATATTCTGGGGTGAAAAATTTCCCTATACTTAAGTAAAATTTCAACTCGGATATTAGGAACCCTTTTTGCTTGTCTCGAAATTGCGATATCATTTACTACACCTGTACTAATTGTATATGTTTGTCATATGACATAGAAGATATTAAATTATCTCCCTTTGAATAGTTTATATTTATGTCATATGACATAGAAGATATTAAATTATCTCCCTTTGAATAGTTTATATTTATGTCATATGACATAGAAGATATTAAATTATCTCCCTTTGAATAGTTTGTATTTATCACACTTATATCTCTGACACTTTTTACAATTGTGGTACAGCTGTTGTTTGCATGGTCTTATCATAATCTGGGCTGATAAACATGTTTTTGCCAAACCCAGCTGACGACTTGATAAGCCATGGTTGATGATCAAATCACCTGGATTAATTATGGTATCATCATACTCTTCTGTTTACTGCACAGAAGACAGCGTCAGATAATAACTGACAATGATCAGATATCAGTGAAAAGTAGAAAGAGTTTTGAATTTGCTTGCTGTCAATATAGCTAGAGAAATAAAATCGAAGAGGAAGAAAGATTTAAAGACATTGATGAGAAAGTAATGACTATGTTTGTAGAAAATATGAAGAATGGAAACACAATACAAAAAACAAAAACTAGACCCCGTATACTTTAAGAACAACATTAGCATCAGATTCCTTCCTTTCAGGGCTAACATTTCAGGAAAGATTAACTTTGTATCACCACCTCAGCCAAAAATAGAGTAAGGGTGATAGGGTGATGTAGTATGATAGTGATTAAAGTATATTTTTTAATTAGAATATAGAAAATGTCACTATGTTTTGTTTATAATCGATAATGTTGATAAAATTAAATTGGTGAATTGTTCAATTACTTTATTTTTTATTAATTTGTTGTGTGATGATATCACTCTATATATCAGCACTCAAGCCTTTTGATCGTTTTTTAGAGAGCAATCATCAGTTTCACTGATACTCTTGTCTTAGTGGGAAGTTATTTATTGAGGAGATTATAACTTGAAAGTTTGATAGTATGAAAGGCTTGTGGTTCTAGGACAAAATATGGGTAAAATTGATAAAATTTCAACTAAGTCTTCTTTAGACCATGACATGCATAAATCTATGAATTTATTAGACCATGATATTGGAGATATATGAAGTGGTACACCATGGTTTATTGATACAGAGACATGTAGCTTTATACAACGCCATATGTTAGCAAAAACATTTGATATAATAACCATTACATAGGAACTTATATCAGCATTGAATTGATTTCAGTTGGCATTCATATGCAATATGAATGCCAATGGGACAAAGGTAAATTTCATGAAGCATACTGTCAATAGCCTCGTATGGACAAGCTCATCATGTTTGTGTGTATGCATTAACGATACATCAAAATTTCTTGTAATGGACGATCAAATCTACTTATCTCCCTAGTTGTAATGTTCAATGATAGTTACATGTGGTGCAAATGTTTTCTGGGCACTTGTATGCACTTTGATAACCCTCTTATAATAAGTGTGTATGATTTAATATGATCTGAGAACAGTAAACAGTTAATTAAAACAACAAGAAAAACACTTCAATATATAAGTTGGCTGTAATTCACTTAAACCAATACTAAATAGGATAACAACCACAAAATAAATACTAGCTGAATTTTTAAATTGTAAACATTTTTGCCTAAGGCCTCTACGTGAGCTGCCACTACAAATCAACATAAAACAACAGCTAGACGGTACATATTTAAGAATTAGCTAATAAGTATGGGCCTTAATCAAATAACTGATGCTATGTAGTACCTACAGTTAGACTTGTTATCCATAACTATTGCTTTAAAAATTATCATCACACATGTGTTTCTATACTTGGACCTTTGTTGGCCTATAGGATGTGTTTCTGTATTGGGACCTTTGGATAGCCTATAGGATGTGCTTCTGTATTGGGACCTTTGATGGCCTATAGGATGTGTTTCTGTTCTTGGACCTTTGTTGGCCTATAGGATGTGTTTCTGTTCTTGGACCTTTGTTGGCCTATAGGATGTGTTTCTGTATTGGGACCTTTGGATAGCCTATAGGATGTGTTTCTGTTCTTGGACCTTTGTTGGCCTATAGGATGTGTTTCTGTATTGGGACCTTTGGATAGCCTATAGGATGTGTTTCTGTTCTTGGACCTTTGTTGGCCTATAGGATGTGTTTCTGTTCTTGGATCTTTGGATAGCCTATAGGATGTGTTTCTGTTCTTGGACATTTGTTGGCCTATAGGATGTGTTTCTGTATTGGGACCTTTGGATAGCCTATAGGATGTGTTTCTGTATTGGGACCTTTGGATAGCCTATAGGATGTGTTTCTGTATTGGGACCTTTGGATAGCCTATAGGATGTGTTTCTGTATTGGGACCTTTGGATAGCCTATAGGATGTGTTTCTGTATTGGGACCTTTGGATAGCCTATAGGATGTGTTTCTGTTCTTGGATCTTTGTTGGCCTATAGGATGTGTTTCTGTATTGGGACCTTTGGATAGCCTATAGGATGTGTTTCTTTTCTTGGACCTTTGTTGGCCTATAGGATGTGTTTCTGTTCTTGGATCTTTGGATAGCCTATAGGATGTGTTTCTGTTCTTGGACCTTTGTTGGCCTATAGGATGTGTTTCTGTATTGGGACCTTTGGATAGCCTATAGGATGTGTTTCTGTATTGGGACCTTTGGATAGCCTATAGGATGTGTTTCTGTATTGGGACCTTTGGATAGCCTATAGGATGTGTTTCTGTATTGGGACCTTTGGATAGCCTATAGGATGTGTTTCTGTATTGGGACCTTTGGATAGCCTATAGGATGTGTTTCTGTATTGGGACCTTTGAATAGCCTATAGGATGTGTTTCTGTATTGGGACCTTTGGATAGCCTATAGGATGTGTTTCTGTATTGGGACCTTTGGATAGCCTATAGGATGTGTTTCTGTATTGGGACCTTTGGATAGCCTATAGGATGTGTTTCTGTATTGGGACCTTTGGATAGCCTATAGGATGTGTTTCTGTATTGGGACCTTTGGATAGCCTATAGGATGTGTTTCTGTTCTTTCTGTACTGTATTGGACCTTTGGATAGCCTATAGGATGTGTTTCTGTTCTTGGACCTTTGTTGGCCTATAGGATGTGTTTCTGTTCTTGGATCTTTGGATAGCCTATAGGATGTGTTTCTGTTCTTGGACCTTTGTTGGCCTATAGGATGTGTTTCTGTATTGGGACCTTTGGATAGCCTATAGGATGTGTTTCTGTATTGGGACCTTTGAATAGCCTATAGGATGTGTTTCTGTATTGGGACCTTTGGATAGCCTATAGGATGTGTTTCTGTATTGGGACCTTTGGATAGCCTATAGGATGTGTTTCTGTATTGGGACCTTTGAATAGCCTATAGGATGTGTTTCTGTATTGGGACCTTTGGATAGCCTATAGGATGTGTTTCTGTATTGGGACCTTTGGATAGCCTATAGGATGTGTTTCTGTATTGGGACCTTTGGATAGCCTATAGGATGTGTTTCTGTATTGGGACCTTTGGATAGCCTATAGGATGTGTTTCTGTATTGGGACCTTTGGATAGCCTATAGGATGTGTTTCTGTATTGGGACCTTTGGATAGCCTATAGGATGTGTTTCTGTATTGGGACCTTTGGATAGCCTATAGGATGTTTTTTTCTGGTCATGGATCTTAGGTTTGCCTATGGAATGTGTTTCTCCCGTGGACTTTGGATGGCCTATAAGATGTGTTTCTGTCCTTTGACCTGTGTTGACCTATAGGATGTGTTTCTGTACATGGACCTTTGTAGGCCTTTATGATACGTTTCTCTCCATGGACCTTTGGTTGACCTAGCTGTCAGACATGTGTCTGTCTTTAGACCTATGCCCATTTTTGTCTAACGTTCAGGCTGTTCCTGACCTCTAGCATCACTCATGACATTTTTTTTTTTTTGTTTTCCAGAAAGCACTGGAAGCTTCATCATCCAATGACAACAGCAGTTGTTCTGATTCCATGGAAAGCGGTGATGAGACATCCCGTGGAAACTGGTCTGGGCGACTGGATTTCTTCCTATCCTGTGTGGGATATGCTGTTGGACTAGGAAATATATGGAGGTTTCCCTACCTATGCTACAAAAGTGGTGGAGGTTTGTGTGATAACACTACACTTGTAGGTTTTAACCATTAAAAAACCAAAATTTACTTTCTCAAGGTATAAAAATGTATAACATTATCACAGTAATATCACCTTTCCCTGTCAGATTTGTTTCAAATGATAAAATATAGCTTTGACTAATTGAGTTCTTTCAGTCAATTTTGATTTTCCTCGGTCACCTAATAGTTTTCAAAGCCCCTAACATCACTGACAAGTCGTATAATGATAAAACAGTAGTATGGTGCTGTTTAATACATTTAGTTCTACTGAATCTAAGTTTGTATAAGAATCAGCTAATTAACATGTAAACATATGTATATTGAAATGAATATGTAAGGAACAATTTTAATTTATATTTATGAAATTGAGGAGCAAACTCTGATAAAAAGTTGTACATTAAGACAAGTACAGGTGTTAAAAGTCCCAGTGACATAGGCCAATGTGTAAAGATTATACGTTACATGCCCTATAATTTAAGTTGCTACAGGTGTGTAGGTGTGGAGGCACTTGTAGTGAACAACTCACTATTATACAATTTATTCTAAAGCTTATGATGGATCACGAGAACATCGAATCACAATACTTTTGATATGAAGTTTTGTTCCATAACTGTAGGATATTTATCCTTGTTTCTGCTCTATTCAGATCAAACGAAGTACCTTTGCCATGTTTCTCTTTCACTGCCTGACTAATGTTGTGATTATCAGAAAAAAAGGCCAACAGATGACTAACATGCTCTTATCTATAAATCGTAGACACTGATTCTAAGTTAGGGTTGTCGTGTGGCACAATGGTAATGCAGTTGCCTTTCACCTCGTCTTCTGCAGTTTAAATCCCAGAATGGAGGTTAAAAGGTATTGGGTCACCTGCCCGACCAAGTGGGTTTTCCACAGGTACTCCAGTATCCTTACACTGTAAGACCCCTCACATGCTTACATCCAGGCCAACAAGAGTGATTCATATAAGTTGATAGCTTGTTTCGTGATTGTAGTAAAATGATTACAAGGAAATATTCATATTTTAAGCTAGGAAAGGTTGCCCATGTGTCTTGGCAGTCTCAATTAATTTAATATCTTGATAAGCAAAAACAACCTCCAAACTGATAACAACTTTTTCCAACAGTCAGATTAATCTGATGTAAAGTCAACATAATGAAGGTGTGTGTGCAAAAGCTGTCATGTAAACACATAATGTATCACCCACTGAAAAGTAAAAAATTAAGAAAGATCTGTCAAGCATTTTGTAAGAAATTGTAAAATCAAGATAATGAATGAATGGACTAAATTAGACTCAGACAACAAACTGTTGAAGAAAGCAATTTGAAAGGCCAATCGAAGAAACATTGTTTACACAGAAGTTTCATTGGAATCACGTCTTTCTTCAGCAGCACAGTGATGTTTGTATGGTGGTTGATTTATGGTGCAATAATTAACGAGAAGTACTGTATCATTTAAACACTGTTTTTTGGAAACAGAAAAGGAAAACAAAAACAAAAAACAAGAGGAACCTTATGTAAATTTGCGAAAAAAAACAAAGTTGAAGTGACGCATTAAGATAAATATGGTTCATGTTGAGGAGCAACAGAATGACGGTGCTTTGTAAGACCAAGTATGTTGGGTCACGATTTATGTGTTCAGTATTTCATCTGTACAACATACATTTGAGATGAAATGAAGCCCACCAATCATGGTAGTGCAATTAGAGAGATACCGTAATTTCCGACTATAAGATGCAGCTTTTTTCCTCTGCGGTCAAGTATGCGGCTTATATACCAATGCGGCTTATAGAAATTGCCAGTATGCTATATCAACGAACTTTGGTCAGTATAATGGTTTCCACTTCATAAGAAAGGCTTATATTCCAGTGCGGCTTATATGTGGATCAAATCGGAAAAATCGTTAAAAATTAGTTCTGCGGAAAGTTGGGTACCTATTGTTCTTATAGTATATATCTCATGAGATAAAAGTATATAGATTTTTTTTTATCTTAACTTCCTTTTATATAATGCTATTTCCTCTCCCAAAAAAACTTTCTGAGTTAGGTAGGCATTTAATGCTTCCTTATGTATATATTTCAATATACGTATACATTAGCAGCTTGTTGTAAGAACTCTCTCAAAAGGTGCTATTACTTTGTGTGTTTTTCGTACAATCAAAGAAGTTTTAATCAGTACATTTGTTTTCACTGGCACCTAAATATCCCATTTTTAACTGTAACTTTACTAGTGTTGGGAGTTGGTGTGATCAAGCAGGATTTAACCTTAACTGTAGCTGACAAACTATAATTGAGAAAAAGTTACATGCTTTCAGGACCGGCACTTTTAAAATGAAAATATGACACAGACAAATCAAGACATCCAGGTTTTGACACCAGATGCTGCAAAATATGCATATAACAAAATTAGCTTGTTCATATAGTCAGATGCTGACCTTTACTGTTATGTTACTGCAGATTCTCTTGTTATACATGTCTGTGTATGAATGTTATAACATCCTACAGACAAGATCGATGTTGATCCCTTAAGGCATGATGGGCAATTCTTACACAGATGTCATTCCTAAATTAATAATCAATTAAATTCATTAATTATCACATTGATTTTTTTGTGATTTTGATGTTTTACAGGTGCCTTTATGATACCATATGTGATATTCCTGTTTCTTTGTGGAATTCCAATGGTTTTCTTGGAAGTCTCATTTGGGCAATTTGCCAGTCTGAGTCCGGTCACCATATGGAGAATTTGTCCTCTATTCAAAGGTAAGCTGTAACACACTGTCACAGTTTGTGTGTTCCTTTCACATGATTTTAAACAACATATAGATGGCAAAAGTAATAACAGGCTAGTCATGTCCTGTCCGATATTCTGTCATAGGGTATTCAATAATCTACTTCTCAGGACCCAGATATGGTGTAATCAAATACTTTCCATAGATGGATGAGTCTTCAGATGCTTGAAAAAAATGGTAAATTTCGAGGAGAGGGATTAAAATTTGTTATTATCAAAGTAGGAAAATCAAAACAAGTGTGTTTAGTTTAATTTCCATTGAAATTCTAAAATGTTTTAAACTTGGTTAAAGTTATAAATATAGGATGACAATTTAGTGATAGTTACATTATGATGCTGAGTTAACCACAGTTAGTCACAGGGTAAAAGAGAGAAAATTTTCTTAAAGCTCTTCCTAAATCCTTAGGTTGCTGAAATCAATTGCACTTCATTTCTTAATTAGTATACAAGATATTTAATAGGGCATTTGTTTTTACAGCTTCCACTTAAAGGAGCATGACCCTAATCAGATATGATATTCTTTGTGAAGGCATGCCTTTTTCTGCATTTGCATTATATGTAATTGAAATGAGTCTTATAAAATCAGATATGAAATGGAACAAATTTAAATCCCTTTTCATCAGTGATCTTCATTATATATTCCTGTTCAAAATCAGTTATTGTATTTAGAACTTGTTGATGTCATCACCTGGACTCTGTATTAAGGTTTTTGTTTTGTTGTATGTGTGGGATACTGGATGGTCAACATCATCAGCACCTGGACGCTGTATAAGATTGTTACTTTGTTGTAGGTGTGGGGTATGGAATGGTTATTGTGTCTGGTATTGTCTGTGTGTATTACAGCATCATCATCACCTGGACTCTTTATAAGATCGTTACTTTGTTGTAGGTGTGGGGTACGGAATGGTTATTGTGTCCGGTATTGTCTGTGTGTATTACAACATCATCATCACCTGGACTCTTTATAAGAATGTTATTTTGTTGTAGGTGTCCGGTATTGTCTGTGTGAATTACAACATCATCATCACCTGGACTCTTTATAAGATCGTTATTTTGTTGTAGGTGCCCAGTATTGTCTGTGTGTATTACAACATCATCATCACCTGGACTCTTTATAAGATCGTTACTTTGTTGTAGGTGTGGGGTACGGAATGGTTATTGTGTCCGGTATTGTCTGTGTGTATTACAACATCATCATCACCTGGACTCTCTATTACCTGTACCACTCCCTACGTTTAGTGCTGCCCTGGAGTCAGTGTCACAATTGGTGGAACACTGAACATTGTTATCTACGAACGAATGCCAATACGACTGGTTCATCCACTGCTAATTTGTCTACAGCAACAGAACTTCTAAACAACTTAACTTACAACGTAACTACTGCAGCAACGGTTGCCTTAAAAACATCAGAAAATGTGTCCAAAAAAACTGCAAGCGAAGAATTTTGGCAGTAAGTTATCTAACATATCAATCTGTATTTAAACTATGACTACAAATTATTTGTCTGGTGATATCTTATCACTTCTGAGAAAATTGGAATTTGTTTTTGCAGAATATTTTCCTTTTTATCTGTTAGCCAATATCATTCAGCAATAGTCACTGTGCAGAGTCATATTCTCATCTTAATGAATGTCAGTTTCTGTAGAAATACCATCAAATGCCATATTGTTGTCCTGTAATGAGCCTGTATATTTTGGTATTTACTATCATCTGCTACTTCAATTTTCATTTCACACCCTCTATACACTCCATGTCTCTGGCTTTATATTAGAGAAGGTTTCTCTGTTTTGCTACTTAACAAAATTGCCAAAAAATAGATCCTTGGAAAATTGAATTGATATAGAAGAAAAAAACACTATTCCATGTTATACACATCCTTGTTGATTCTAGCCTTTGGTAAAATTGCAACAATTTGAGTCATCAAAGAAAATAGTTTTACCTATCCTGCATAAAAATCAGAAATTTGATTTTTTTTGTTTATTGATTTTGTACAGACGTGGAGTTTTACAGCTGTCTGATGGTATAGAGGATATGGGGGATCTCCGCTGGGATCTCCTCATCTGTCTCTTTGTTGCCTGGGTTGTGGTCTTCCTGTGTTTATGTAAAGGAATCAAGACATCTGGTAAAGTAGGTACATTTTAAGTTATTAACACATCGGAAACTCAAAATATTTGTAATTAGTGTTGGGAGTTGGTGTAATTGAGCATGCTTTACCCTTAATTAATCAGTGATCGATTTACAATGGTTTAAACACATCAAGAAAATTATAATTTTTATAGGGAGAAGATAAGTAATGCTGATCGGCTGAAATTCAATGTTGTTTGGTAATTTTCCAATGTGACACACTGTTGTCATTACTTGTGGTCTAAGTAATGTGCAAAAAGAAATTATTATACTCCAAACTGTTATGTAATGTTATGTAATCGCTACTATACTACATGTGTATATGATCTTAACAGCATGATGGATTACAATATTTTAGCTTCATATCTAGTTATATATCGGCTTTGTTTGTTATGTGAAGTAATTTAGATATTTATGCTGCATCTGTCTGACAGTCTATGTCAACATACGCACATTCATAAATCACACTGACAGCACATTAAGTGTTAATATGTGCTGAAGATCTTCATTGTTTATCATGTATCAGCCTTGGTAATGCCCTGTCTTTCTTGTCAAGCCTACAACACTTCCTTACATTTCTCAGTCTCTATTTCCTGGAGACATGGCGAGACACCGACCATCATTTTGATAAGTTACTCAGTTAATTTAATGAAATAAACTAGACTTAAAATTAAGAGTGAACTTACTTTATCATTTAAAGATTGACAAGGTAGGCATCCAATGAACGTACACAAGTGATGATGCTGATTTAATGGCTAGAAATATTAATTTTTTTGAGAATTCTGCTTCATATCAAAGAGATCATTGAATTTTGATATGAACTGTCAGACAGAAAATGGCATATGTAGTGTTGAAGAAGTCAAAAGACAATGACCAGTGCCATCACATCAAATATCAGGGTCAATTTCCTTTATCTTTGACAGAATAATATCCTCTCAACCCTGAACGCCTCCTCCAACAACCCCCATCCCCAATGCCTTCCTGAGGGGAAAGATGATTAAATGATTAAATATTAGCCAAACGCAAGGCTGGCAGAGTTTAAACATCTTTTCCCCAGGGTTGAGACCACCCTGTCTCGACAACAAGGGGGCGAATTATACAATGATTCTCTATAAGGAAGACATACACACAGGAGATACACTGTAATTCTCAAACAGGAACACAAACACACAGGATATATACAGTGATTCTCTACCAGGAACACAAACACTGGAGATATACTGTGATTCTCTACCAGGAACACAAACACACAGGAGATATACAGTGATTCTCTACCAGGAACACAAACACACAGGAGATATACAGTGATTCTCTACCAGGAACACAAACACACGGGAGATACAGTGATTCTCTACCAGGAACACAAACACACGGGAGATATACAGTGATTCTCTACCAGGAACACAAACACACTGGAGATATACAGTGATTCTCTACCAGGAACACAAACACACAGGAGATATACAGTGATTCTCTACCAGGAACACAAACACACAGGAGATATAAAGTGATTCTCTACCAGGAACACAAACACACAGGAGATATACAGTGATTCTCTACCAGGAACACAAACACACAGGAGATATACAGTGATTCTCTACCAGGAACACAAACACACGGGAGATATACAGTGATTCTCTACCAGGAACACAAACACACAGGAGATATACAGTGATTCTCTACCAGGAACACAAACACACAGGAGATATACAGTGATTCTCTACCAGGAACACAAACACACAGGGGATATACAGTGATTCTCTACCAGGAACACAAACACATTGATACAAATGTATACAGTCATTCTCAACAGGAAGTATGAACACACACAATAGTACTAATAGTGGGATTAAACAAGCTTTTCATAATTAATAATTTCCTGTTCACTGTAGGTGCTCTGTTTATAAAGGTCAGCATATACATCTTAACAAGTTGTGTTTAAATCATTTATTAGCCATAAAAGTAACATCTGTGAAAGTATTATGCATGTTGGGCCATAATTATATTTGCTAATGATACAGCAATCAACACAATGCTCACCTTAATGAAAGCAGGGAATATACTTACATTTGACCTTTGACCTTGTGACCTCATAAAGGAAATATATCCCATTTAGCCATATTTGTTTCCAGGTGTACATACATGAGAAAACATGTAATGAAATCATGTAGTTCTGGTTTGTTGTGATGTTTTAAAATGAAATATCACTGGTTTACAAATGTTACTAAATTATGTCCCTTATATACATAATCTGTTAAATGTTTCCTTTTATTTATTATCAAACTCAAGCAGTCTCTCTTATGGAAAAAAAAACCGTCAATATTCAGTAAAACATTATGAGACGAAAGGCGAAAATTTTTTAAAAGGAAATGTCAGATAAAAATATATATACAAAATGAAAATTGCAGAACAATTTTGCGCTAGCTTTCAGCAAGTTGATATATGGGAAGTCTTAATGTAGGGATCAGGAAATGTGCTTGATCTAAAATGTGTTATCACTAAGTTACATAATCAACAAAGCCTTGTTTTCATACGTACACATGGTCTGTTGAGAGCTACCGTAAAGATCCCTTAATAAACCCTGTCATATATCCATTGATCTATTATCATTACAGTACGTTGTTTGTTGTTAAAAAAGTGATCTTACACATACAATGAACAGTACGTGTGTTATATTGAATGTTAATATATCCATATATTCAGCATGATGCCCTTGCCTTGTAATAAGCCCACCTATATCTGTTTCTGTTTAGAAGAATTACCAACCAATGCTGATACTGTTGTCCTGAAATAAGCCCACCCTTGACTTTCTGTTAGGCTTGTTGCACAATAAATGCAGTAACTATTTATAAGTTAGTCTCAGCAATAATTTTAAAAAGTCCAGAAAGTTAATTGATGTTATGTGGGACTGTCTTCTGTTTACAAACAGCACATGAAAATTATTTCAATTTAGATGTTTAAATTAAATGTACACACTAAATGTCATGACATTTTTTCACTCACAAACAAAATAAACAAGGAAATATTTGTTGAAAACTGAGTCAACGGACAGATCATGCCCATGCACATTTGATACACTCAATATATTTCTGGTGTTGAGTGGAGGCATGGGACAGCTTAGGTCAAAGGTCACAAGATCTAGCTGTTACTAAAAATACCACTTCAGTTTACATTTAATTATGTTCTGATCATGACCATGGTGGTTACATAGGTTAGGTAAGTGGACAGGATGCAGCTAATAGATTTCTTTTCAATTTGTAGGTCAGAGGTCAAATGATTCATTACTGAGAATATAATAACTGTTAAATTTTCATTTCCGTATTTTAGATTCTGTTTTCATGAAACAATAATGTTTGGTATAAAAGTTGCTTGTGCATTGGGGATACATATGATTGCTTTGCAGGATCATTATTTAAAGGTCACATGATCTCTTACTTAAAATGACATTACAATAATTCTTCAGTTTCCATATAAAAACTTCAGTTCTGTTACTTGTGTGAAGGTCAGTTTCTGGTATCTCTTAGAAAGAAGCAATGTGTTGGCCAGCTAATGCCCTAATTATTACAGGATAACTAGGGTTGTATATTGTGTAAACGTCTGTATCTACTGGTATTAAAGTGAATGTGACAACCAAATTGTCCTGTATTGGAGTTCTTATCAGAAAATTACCCATTTCAATTTGACAAAATTCAATTACCATCTTGGCTTTATAGAATTAAAAGGTTTTTTCGTTGAACAATTTGCTCGAGCCAATAATTGCACTGGCAACTCTAGCTAATTACAATTGCATAATGAAAAATTTAAGATATATACTACCTACATGTCTGTGGTGTATAGATATTTTGTGTATTTTTATGCAACAAAATATAGTTTATGATTGAAATTTCATCTTTTTAAAATCATTTCCTTGAAACTTCAGCCAATAAAGGAAAGACATAATTTTTATTGATTTTGCCCTAAGATAAAGGATTTTTATCAGTGTATTGTGAGTTGTTGACACTCCTCAGTACTGAATTGAAACTGTCACAGTACTTGTATATAAATCACACTTCACATCACTAATGTAATTATTTGTCCCCTGTGGGAGAAACTACGGGGGACTAAATTTTTAAATGTCCATCTGTGACAAAGTTTATCAGCGTTGTAGCAGCATCACTCTTTGAGGAATTGTCATCAAAATTTACTCACAATTTATCAAAATACCTTGAACATCTTAATTCAGTTAGAGTTTTAGGAGTATTGGGCCAAGATCACTTAGCAGCTTCATTCCTTAGGGGATTTTAATCAAACCTCACACACTTACAAATGTCATGTTATAATTCAAGGTGAAGGTCAAGGTCATTTCCTTTTTTTTAGAAAATTATTGCAAGCACTCTAGTAGCTTCACTCCTTGAATGATTTTCATAAAAATTTACAGTTTAAAAACACTAACAGATATGATTTTCTGGGTCATTGGGAAAAGATCAAGGTCTGCACTTGTTCTTAAAACATGAATAATTTACAGTTGTAAAAAAAATGCATAAGGAGAGAAAAAATTATTGTTTTGTCAGTTGTGTTTCCAGATGTGTCTGTTATTGTCTTTGATGTTAACGTCACATGCATTTAGCCAGCTAATCTAGCTCATCCTGCAATAACTGGCGCCGATATAGGTTGTAATATCATCAAAAATGTTTACATTTGCCAAAAAAAAAATGATATCATAGATATTAAACATGGACGCACAGGAGGAGGGCTCCTACTCAGTTGATGCTGTTGAGCCAGGTGTGTTAACTGTCATCAGCTAATCATGCTTGTTTGTACAGGAAATAGTATCACTTGCACTGCATGATGGGAAATAAAAAAAAATAAGTTAGTACCAAACTCAACCAGGGTACCAAAATGAATACTAACTTTAAAATCCTGAACGAACTGTTTTTTTGCTTGAGTTTGGAGAATATTAAAATGTCAATTGATATGAATTGTATGTGATTGCTGTTGTTGTGTTTATGTGTTTTCAGGTAGTGTATGTGATGGCCATTTTACTTTTTCTGTGTACATGTGTTGAATGTACAGTATGTGGTGGTTATTTTTCTATTTCCGTGTTGTAGGTAGTGTATGTGACGGCAACCTTTCCGTATCTGGTGCTCCTGATTTTACTGGTGCGCGGAGTGACATTGCCTGGAGCAGGAGCTGGCATCGCTTTCTATCTCGTACCAGACTGGAACAAACTTACAACATTTGAGGTAGTTATGGAATACATTACATTGGATAAGAAGTAAGAGGAAGGAAATGATTTAGAGATATTGTTCAAGTGTAGATGATTAAGGTGTGTACAATTTGAAGTCATAAAGCAATGAATCAAAATGCTCTACTTTGATTGGACGTTAAAAGCTAAAATACTCTACTTTGATTGGACGTTAAAAGCTAAAATACTCTACTTTGATTGGACGTTAAAAGCTAAAATACTCTACTTTGATTGGACGTTAAAAGCTAAAATACTCTACTTTGATTGGACGTTAAAAGCTAAAATACTCTACTTTGATTGGACGTTAAAAGCTAAAATACTCTACTTTGATTGGACGTTAAAAGCTAAAATACTCTACTTTGATTGGACGTTAAAAGCTAAAATACTCTACTTTGATTGGACGTTAAAAGCTAAAATACTCTACTTTGATTGGACGTTAAAAGCTAAAATACTCTACTTTGATTGGACGTTAAAAGCTCATTGATATCTATAGGTTACTGTTATCACTAGTGGGATGTTCAAATTAGCTTTTGGTTATCATCAAAATTAGAATAGTTTATTTTAAACAAACATCTTCTGTTGGTTCAAACATATTTTATTGATTAAAAAAAATCAATATTTGATTGTCCCAGGTCCATTCACTCATCCGGCTCCTTTATTTTTTTCATTACTGTGTTTTGAGAAATGATGACAGGATCATTTCACATATAGTTTAATCTTAGTTCATAAGTTTGCATCATTGATTTTGTGACTGATTGGAAAACAAGATGGCTGACAGATGGCCATCTTGGATTTTGAAAGTTTAAGTTTATGATCACTATTTCTTGAGAAGTTCTACATGGATAATTTTCAGATTCAGATTTCTTGTGTAGGATATCTTGGGTCCTTGGTTGTGCATATTTGGTTTTGGGACCATTTGGAAAGAATTGGAAAGAGGAATTAGTTCCACCGATAAAATTTTAATAAAGTTCATATTTTAACAGATGCTATGATTTCTCTGAGATCTCTTTGTTCTATGTTTTTATCTCTAAAATTTATTAAAAGGGTTTTTCATAAAAAGTAATATGATGTGATATTGTGTCTCTGTGTTGTAGGTTTGGGGAGATGTGACCACAGTTAGATGTGATGTTGTGTCTCTGTGTTGTAGGTTTGAGGAGATGTGACCACAGTTAGATGTGATATTGTATCTCTGTGTTGTAGGTTTGGGGAGATGTGACCACAGTTTGATGTGATATTGTATCTCTGTGTTGTAGGTTTGGGGAGATGTGACCACAGTTAGATGTGATATTGTATCTCTGAGTTGTAGGTTTAAGGATATGTGACCACAGTTAGATGTGATATTGTATCTCTGTGTTGTAGGTTTGGGGAGATGTGACCACAGTTAGATGTGATATTGTATCTCTGTGTTGTAGGTTTAAGGATATGTGACCACAGTTAGATGTGATATTGTGTCTCTGTGTTGTAGGTTTGGGGATATGTGACCACAGTTAGATGTGATATTGTATCTCTGTGTTGTAGGTTTGGGGAGACGCGGCTGTACAGATATTTTATTCAGTAGGTATGGCGTGGGGAGGTCTCATCACCATGGCGAGTTACAACAAGTTCCATAACAATGTGTACAGGTAATCCCCATACAAACAATTACATGGTGCCGAATATTTCTATTCAGTTAATTGATTATGCTATTAACAAAATTTTATTTCAATAACATAGTGATTTGTATGGCAAGGCACATGTTGTTAGCTATTGATTAGCATCCATTGTTAAATGATGACAAAGACACAATTAGTGTTTTGACCTTCACAACATTTTAACACAATAAGGTCATGTTATATCGAGTGGTTCTATCCACAGTGTCTGTAGCATGCATTCAGCTATAGATTTTTTTTCTTTTTTCAGATTAACTGACAGAAAGCTTTTTGAAAAGTTAGAATTTGATTGTTGAAAATCAATATCCATATATGTACAAAGAGTATGAAGCTATTGTGAAGCCAAAACTTTTTCTCTTAACAATGAGTAGATCTCTGTGTTAAAATCACACACAATAGATGAATCTAAATATTAAGTGCCTCACCTGCTATTTAATAGTGTGTATTTAATTGCCAAGATTATTGAATCAAACATTTATATACATCTAAAATACAGTAACAAGCTGCTTACAAGCTAAAATTATCATACTATTGAATAATTCACAGATTGCATAATGTTAATTCTCCCATATGTTACTAGGGTAGGGTACTACTGATTCTCCCATATGTTACTAGGGTAGGGTACTACTGTAGGGTACTACTGATTCTCCCATATGTTACTAGGGTAGGGTACTACTGATTCTCCCATATGTTACTAGGGTAGGGTACTACTGATTCTCCCATATGTTACTAGGGTAGGGTACTACTGATTCTCCCATATGTTACTGGGGTAGGGTACTACTGATTCTCCCATATGTTACTTGGGTAAGGAATTGTTGAAACTCCCATATATATTACTAGGAAGGGTACTACCAACCCTCTCACACAATACAGAATACATCTGAAGTCAACACTACAGTATCATAACATTTTTTTTTTTTAATTTTCAGTATAAAATTGTACCATTAACCAATTAAAGCACATCCATTAAAATTTGATTGATAAGCAAAAATTTATGCAAGAATTTTTGCTTCAATACATCAATGAAATCATGCCCATCTCCAGTTTCCACAGAGAACAGCAATCACGATATTTATCCTACTTATATTCTTTAATGATTTAAAAAATGTCTAAATTTGTTCAGTCTATGAAATTTCTGTACATGAAGGTATTGTTAAAAGTGAATATATTCTATATGTCTTTAGTCAGGAGCATGACATCTTTTTTATTTTGGTTTCAGAGATGCCATGGTTGTGCCCCTTATCAACTGTGGTACAAGTGTGTTTGCTGGTCTGGTCATTTTCTCAGTGTTGGGATTTATGGCACATGAAACTGGAGTCGACATCAAAAATGTTGTTAATCAGGGTACGTATTTGTTTCACCAAGTCAAAATGGTCATGTGAAGATATGCCATGATGTATTTTGGGTCGTCATTAAGTCTTCTTTTCCCAAATGGTACTAGTGCAGATAAGATATTAACTGAATTTAGAATATAAAAAGAACAGCCGTTTTGCTTTGTGGAATTTCATGTACTGAGGAAATTTCAAAAAGTTTTCATTTTGAAACATGGTCAAAGTCTTGTTTTTGAACTTGGATGTTCAAAAAAAGACTTGTGAAGTTTGTCTCCACCATTTCTGAAGACCTTTTGTGATTTATGCTTAATAGCTTGGACATTGGTACATTGTCGATTGTCAAAGGTCAGATTTGTAGTTGCTAATTTTTCTAAATTTCTGTGGAATGTGCATAATTTTTCAAAATTTCAACCTCTAGAAAATTACAATTGTAGACTTCCAACAAGCTAATACCTCAAAATATTTTATAATATTCAACTCTTAGACTATTGTATGTTGGATGAAAGGATTTTTTGAAATTACAAATAACAAAAAATGGGTACTGTGTATTCTGAAATAGGAATCCATATACTGGGTTAGCAAGAATGCAGAGATCATCAAATTTCATGCGATATATACATCAAATGAAAGATCAGTTTTAGAGATGATCAAATTAAAGGTTTGGACACAATGTGAAATGGAAACCATGGGAGAGAAAAATATTAAGATATGTAATTCTCTAATACTTAATGGTAATTTACGTAACTGATGGGGTCCTACAAGTATGACTTTTTTCCAGTCGAATGTGCTGGACTCCTTATAACATGCAACATTTTGTAAAGGGCACTAATCTATATCATGCTAAGATTAGATATTTTTTATCCTGTCCAGGAGATTAATATATTGTTTCTTATAATTCAAACTCAGAGAGTGGGATTTTTTTATACAGGCCAACATAATGAAATAGCATTAGTTTATAGATTTGTTTACACTAATAAGTATTAGTTGGTGGGCTTCCTGCCAGGCAATGGCTGATTGCTAGATAGATATGGTACTTTTCCAATATAACATCTTCACCATGTTCCATATTAGGTAATGATCATTTGAAAAATCAAACCAGTTCTGCTGTTATTAAGATGAACATTCAGATAACTTACTTTTACATCAATGATATTGATACAAAGCTGCTGTTGTTACACTGGTCAAGTTAAATTGTTGTAATTTAGCTCATTTTAAGATATCTGAAAATCACAACAGCTGCAAATTGCTTGTAACTTCTATTTCGAGGGATTATTTTAGTATTTTGAGTCTGTTCACGTTAGCTTTAACCTCTATATCTGTGTTTAGGTTATTTTCTCTTTTTTTCCTGATTTCAGATGTTGACACTTTGTTTCAAACAAATTAATTTGTTTAATACTTCAATAATGATTTGATATTATTTCACAGGACCTGGACTGGCATTCGTTGCCTATCCAGAGGCAATAGCCAAGTTGCCGATTTCTCCGCTGTGGGCAGTTCTGTTTTTCCTTATGCTGTTCAGTGTAGGATTAGATACCCAGGTAAAAGTCAACCTCAGGATCATATGTTTGTAAAAATTTGTCTATTCAAGTTCTAAATACACTGTACTGTAGCCTTGATGTAATTATTTGGTGTGTCCGACAAAATATGAAAAACTTATCAGAAAAGTTTTTACACATTTGAACAATATCATTTAAAGGATAATATTTATTATATGGAATAAGATTATAGATGAAAGAAATAACATACATTTTCATGGAATTTGTATTTATTTTTATCAGCTTTTGTCTTTACAAGAATACGAATTAAATCAATGAAAGTAAAGTATCGCAACAATCAAAACAAAAATTCTATTGCTTTGTTGTATGTAATGAAAATTTATAGTTGAGAAGGTTACAGTATACTGTATTTATAAAGGGGTACAAAATCATAAAATTATGGATGCAAAAATAGGACTTATTTAAACTTCAGTTTTCATACTTTCTGATACTGGAAATCACATCAGCACAGAAAAACCTGTTATATTCTCTAGCTATCTATGGAAGTATTAACATTGTGACTTTGTGTAATATACAGAGGGAGTTAGAAAAATGCTGAAATCCTGAACAATTTGTATTTGTTTCAGTTTGGTGTTAAAACTAACTAGACACATACAATAATTACGTATTTAACAAAACATTACTGTCAATTTATTTTTCATTTTAGTGTTGATCTGGTTTCCTGATTCTTGATTAATTATTACAAATTCCGGTCAATTATCTTTTTTTTTTCAAAATGGTGGAAACAAAAGATTGTCACATAAAATAAATAAAGCCAACATATTACCACTGTCTAATAGCAGAGGGATTATAGGAATCTCTGAAAAAAGTGGACAGATTATACAGGTCCTGGTTTATAAAGGTCACTGACAGATTGTGGACAGATTATACAGGTCCTGGTTTATAAAGGTCACTGACAGATTGTGGACAGATTATACAGGTCCTGGTTTATAAAGGTCACTGACAGATTGTGGACAGATTATACAGGTCACTGACAGATTGTGGACAGATTATACAGGTCCTGGTTTATAAAGGTCACTGACAGATTGTGGACAGATTATACAGGTCCTGGTTTATAAAGGTCACTGACAGATTGTGGACAGATTATACAGGTCCTGGTTTATAAAGGTCACTGACAGATTGTGGACAGATTATACAGGTCCTGGTTTATAAAGGTCACTGACAGATTGTGGACAGATTATACAGGTCACTGACAGATTGTGGACAGATTATACAGGTCCTGGTTTATAAAGGTCACTGACAGATTGTGGACAGATTATACAGGTCCTGGTTTATAAAGGTCACTGACAGATTGTGGACAGATTATACAGGTCACTGACAGATTGTGGACAGATTATACAGGTCCTGGTTTATAAAGGTCACTGACAGATTGTGGACAGATTATACAGGTCACTGACAGATTGTGGACAGATTATACAGGTCCTGGTTTATAAAGGTCACTGACAGAAAGTGGACATATTATACAGGTCCTGGTTTATACAGGTTACTGACAGATTGTGGACAGATTATACAGGTCCTGGTTTATAAAGGTCACTGACAGAAAGTGGACAGATTAAACAGGTCCTGGTTTATAAAGGTCACTGACAGATTGTGGACAGATTATACAGGTCACTGACAGATTGTGGACAGATTATACAGGTCCTGGTTTATAAAGGTCACTGACAGAAAGTGGACAGATTATACAGGTCCTGGTTTATACAGGTTACTGACAGATTGTGGACAGATTATACAGGTCCTGGTTTATAAAGGTCACTGACAGAAAGTGGACAGATTATACAGGTCCTGGTTTATAAAGGTCACTGACAGATTGTGGACAGATTATACAGGTCACTGACAGATTGTGGACAGATTATACAGGTCCTGGTTTATAAAGGTTTCTGACAGAAAGTGGACAGATTATACAGGTCCTGGTTTATAAAGGTCACTGTCAGATTGTGGACATATTATACAGGTCCTGGTTTATAAAGGTCACTGACAGATTGTGGACTGATTATACAGGTCTTGGTTTATAAAGGTTTCTGACAGAAAGTGGACAGATTATACAGGTCCTGGTTTATAAAGGTCACTGACAGATTGTGGACATATTATACAGGTTACTGACAGATTGTGGACATATTATACAGGTCCTGGTTTATAAAGGTCACTGACAGAAAGTGGACAGATTATACAGGTCCTGGTTTATAAAGGTCACTGTCAGATTGTGGACATATTATACAGGTCCTGGTTTATAAAGGTTTCTGATAGATTGTGGACAGATTATACAGGTCCTGGTTTATAAAGGTCACTGTCAGATTGTGGACATATTATACAGGTCCTGGTTTATAAAGGTCACTGACAGAAAGTGGACATATTATACAGGTCCTGGTTTATAAAGGTCACTGTCAGATTGTGGACATATTATACAGGTCACTGACAGATTGTGGACAGATTATACAGGTCCTGGTTTATAAAGGTCACTGACAGATTGTGGACAGATTATACAGGTCCTGGTTTATAAAGGTTTCTGACAGAAAGTGGACAGATTATACAGGTCCTGGTTTATAAAGGTTTCTGACAGAAAGTGGACAGATTATACATGTCCTGGTTTATAAAGGTTTCTGACAGAAAGTGGACAGATTATACAGGTCCTGGTTTATAAAGGTTTCTGACAGAAAGTGGACAGATTATACAGGTCCTGGTTTATACAGGTTACTGACAGATTGTGGACAGATTATACAGATCCTGGTTTATAAAGGTTTCTGACAGAAAGTGGACAGATTATACAGGTCCTGGTTTATAAAGGTTTCTGACAGAAAGTGGACAGATTATACAGGTCCTGGTTTATACAGGTTACTGACAGATTGTGGACAGATTATACAGATCCTGGTTTATAAAGGTTTCTGACAGAAAGTGGACAGATTATACAGGTCCTGGTTTATAAAGGTTTCTGACAGAAAGTGGACAGATTATACAGGTCCTGGTTTATAAAGGTTTCTGACAGAAAGTGGACAGATTATATAGGTCCTGGTTTATGAAGGTTTCTGACAGAAAGTGGACAGATTATACAGGTCCTGGTTTATAAAGGTTTCTGACAGAAAGTGGACAGATTATATAGGTCCTGGTTTATAAAGGTTTCTGACAGAAAGTGGACAGATTATACAGGTCCTGGTTTATAAAGGTTTCTGACAGAAAGTGGACATATTATACAGGTCCTGGTTTATAAAGGTTTCTGACAGAAAGTGGACAGATTATACAGGTCCTGGTTTATAAAGGTTTCTGACAGAAAGTGGACAGATTATATAGGTCCTGGTTTATAAAGGTTTCTGACAGAAAGTGGACAGATTATACAGGTCACTGACAGAAAGTGGACAGATTATACAGGTCCTGGTTTATAAAGGTTTCTGACAGAAAGTGGACAGATTATACAGGTCCTGGTTTATAAAGGTTTCTGACAGAAAGTGGACATATTATATATGTTCATAGTATTCTTTATTAGAGTGGAAACACTGAAAATGATGAGAGAGAGTTGTCACTGTGATAAAGAAAATAGCCAACAGTTTAAGCAATGCATCCATAATATATATGATAATCTTACCTCTAAATTACAACCTGTATACTCATCAGAAAATTGTGATCATGTTTACATGATATTGTGGATACCATCTGTTCTGTATCTCAATGGCCCACCCCTTTACCAACTAATATGTCACCCCCTACCAGTATTCAATGGAACTGAAACAAAATTTTAAATGTGAATATTAAATGAAAAATATATGATGAAGGATTTCCAATCGTTTTTGTTTTCCATTATTGAAAAATATAGGATGCTCTGTTTTAATACTGAATTATTATACAGAATAGAGATGCCATGTTGCTGTTCACCCCCTATCTACCACTGTAAACACTACAGATGACATTTTTCTGATGATAAAAATAGCAAGTGCATTTACTTTGTATGATATTTCCTGTCAAAAGTCCTGACTGTCAGAAAATGGTTTTCCTTATAGAATTGGAAAAAATATTGATGTGGTGTGTAAAGATAAATATAAGCAGAAATGTAGCAATTTCCAGACTTAACATGTATTTTAGATATATGATTAAACAGAGTACCTAAAAAGATGTAAATTCTGTCATTCATGTAAAAAAAAATGTATGTGTCGAGCCTTTTATGCAGAAAATTAAGCTCCAAATTTAATGCTTTTATTAACTCACCATATTTTGCTTATAATTAAACATAACTACACCTGTATTTATGACATAAACTTTTGACATTTAATGTGTATGAAATTGGATGCAAATGTTCCTGTATAAAGTTTGTTAACGTGGACTGTTATGTTTTCTCTTCTGAAATACAGCTGTGTGAACCTGGGTATATGGCAGCTGGTCGCAGGTAAAATGTATTTGAAAGGGTGTGTAAGTTTGTGAGAATAATTACTTTATTGCAAAAATGTCTACTCTTAAAACCCATTGTTTACTTTTTAGTGCTGACATGAGCAGTTCAATATTTTATTTAAATTGATTGAATTTGTTCTCTCCAATGAATGGTAATATGTTATGATAATTGTCCATGGTATTCAGTTACTTTCCTTTTCAAAGTAACTGTGTTATTAGAATTTCTTTATGGATTTATATCATAAGATATTACCAAACATTTAAAATTTGGTTTCTTCCATAATGGGAATTCAAATCACACTTATTAGAATAAATTTAAACTTGTGTGTTTGAATAAATAAAGTTTAAAAATTGATAATTAAGTTATGGAAGAAACATCGATAATTTTGGAGGAAACTTTATTTTTTAACATACATGCAAATTTAGTTTGTAATATATTGTATGTAACAATTTTAGCATTGTACTTTCTACACACATTACTTACTCCAACTGGCTTTGTTATGTTTTGTTTGACAAAGAATGCATTTACATTCTAAGAATTTGTTGGAAATTGTCATTAGTTAATTAAACAATTATGTTTTGGCACAAGTTTTCCTTATCAATGCAGAGGGGAATATGGTATTAAAAAGAAATCATAATTTGTGACCTGTTTTAGGAGTCTCACTATGAAAATAAATCATCTGTACAGATTTGGTGACCTTAATTCATAGATATGTTATGCTTTTTTATGAACAAATGTAAAATTTAAATTCAGATTCTATTGTGCACATTTAGGTTTCTCTTTTCAAAAAATAATCAAATTGTCTTGATTTAAAAACAGTAATTCCAAAAACCTAGCTATATGTGTAGATGTAGGTACATACATCAACATTGCTAGAACTATATAGTTGGCTGTTAAACATTTGAGATATAAAATTTGATGAATTCAATAACATTTTAAGTGAGAAAATCACAAGTCATTCAGTATATTTTCAGCTTTGATCTGTTATATTTACAATATCATGGTACTCCTAGTAAAACACCAAGATAATGTGTCTTATTTTACATTTTTTTCCTCAAGGCCTGTGATTACTGGAGAGATGAGTCCACCCTACCCAGGGCCGCCTGTGAATCCTCGACTGTGTTATATTTGGTTTCACAGTCAGCCATAAATAGATCTATAATTCTTGTTACCTAGGAAACACAAATAGGTTCAATAACATCTGCCTAGCTTCCCTGGTATGTCAGTTCATTTACACCATTTCTAAAAACACTATATGGGTATTATTAAACAGCTTGGGAGAAATTAAGGGAAAAAATTGTAAGTTAGATCCAGAGACTGATCCAGGGGGTTTCCATATTAAAATCACCCCAGGTAATTAAAAAGATAACAATTAAGATAAAAATGTTGTATTTCATGACAAGAAATTCTATTTTATTTTTTATTTGATAAAGAGTTCTTGTGATACATTGCAAGTGGAAAGAAGAGATAAAATATGTATGAGAACTAATACATACAAACACAAATGTGATGAAAAATTGAGAAATCATATTTTATCACAAGTAGGCAATTACACTGTAAATAGTTAAAGTATATATAACATTTTCATACTGTAAACTTCTCGGATTACTGAGGTAATTGGTAAGGTTACATTGGTATGTGACAAAGCTTTCTGTTAAACTTGATTGATTAAATTGCTTGGACTTGGCCCCTCCTGTGTGATCCAGCCCTTTTGGACCTGGTCCCTCCTGTGCCTCCACTGCTTTTGGACTCAGTCCCTGCTCCCATGTCTCCAGTCCTTTCAGCCCCAGCCCCTCCCATGTCTCCAGCCCATTTGATACTGGCCCCTCCCACACATCTCCAGCCGTTTTGGACCAGCCCCTTCATGTCTCCAGCCCTTTGAAACCTCCTGAATCTGACTACTTGGATATCTATAAGATCTGCATGAGCTTCTATGTATATTGGTGATGCAGGTATTTAAAAATGTAAGGTGAATTTTTGTAAATGAGGGTGCTATTTATTGTATAACATATTCCACTCAAGTAGAATGTATTTGTTTTGAAAATTAATTTTTTTTCATGTTTTCATCTACAGGAAATACATCAATGTTCACAAGTTTCATTCTTATATTGTTGTAAATATAACCAAAAATGCTTAATCTTGTATATCCACTTAACTTAATTATCAGGAAGATCTGTCTTTCATAAATCATAATTTTCAGGTAAAAATATCTTTTATTAATGTAATTCCACGAGGATAATGATCTTGTTTGAAAACAGATAAACAATCTTTAAACTTGTGAACAAATATCAAAATTAACTTGCAATAATGTAAAATCATTTGATTTTTTTTGTCAGTGTTAATTGCATTCAATTTTCATATTATAGATTAGAAACACACAGATGTATGATATCAAGCAATGACAAAATTTATCAAATCATCATTATTGTATTTCTTTACTGCTGTACAGAAATCCAAAAAATTATTGCAAGTTGGATTGAAATAGCAAGGACATGATATTATGTGAATAAAATGCAAGTCAAACAGTGAAGATATAAAATGCAGTGGAAAATAAATCCAATTTTGATTGCTAAGAAACATATTCTGTAACAATTGTAATATAATGAGTGAGTTGATATTTAATACTTATCATGTTGGGCTATCACAGATCAGCAGAAAAACTTAATTTGTTACACTCATGTCAATACTTAACTTTTAAGATATCTTGTAGACTGGAGATAATTTGTCCTCAACTGGTTATCTCCCTTTCATTTAAGCTTTTAAAGTTGAGTACAAGTACTTGATAAATCATTCAGTATAACAAACTAATTCTTATCATGCAAAATCTGCATAGCACCAACAAGATGATGATATTGGGAAGACAAACATTGAAAAATATTTCTTCCTTTAACAAAAACTACAGATTATGTGTCTTTAGGCGATCAAAAAATACTTTGTGAGCTTAAAAGAAATTCTCTTGTTTTATTGGCATTTCATAACTTAATACAGTGTTTTCCCATTAACAGCATATGTGTCTAGATGAAAGGTTTTACAAATTTACTTTTGTAATATTTTAGTTTGGAATGTTTGAAACCATGAGCAGTGCTTTCATAGACGAGTTTCCAGATCTTTTGAAAAAGAAGAAGACTCTCTTTACTGCATTCATGTGTTTCCTGGAGTTCATATTAGGGATCCCCTGTGTCATGCAGGTAAGTACAGGTGTTCAACAACTTGTTATTGATGTTGTGACATTTAAACTAAGAAAATGTTACAAAATCTTTACATTGTAAAAAGTGTATCCACATGTATATGACTTCTGAATAACATTGTTGTGAGGTTGTTACCTCTGTATAACCTTGGCATTGTACGGAGGTGTATGACCTCTATCTAACCTTGATATTATAGGCAGGTGTTTGACCTCTAAGTAACCTTGACATTATAGGGAGGTGTTTGACCTCTATCTAACCTTGACATTGTAGGATGATGTATAACCTATATTATGCCTTGACATTATAGGGAGGTGTATGACCTCTATCTAACCTTGGCATTGTAGGGAGGTGTATGACCTATATTTAGCCTTGACATTATTGGGAGGTGTATGACTTCTATCTAACCTTGACATTGTAGGATGATGTATAGCCTATATTGCCTTGACATTGTAGGGAGGTGTATGACCTATATTTAACCTTGACATCGTAGAAAGGTGTATGACCTGTATCTAACCTTGACATTGTATGGAGGTGTATGACCTATATTTAACCTTGACATCGTAGAAAGGTGTATGACCTGTATCTAACCTTGACATTGTATGGAGGTGTATGACCTATATTATGCCTTGACATTATTGGGAGGTGTACGACCTTTATCTAACCTTGACATTGTAGGGAGGTGTATGACCTCTATCTAACCTTGACATTGTAGGGAGGTGTATGACCTCTATCTAACCTTGACATTGTAGGGAGGTGTATGACCTCTATCTAACCTTGACATTGTAGGGAGGTGTATGACCTCTATCTAACCTTAACATTGTAGGATGATGTATAACCTATATTATGCCTTGACATTATAGGGAGGTGTATGACCTCTATCTAACCTTGACATTGTAGGGAGGTGTATGACCTCTATCTAACCTTGACATTGTAGGGAGGTGTGTACGTGCTACAGATAATGGATTGGTATTGCTCCACCTTTTCATTGATGATCCTGTCTCTTACCGAGTGTATTGTCATCGGCTGGATCTATGGTAATGTAACAATGTTTTGCTGCAATGAAGTAGAAGGGGAGGTATACAAACAGATTTTGCTGAAGTGTACTGTCAAACTTCAATCCATCAAAACTGAACCTTTTCTGGAAAATGTCCAAAATATTTATAGATTTTATTTTTCGAAGTCTTGATATCAGTCAATCACTGTACAGATAGTTGTTTCCTTAAACTCACAGAGCCAAATTGTCATGTGAGATATTGCAGCTATATATTGGGGTATAATCAATTGTTTCAAATTTCTTATTTCAAGAATTTTCTAGTTGACATCAATGGTGCATTGCATAAAAAGTATAGAAATATAGAAATAGTACATTTTGGTGCATGTTCCTGTTCCCAGAGCAAGATTTAAAGAATTTAAATAGATTTGTATTTTCTTCAATCAATTCTCATTTATGGTATGTAAAATAAATTTCTCCTATAGATGATGGCAGATATGTGAAAATATTCCTCCCTATTAATATTGGTAGTGTAATCCATGTTAAAATATCACTCAGCCTACAGAAAGTAAATATCAACACCAAAACTTCTGTATAGTGATAATTAATGGTTGTTACTTTCAGGTGCTGATCGTTTCTATAAAGACTTGGAAATGATGATTGGCTACCAGCCATGTGCCTGGTGGAAGATCTGCTGGTGTTTTATCACTCCCACACTGATTCTGGTAAAGTTCTGTGAATAGTGATACATATTTGGTGATTGCAGTTTCACATTTTCACTGTCATTCGGTTTGTTTGTCTGCCAGTCCTTCCACTATCATGTTTAGGCCTTATCCTCTACACAACTAATCATGGGAACTCAATACTTGAGAGGTGAATTCTTCTTGGTAAGATGGTGTGTTGGATATCAAAAGTAGGTTGCTTTGACCTACATTTTGACCTTTGATCTACATCAAAGAAAAAGTTTGTCAGGGTCCTCCTATCTCCTACACCGATAATGACAGGTAATTTATACCTTGGATATGGTTTCACTCTGGTGAGACAGTGTTTTTATATCAAAAGTAGGTAACTTTGACCTACATTTTAATCTTTGCCCTATATCAAAGAAAAAGTTTGCCTTGGCCCTATCTCCTACACTTCTGATCAAGGGAACTTCATACTTGGAATATCGGTTCACCGTGGCCATTGTGACTTGCATTTTGACCTACATTAAAGAAAATGTTTGTCCAACAGTACTAATCACCAGAACTTCATACTTGGGATGTGTATATGCATATGTATGGAATTCTTGTGTTAATTCTTTTCAGTTTATATGGCTGTTCAGTGTGACGAAGCTTAGCCCTGTGACTTACGGAGACTACCACTACCCGCAGTGGGCCATTGTTCTTGGGTGGTTGCTTGGATTGACGTCTCTTATTCCGATTCCTGTTTGTGCAGTCATAGCAGTTTTACAGGGGAAGGGGCCTTTCATAATGGTAAGATTTTTATTTTGTTTTGTCAACTTGGTAAAGACTACATCATCAACTCGTTTGTACCTGTATGTTGTAAATGCTGAGGATTATCTATGAAATTATTAGTGAGGTAGATATCAGCTACTACGAGGAAACCTTACCTCCAAATGAACCTGACTGCAATGAGATAAACCCTGTGGAAAAAACATCAGATTTTGAAAATCAGTCAATTAAGACTTTTTGTTGGTTAAAATAACAAGGTATCTTCAGATATTACACTGTACATAAGTATATTGTTATAGCTTTGTTTGATTGATTTTTTCTTTTCAGAGGGTGAAGAAACTGATGAAACCAGCTGACAACTATGGACCTGCCATGCTGAAATATCAAGAGAAATATTTGGAATCCATCGAGAAGAGGGAGTCCATTTTACCGACCATAGATGTGAGGTGTCGATTCATGGCGAAGAAGACGAGGGGAATTGAGTTGTCTTCAGAACCATTGAACTGTAATTGAAATCAACAAGCTGGAATTTTGTGATAGATATGTAGCATAAGTGTTTCATTTATTTCATACCAGGCAAATGTCAGACAAATCAATTGTCATAAACAGTTAATTTCACATTTGTTGTAGAAAAGATAAATTAAAATGATATTTTTGAAAGAAAATGAATTGATTTTATCAGAATGAAGGAATACAGTTAATATTAGCTACATAATCAGAGGTAGACAACGATATGCACAGGTCTATGAAGGACTTCTTCTTCAATCGGTTTTTCTTACTGTATTTTAAAATATAGGATTTCAATGCAGACAAAAATCAGCACTTTAGTGTCTAATGTTAGTATTACCATCCAGTTATATTTGTAATCCAAGATTAATGGGTCAAAATTGACTCTACTGCTTTACATAATTATTATTGCATCCAAGGGGAATAACTCCATCAGTCTTTTACTTTTAAGGTTTACACCGAGAAAAAGGTGATATTGAATTAATAGAGCCACAGAAGATTTATACATCAATATGTCCATTTAAGGAACCAAATAATTGTATAAAGCAAGGTCATATTTAATTAGAATTTATTTTCAAGGTCGTAACTGTAGTTTTTTTTTTTAATTTTATTTTCTTGGTGGTATTTTAGAATTCAATTGGGAAATGGAAATAGGATAAGACCTCACTGTATTTTATTAAGTTAATCTTTTTGACAAATTGGTGACTAGTGTACACTATTAAATGATAACAGCTTCTTCTTTATATGCATTCCAATGTTTTTTTAGTTAATATAGCTGTAACTATGGTAACAGTTAAAAGTCAAACATTTAAACTTCGGAACAAATAAAAAATTTTGTGTTTCAGAACAAGAAGATCTCTAGCTGTCACAAACAAATGGTTTGTTATATTGTTCCCATCAAATGTCAATAGTTTTGGTTGTATTTTTATTGGCACAATTTGTAGGTAAGGTGGCTGTATATAAAAACATACAACTCTTTATGTTACAAATCATACTCTCCATTTTTTCACAGCTAGTTGACATTTACATAATGTACATTCCCTTCAGAGTAAATATTACTGTCTGGAGATCTAATACATTTGTACTCAGATATTCTAGAATGTTTTTCTTGAAACCGACAAATAAGAATCAACTTTCAAATATATTGATTTGTATCCTATATGATTTTGGAATTGAAATATACCCAAAATTTGATTGTGTCCTTTGATCTAGATAGACTTTCTGATGTATTTTTGCAGTATATGTTATGGATAATTTTTAACCATACAAGTCCAAGATGTTTGGGAAAAATAGCTGCATTCCTTAATTTTATTACACAGTAAGGGATGTTATCATTACAGTATGCAGTATAATACCTAATCTACAGTTTTAGCTGATTTTTTATTATATAACACACATCATGCAGATAAACAGACACATGATATGATATGCTAACATACAGCATATAACACACACAATGTAATATTCTGACATACAGATAATAAGACACATGATATAATATTCTGACATACAGATTATAAGACACATGATATCATATTCTGACATACAGAATAAAGACACATGATGTAATATTCTGACATACATATAATAAGACACATGATGCAATAGTCTGACATACATATAATAAGACACATGATGCAATAGTCTGACATACAGATAATAAGACACATGATGTAATATTCTGACATTCAGATAATAAGACACATGATGTAATATTCTGATCTACAGATAATAAGACACATGATGTAATATTCTGATCTACAGATAATAAGACACATATGTATACTGACATATATATAATATTTTTACCTACAGGTAATAAGACACATGATGTAATATTCTGACAGACAGATGATAAGACACATGATGTAATATTCTGACATACAGGTAATAAGACACATGATGTAATATTCTGACCTACAGATAATAAGACACATGATGTAATATTCTGACATACAGATAATAAGACACATATGTATACTGACATATATATAATATTTTTACCTACAGGTAATAAGACACATGATGTAATATTCTGACCTACAGATAATAAGACATATTAGTATGCTGACATACAGATAATAAGATACATGATGTAATATTCTTACCTAAAGATTATAAGACACAGATGTATGCTGACATACAGATAATAAGACACATGTGTAATATTCTGACCTACAGAGTAAAAGACACATTTGTATGCTGACATACAGATAATAAGACACATGTGTAATATTCTTACCTAAAGATTATAAGGCACATTTGTATGCTGACATACAGAGTATAAGACACATATATATGCTGACCTACAGTTAATAAGACATGATATATATGCTGATGTACAGATGATCAAATATAACATTTATCTGAATTTTGGGTAAATGGAACAAGTTTATATATATCATATACATATATTGATATAAGCTATTGTATTTGTGATCCATTCTCACTATTGATTCAATATGTATTAGCTTCATAATGCCAAAAATGTAAGAAAACGAAAAATATCTCAGATTTATTTTTGATAACGATTCATGGTAAAAGAAAGAATAATTTTCCTGATAACAGCTGTCTGTGACCTACATCTACAGTTGTGTCTGTGACCTACATCTTATTCAATAAATAGTCTGCAATAGAACAAGGCCTAAAATCGTCCATGAATAAAATAGTCTAAATAGAAATTTCAACAGAAGAAAAAAAACCTTCTGAAATCATTGGTAAATATTCTATTTTGTCTGATTATTGATAAATATTCAATTTTGTCTGATCATTGGTAAATAGTCTATTTTGTCTGATCGTGGGTAAATAGTCTATTTTGTCTGATCGTGGGTAAATATTCTATTTTGTCTGATCGTGGGTAAATAGTCTATTTTGTCTGATCGTGGGTAAATATTCTATTTTGTCTGATCATCAGTAAATTTTTTTTTTTTCTGATCATCGGTAAATATTCTATTTTATCTGATCATTGGTAAATAGTCTATTTTGTCTGATCGTGGGTAAATAGTCTATTTTGTCTGATCGTGGGTAAATAATCTATTTTGTCTGATCGTGGGTAAATAGTCTATTTTGTCTGATCATCGATAAATATCCATATTTATGTAATTTCTTCTGATATGGAACTAAAATTTTGATTACATTTGAATTTAAAATTTGGAGCTAGCATTTTCATTTTTCTGGGACCAGTTTGATAAAGAAAACTATAGTTTATATCAAGACACATTAATAAATTTACACATGGCTAATATGTACACCCAGTTTGACCATGTGACTTTAGCTACGTTGACGTGCTATTTCAAGCATGCATGCTACCTATATTAAGTTTGCTGTAATGCTGTAGTATATCATTAATCTATGTCAGGATTGTATATAAGAAACTGTTGTCTGCTATTCTGTAAAGTGTTTAAACCTTGAATGTATATGTTCAAGGGACATATAGTGTTACTCTTGGTAATCTATTTCTTATTACCGATCATTTACTCTATATAACGGATATTTTGAAATGTAACTGTGAAGTTTGATATGATTAAGGTGAAATTCTGTTATGAATGAGGAAAAGATCTGTTATGACTGAAGTGAAGATCTGTTATGACTGAGGTAAAGATTTGATATGACTGAGATGAAGGTTTGATATTACTGAGTTGGAAGTTTGATATGACTGAGGTAAAGGTTTGATATGACTGAGGTAAATGTCTGATATGACTGAGGTAAAGGTTTGATATGACTGAGGTAAAGATTTGTGTGTTATGACGGAGGTAAAGATTTGATATGATTGAGGTAAAGATCTGTTATGACTGAGGTAAAGATTTGATATGACTAAGGTAAAGATTTGATATGACCGAGGTAAAGATCTGTTATGACTGAGGTAAAGGTTTGATATGACTGAGGTAAATGTCTGATATGACTGAGGTAAAGGTTTGATATGACTGAGGTAAAGATCTGTTATGACTGAGGTAAAGGTTTGATATGACTGAGGTAAAGGTTTGATATGACTGAGGTAAAAGTTTGATATGATTAAGGAAAAGATTTGATATGACTGAGGTAAAGATTTGTTATGAGTGAGGTAAAGATTTGATATGACTGAGGTGAAGATCTGTTATGACTGAGGTAAATGTCTGATACGATTGAGGTAAAGATTTGATATGACTGAGGTAAAGGTTTGATATGACTGAGGTAAAGATTTGATATGACTGAGGTAAAGATTTGATATGACTGAGGTAAAGATTTGATATGACTGAGGTAAAGGTTTGATATGACTGAGGTAAAGGTTTGATATGACCAAGGTAAAGGTTTGATATGATTGAGGTAAAGATTTGATATGACTGAGGTAAAGGTTTGATATGACTGAGGTAAATGTCTGATATGACTGAGGTAAAGGTTTGATATAACTGAGGTAAAGATTTGTGTGTTATGACGGAGGTAAAGATTTGATATGATTGAGGTAAAGATCTGTTATGACTGAGGTAAAGATTTGATATGACTAAGGTAAAGATTTGATATGACCGAGGTAAAGATCTGTTATGACTGAGGTAAAGGTTTGATATGACTGAGGTAAATGTCTGATATGACTGAGGTAAAGGTTTGATATGACTGAGGTAAAGATCTCTTATGACTGAGGTAAAGGTTTGATATGACTGAGGTAAATGTCTGATATGACTGAGGTAAAGGTTTGATATGACTGAGGTAAAGATCTGTGTGTTATGACGGAGGTAAATGTGTGATATGACTGAGGTAAATGTCTGATATGACTGAGGTAAAGGTTTGATATGACTGAGGTAAAGATCTGTGTGTTATGACGGAGGTAAAGATTTGATATGACTGAGGTAAATGTCTGATATGAATAAGGTAAAGGTATGATATGACTGAGGTAAAGATCTGTGTGTTATGACGGAGGTAAAGATTTGATATGACTGAGGTAAATGTCTGATATGACTGAGGTAAATGTCTGATATGAATAAGGTAAAGGTTTGATATGACTGAGGTAAAGATCTGTGTGTTATGACAGAGGTAAAGATTTGATATGACTGAGGTAAATGTGTGATATGACTGAGGTAAATGTCTGATATGATTGAGGTAAAGATCTGTTATGACTAAGGTAAAGATTTGATATGACCGAGGTAAAGGTTTGATATAAATGAGGTAAAAATCTGTTATGACTGAAGTAAAGGTTTGATATGATTGAGGTAAAGATTTGATATGACCGAGGTCAAGATCTGTTATGACTGAGGTAAAGATTTTATATGACTGAGCAAAGATCTGATATGATTGAGGTAAGGTTTTGATAAGACCAAGGTAAAGATCTTTTATGACCGAGGAAAAGATCTGTTATGACTGAAGATCTGTTATGACTGAGGTAAAGATTTGATATGACTGAGGTAAAGGTTTGATATGACTGATGTTCTGTTATGACTGAGGTAAAGATCTGTTATGACCAAGGTAAAGATTTGATATGACCGAGGTAAAGGTCTGACATGACTATTAAGGTTATTTTTCTGTTATGACTGAATTTATTTCTACAGCTGTAATGATCAGTGGAGTTTCTTGAAAGACCTATTCACACAAAATGTAACATACATTGTAACATGGAAAAGTGCCTAAGAACACTCTCTTGACTAGCTATTGTTACTTGTATACCTGCTTAACTTATAAGGACATATGTTGAATTTTACTTAGCCCATAGGATGTCTACAAATGGTTGGCAAAAACCCTGCAGCCATCTGCAATGATCTCATGCCACTTTGACCTCATTGTAGTAATTGAAATAAGATAACGACAGGAAACGTAACTATAATAACCAATCCCGGTATCCAACCAATTACCATTCTACTCCAGGTAAACTGTTCCAGTAGGTTTCTGATTTTTCTTTTGCTTTCTCTATCTTTTTATGCATTTCATGACATTGTCCATATTTAATGCTTGTATACAGTGTATATATATTGTACTCATTATATAAAGTACATTAAATGTATTCTCTCAATTAAACAACGAAATATATCAATATTTTATGCTGAAGAGTCCGGATGTATATCGGAATTTAAGCCACAAAAGATGAACATCTTTGTATCTTCAGGCCATTCAGCCATAAACAGTTGGGGAACACCTGCAAAAAGCAGAGACTGTATACTTTTTTGTAAGACAGTTTTAAATTTTACATTTGAGGGGGTCCTTTATAGCATGTAAAACTGTTGGATTCCGGTATACTTTATTGATTTTCATAATGGTTTTGTTTAAAATCAACAATATTTATTAGAACATGACACTTTTTAGGGTTTTTATATAGCTTTTCAAAAATACTGATTGTGAACACAATAAAAACTGTGAAATTCCAAAAGTAAAATATACTGACTTTAATCCTTTTTATATCACATTCAGCCTTAAACTGATATCGCAAAATTGAGAAATCTTGACTTCCTGAGGAAGTTGTTGACCTGCTTTAGGGGCGAGAATGATCATGGCTGATATGTTTTGTCTGCTCTAGTCTGTTCTGTCATTTTGTTCTGTGTCTATATTTCATATTTTGACTTTCCCTAGATATTGATATTACAGTAAATGAACATTATAGCGAATCATTTCCAATATTTAATTTGTCCATTGTTTTATAATGAGCCTTGGCCCAAAGGGACTCTATGGAGGTGTAAAACGAGGGACCTGACCACTCTTGATACCAATATACCTTCCATCTCCATCAGCTTCATCAGCCCCATTCATGTTAGATAATTATGACATGCACCACAATAGATTTCACAATAGTGGATTGAATGTACAATGTGCTGGGGACAGTTAAACATTTTGTTTTCTGAAATAGTTGTTCAAAAGATTTGCATAATATCAATGAATCAAAGGTAGTTATAATAGATCCTTATTTTGCATCTTGTTTCGTATTTGTTAAATAATAGTTTATCTATACATTTGCTGTAAATCCAGAATATCTCAACTGTATTTCAAACAAGAAGCCTTCAAAAGCTTTGTGTTTGATATATTTCGGATATTGTCCGGAGATTTTTGTGTAAATCCATGCAATGTACTGTCATTTTTTTATATATATAGTACTTATGAGGTTGATTTGTTTACTGTTGAGTGTGCAGATTTCAGAGTTGTTAAAAACGGTGTAGAAAAGTGTGATAATTTAGGACATTTGTGTATGTATATAAAGTCAGTTAATATTTCTCTTCTAGCAAATGGTAGATTCCTTGAATTTGTCATCTGTGGTATTCTTTTTCGTCCTTTTTTGAGCAAATGCTTTTGTATTGTATGAGAAATGCTTTAAGTACATTGTTACGTAATATACTGTCATGTTGAGCTCTCTATGTCTACAGAACTGAAGTACGAGAAACCCTGATGCATATATGCTTGCCAAATCTGTATATAAGCTATCAGTATTTAAATACATGGGTACAATACCATCTCCCTGGTCATTGCCGTAGATATAAAATTTTGTTTCTCAAGAAGGAGACATATATATACTCGTAAACTGACATTACAAGGTATAATTATTTGTATAGCACTGCCCCAGTGATCTGTCACCATGATATCAGTTTATAGAGGTTTCCTTCTTTATAATACAATATCATGACCAATGTACTTTCCATATGAGCAATGTACTTTCCATATGAGCAATGTACTTTCCTTAAGAGCAATGTACTTTCCATATGAGCAATGCACTTTCCTTAAGAGCAATGTACTTCCCATATGATCAATGTACTTTCCATATGAACAGTGTACTTTCCATGTGGGCAATGTACTTTCCATGTGGGCAATGTACTTTCCATATGAACAGTGTACTTTCCTTAAGAGCAATGTACTTTCCATGTGGGCAATGTACTTCCCATATGAGCAATGTACTTTCCTTAAGAGCAATGTACTTTCCATATGAACAGTGTACTTTCCTTAAGAGCAATGTACTTTCCATGTGGGCAATGTACTTTCCATATGAGCTATTTGCAATGTACTTTCCATATGAGCAATGTACTTTCCATATGAGCAATGTACTTTCCTTAAGAGCAATGTACTTTCCATGTGGGCAATGTACTTTCCATATGAGCAATTTGCAATGTACTTTCCTTAAAAGCAATGTACTTTCCATATGAGCAATGTACTTTCCTTAAGAGCAATGTACTTTCCATGAGGACAATGCACTTTCCATATGAATTTGATATTTTGACAAGGATTTTATGAATATTTTTATTAATTGCAGTGGACATAACAACATATTTATCCACAAATAAGCAACCATCATCATTTCTGTAGAGTCGCCAGTTTTAAGGTAGTAAGCTTAAGGTGTTTCACAAATAAGCCCTCCCTAACATTAAAACTAAACTTTTACACTAGGGGAGGAAGCTAATCTGAAGATGAATATGGTGTGTTAAAGTATTAAATACCTACATTAAGCAAATTGTTTAAATGCAGAATATGAAAATTTTCACATTCAAACATTCTTTTCATAGTTTTGCTTCCAAATAAATACCAATATGGGTGGCTGTCATCAAATATACTAATCGATTGGATCATAATAAACTAAGACAATTCTAATGTGCCAATTTGATGTAAAATCACGGCTACGATTCTGATGTGACCTTATAGTAATTGTCAAATTATGGACAGAATAATTGTCCTTATTACTTAAATCGATATTAAACATTTCTTGTCTTTTTTTGATTACATGTAAATCTAATCGGGTAAATTGCCTGGTTCACATGCATTTATGATTGTTATACAATTAATCATGAATATTTACAAATATCTTATTATCATAAGATCATTTCATCCATGGCAGCATGTTGGTACGTATAGTCAGTCTTTAATTTTATGTTTTGTCCAGAACTGTAAATGATTTTGTTCGATTTATGTTGTTTATCTTTCATTTGAAATAAAATTCACTTGTAAACAGCTTGTGTTGTCGTTCATGAATAGTGTTACAGTGTTATTGTTCATTATTTATGCCTCATCTTGTTTCATATTAACGTCATATCCATAATCCTTTGAGAATCACTCAACAGGTTAGGTAGCTTTGACCCCATAGTAATAATATCAAGATTTATACTCAATTAGATTCTAGTTCACAGTAGTAGCAGGGGCATTTATAGATATGCTAGAATTATATACCTACTCCAAGTATCATTTCCTTAACTTATACGTAATATTATTAGAAACCTGAAACACTAATTTATTCAAGGTATCCTTGAACAGTAAATATAAATAATGATAAAGTGAAGGAGACAGCTATTCTTTAAGTCAAAGGGGTCAAATATGCTGAAATTTAAATGATAACCTTTTGGCTTGGATCCATAATCCTTTGATGCTTGAAATAGGTGTAAACTATATACAGAATGTAGATATATACAGGTTGTAGATATAGACAGGTTGTAGATATAGACAGATGGTAGATAAAGACAGCTGGTAGATAAGTGGTAGTTGTAAACTGGTAGTAGCAACAGACAAGTGGTGGCTTTAAACAGGTAGACTGGAGGTAGCTATGAAAAGATGGTAGCTGTAGATGGGCAGTAGATAGGAAGTAGATATAGACAGGTGGTAGATATAGCCAGGAAGTAGCTGTAGACAGGTGGTAGCTATAGAAATTATAGACGTGAAGTAGCTGTGAACAGGGAGTAGACAGCAAGTAGCTGTAGACAGGGGGTAGATATAGACAGGAAGTAGATATAGCCAGGTGGTAGCTGTAGACAGGTGGTAGGTATAAAAATTATAGACATGAGGTAGCTGTGAACAGGTGGTAGGTATAGACAGGAAGTAGCTTTAGACAAGTAGGAGATATAGACAGGTAGTAGATATAGTTAGGTGGAAGCTGTAGACAGGTGGTAGGTATAGACAGGAAGTAGCTTTAGACAAGTAGGAGATATAGACAGGTGGTAGGTGTAGACAGGTGGAAGGTGAAGACAGGAAGTAGCTATAGAAGGTGGTAGATACATACAAATGGAAGCTATAGATAGGAAATAGACCTAGAAAGATTGTAGCTGTAGACAGGAAGTAGATATTGACATGTGATAGCTATAAACATATGGAAGCTACATTCCCGGGAAGTAGATATAGAAAGGTGGAAGTATGTTGTTACATCTATAAAGTGCCCATGTTTCATATATGAAGTGCCCAGGTTTTGTCTATAAAGTAATATAAAAATGAAAGCAGATAACTTCATTAAAATCATTTATTGAACATGAAAATAAAACAAACCTGGTCAATTAATTTGTTAAAAGTATTATCAACTAAAAAAGTGTTGCTGATATGTTACATGCAAATTTATTTTAGATATACAACTTTTGTAATATTCTTTGTCTATAGAAGTAGCTTATCTTTGGTTTTCAGCATTAAGTGTAAAAAGCTGATGAAACAACAATATGATCAAATGAAGCAAGCATGTGGAATTTATGATTTAGTAGATGACTATCAATGTCTCTGGCTTTTCTTCTCATATATACATATACTGAACACACATACTCAAGATCTGGGTGGCAGTACTACTACACATATACTCAGATCTGGGTGGCAGTACTACTACACATATACTGAACACACATACTCAAGATCTGGGTGGCAGTACTACTACACATATACTGAACACACATACTCAAGATCTGGGTGGCAGTACTACTACACATATACTCAGATCTGGGTGGCAGTACTACTACACATATACTGAACACACATACTCAAGATCTGGGTGGCAGTACTACTACACATATACTGAACACACATACTCAAGATCTGGGTGGCAGTACTACTACACATATACTGAACACACATACTCAAGATCTGTACATATACTGTACTACTACACATATACTCAAGATCTGGGTGGCAGTACTACTACACATATACTCAGATCATGGTGGCAGTACTACTATACATATACTGAACACACATACTCAAGATCTGGGTGGCAGTACTACTACACATATACTGAACACACATACTCAAGATCTGGGTGGCAGTACTACTACACATATACTGAACACACATACTCAAGATCTGGGTGGCAGTACTACTACACATATACTGAACACACATACTCAAGATATGGGTGGCAGTACTACTACACATATACTGAACACATATACTCAAGATCTGGGTGGCAGTACTACTACACATATACTGAACACATATACTCAAGATCTGGGTGGCAGTACTACTACACATATACTGAACACATATACTCAAGATCTGGGTGGCAGTACTACTACACATATACTGAACACACATACTCAAGATCTGGGTGGCAGTACTACTACACATATACTGAACACATATACTCAAGATCTGGGTGGTAGTACTACTACACATATACTGAACACATATAATCAGATCTGGGTGGCAGTACTACTACACATATACTGAACACATATACTCAAGATCTGGGTGGCAGTACTACTACACATATACTCAAGATCTGGGTGGCAGTACTACTACACATATACTCGATATCTGGGTGGCAGTACTACTACACATAAACTGAACACATATACTCAAGATCTGGGTGGCAGTACCACTACACATATACTGAACACACATACTCAAGATCTGGGTGGCAGTACTACTACACATATACTGAACACATATACTCAAGATCTGGGTGGCAGTACTACTACACATATACTCAAGATCTGGGTGGCAGTACTACTACACATATACTGAACACATATACTCAAGATCTGGGTGGTAGTACTACTACACATATACTGAACACATATACTCAGATCTGTATGGCAGTACTACTACACATATACTGAACACATATACTCAAGATCTGGTTGGCAGTACTACTACACATATACTCAGATCTGTATGGCAGTACTACTACACATATACTCAGATCTGTATGGCAGTACTACTACACATAAACTGAACACATATACTCAAGATCTGGTTGGCAGTACTACTACACATATACTCAAGATCTGGGTGGCAGTACTACTACACATATACTCAAGATCTGGGTGGCAGTACCACTACACATATACTTGTAATCTAATACACTACACAAAAACTTATAACTTTTGTGGCCTAACTACTACATTTACACATGTAGATTTATAAATCAATTTTTCTTTTTTAAATATCTACTTCATTTGTATCTCGATCTTTAAAAAGATAATCAAGGACAAGAGATTGAAATGTCTATCAATATTCTCATTCAAAACTCTGGAAGTGCTTGAATGTAAAAACACATGAAAACAGAAAAAACTAAAAATATTTTTCTTGTGAAATACCACACATATCACCAATAGAGGATAATGTGATATCACATGTTGACCACGTCCTTCAGTATATAAAGGACATAAACTGTTTTGATGTCATGAAATGATAAAAAGAAATGACAAAGACTTTTAAAATTTTTGATATCACAATGAATGAAAAAAATATCTTCAACGTCAAGATGGTGAAATTTTGGATTTCAAAAAGAGAACAAGAAATATGAGATTTAATTGTAACCTTGTTAATCAATTTAAAGATGTACGAACCCGCGGTAATCACTTAAACTAACGAAACAGAGTGATCCAGTGTCAAGAATTTTATATCATAATACTTACAAATCTATTAACAGACAATGTTCCAAGTCTAAAATCACAGTACATGTATATGAACGCTCTCGCGTCTTGTTGACAATTTAAATAACATTTCCAAAAGCAATAGATCCCTTGCAAATTGCTTTTTCTTCGTGAGAAGTATTCAATGAAACAAAGCAAAATGAAAGTATTTTTGTTGAAATAAATGTACTTTTAAATCTAAAATGTGGTATATTTGGTAAATAAGTTGAACATTAAAGCAAATTTTAACAAAAACATAAGCTAGTCATTCAGCATCGATACATTTAATACTGAAGTATCAAGATTGTCTAAGTGAACCAAATATGGCAAACATTAAAAAATCTATCATAAAATAAAATGGTTGAAATTTTATCGAATAATTCAATTCAAATTTTAAAAAATTTGCGATGTAAATGGATAGGAATCTTAAAGCAAATATACATGTACTATAAATTACTATTAAAAAATCTCTATAACATCTAACTAAATATCTTTTTTTAAATTTGATGAAATTAACTATTAAAGTGCAGATTTCTACTGGCATATTAAGTAATATAAGGCTGTTGACTTGTTGGTATAGTAAGTGTTATCCGTCATCAACTTAAAAAACTTTGTGCCTCTCGTGTCTGATTGATTCCTGCTGTACCAGTGTGTCGCCATCTAAGGTCAATGGTTGGAAAGTATGACTTTCTTTCTTGCATGGTCTCTATATATTCTTGTCTATATTTTGGAGCTGCAGGTCCAAAATCCTCTGCTGGCTTTAATAGTTTCTTCACTCTCTGAAAATTCATTGGATGACATAAATTTTCTTGTTCTATGCCTGTTTATACCTTAAACTGATAAACTATCATTTTCAGGAACAAAAGGTATAGTGATCAGCATTTCATGTACTGTTAAATATTACTTGTTTTATACATCAATCACATTTAGAAACCGTGATTGATGACTGTAAATTCTAAATAAATCTATATATGTCTGCATGTTAAGTGTGTCAATTAATTGTCAAAAAACATCATTGCAGTTTGTTAATCAGTTAACTGTGAAGGCATTATATCATAAATTTATATTCTTACCGACACAACAGGTCCAGTCTCCTTAAATATAGCTATACCAGCACAGACAGGAACTGGTACAAGGGAGATAAGTCCGAGGAACCAGCCTAGGTTAATGGCCCACTGTGGGTAGTGATAGTCTCCATAGGTCACAGGACTCAGCTGGGTCACACTGAACAGCCATATGAACTGTGGACAACAAACCAATGTTAGTACAGGGCCACAACAATTAATGTTTGTTTTTACACATTAGTGGGCGGCTGTTGTTTCCATTCTGACGTCATAATTTCATGACATCATATGCATTGTGACATCACCAAAGAGAGATATAAAACATGTATACAGTGGGAATATAACAATTAAATTTTGCATCAGTATAATAAAATGTAGTATTTACAAATGCTTGCAAAAGTACCTCAACTATGTGATAAACAGAATCTTATATGAGTTTTCATTTTATATGAGATTTATGAACTCGTCACAATTTTTTATTTCACCTCGCCACAGACTTGGTCAAGTGAAATTTCTTAACCTCCTTATATCAATCACGTATAAAATGGATTCTCAGATAAAATCATCTATATATTTGTCCATATAAGGTATTGATCTATATATTTGTCCATATAAGGTATTGATCTATATATTTGTCCATATAAGGTATTGATCTATATATTTGTCCATATAAGGTATTGATCTATATATTTGTCCATATAAGGTATTGATCTATATATTTGTCCATATAAGGTATTGATCTAGGCATTTCCAGTCTGTGCAACTGACCATTACCACATATTCCATCATATCAGAGGTTAATCCAGTCAAAATTCTGTTATCACCCTGTCACATGTGTTTAAAACATAACAATTGTCACAAGATGTCTATAAAGAGTAACCTGAAATCATATTTTACATGTAAAAATACTTCAGTAATCTTCAATTTAGTATGTTCCATGGACTAAACATATGTTTGTCATAGACCAAAGTAGTTAGGACTAACAAAATTTCAGACTAACTTGAAAGGCATCTGTTACATATAAAAACAAATAAAGATTGCTATGTTAAGGAATGTAAATATTTTTTAAGTTTTTCTTAGTAATGATGTGAGAAAATGTTAAATAATATCAAATGGAAAATATATGAAATAATGACAATTGATATGAAGCTTTATGTTACTCTTGTACAAATAACTCTCTATTAATTGTTAATTGGCACACACCGCCAAATTTAAAAAGGCAACAGCAATCTGAACTCTTCTGTAATGGAGATACAAGAGTGCTCAGACTCAATCTTCACTGAAAATGAAATATCTTTTCTGCATGTATAAAAGAATCTATTATCCAAATATTCCTTCAAATATGTTAACATGGAAGATGAGAGTTGAATAAATGTTTACATGTCCACATAAAGAGGTACAGGAAGTCCCCTTCTGTTCACACAGTGATTTCTAAACTCACCAGTATGAGGACTGGAGTGATAAAACACCAGCAGATCTTCCACCAGGCACAAGGCTGGTAGCCAATCATCAGCTCTATGTCTCGGTAGAAACGGTCAGCACCTGGAGTACAAAGGCACATATTAATTGTCAACTCGGTGTCCTGGTTGAAACAGTGAGCACCTTGAATACTTGCTGAACAATGCCATTTTAAAATTTCATTTCAATTGTTCATTCCTCTTTGTTTCACAAGATGACAACAGAACAGTGTGTGGGAATGCAAATTATTATGAGATCACTGACATTTATTCTAAGCCATCAATTTGACCTCTATTGATCCACCCATCAGGGGTCAGATAGGAACAACATGGGCATACCATCAAACCATCATCATTGGTTCATAATTTAACCAAGTTTGAAAAGTTTCCAATGGAAATTAAACAAATTTTTAAAAATTCATCTTCTATAAATTTAAAGTGTTTGATTGTTTTGAAGTAATGGATTAAATTTCACATTTAATGTTACTAATGAATACAGTACTTCAACATTTTTATCAAATTACTACCACCTCCCTTTTATCTACCTACCTAGGTAAACAAGAGGCCCATGGGCCTTAACGGTCATCTGACAAAAAGCAAACCAAACCTAGAAAGTGGGTTGAGGTCATTCATTTGAACAAACTTGGTAGCCTCTCCTCCAAGCATCTTACAGGCCCAATATCAGCACTCATGGACTTTTGCTTGTTGAGAAGAAGTCGTTTGTATATTTTAACATATTTGACCCCTGTGACCTTTAAAGTGGGTTGAGGTCATTCATTTGAATAAACTTGGTAGCCTTTCCTCCCAGCATGCTACAGACCCAATATCGGCACTCATAGACTTTTGCTTATTGAGATGAAGTCCTTTGTATATTTTAACATATTTGACCCCTGTGACCTTGAAAGTGGGCCAAGGTCATTCATTTGAACAAACTTTGTAGGGCTCCATGCCAGCATGCTATGGGCCAAGTATTAGCCCCCTAGGCCTTCTAGTATTTGAGAAGAAGTTATTTAAAGATTTTGACATATTTGACCCCTGCGACCTTGAAAGTTGTTCAAGGTCATTCATTTAAATAAACTTGGTAGCCTTTCCTCCCAGCATGCTACAGACCCAATATCGGCACTCATAGACTTTTGCTTATTGAGATGAAGTCCTTTGTATATTTTAACATATTTGACCCCTGTGACCTTGAAAGTGGGCCAAGGTCATTCATTTGAACAAACTTTGTAGGGCTCCATGCCAGCATGCTATGGGCCAAGTATTAGCCCCCTAGGCCTTCTAGTATTTGAGAAGAAGTTATTTAAAGATTTTGACATATTTGACCCCTGTGACCTTGAAAGTTGTTCAAGGTCCTTTGTATATTTTACCCGTGTGACCTTGAAAGTGGGCCAAGGGAACAAACCTTGCCAGCATGCTATGCCCCCTAGGCCTTCTAGTATTTGAGAAGAAGTTATTTAAAGATTTTACAAGATTGACCTTCATTTAAACAAACTTGATAGCCCTTCATCCCAGCATGCCACAGGCACAATATCAGCAATCTGAGCCTTTTGGTTAATGAGAAGAAGTTGTTTAAAGATTTTAACATATTTGACCCCTGTGACCTTTAAAGTGGGTCAAGGTCATTCATTTGAACAAACTTGGTAGAGCTCCATGCCAGTATCCTCTGTGCCAAGTATTAGCCCCCTAGACCTTCTAGTATTTGAGAAGAAGTCGTTTGAATGAAAAGTTTACGGACGGCGCACGGCGCACGGCGGATGACGACGGACGAAGCATGATGACTATAGGTCATCGGACCCTTCGGGTCAGATGACCTAATAAAAGTTTGTCTAGTACAGTCAAGATGTCAGACATTTCACAAGCCATGTTGTGATACAGCAATAACAAAATTTCATAAAAGTATCTGAACCAATTAAAACATCCACTAATCTGAAAATGTTGAAGATTTGCGATAGAAATAAACACAAATACATTAATAAAATATTGAGCAGATAACAGATAAGTAACGTTTTAACTTACCATAGATCCAGCCGATGACAATACACTCGGTGAGAGAGAGGATCATCAATGAAAAGGTGGAGCAATACCAATCCATGATCTGTAGCACGTACACACCTCCCTACAATGTCAAGTTTAGATAGAGGTCATACACCTTCCTACAATGTCAAGGTTAGATAAAGGTCATACACCTCCCTACAATGTCAAGGTTAGATAGAGGTCATACGCCTCCCTACAATGTCAAGGTTAGATAGAGACTGTTCACCTCCCTATTATGTTAAGGCTAAATATAGGTCATACACCTCCCTACAATGTCAAGGTTAGATAGAGACTGTACACCTCCCTATCATGTCAAGCTTATATAGAGGTAATACAACTCCCTACAATGTCAAGGCTAAATATAGGTCATACATCTCCCTATAATGTCAAGGTAAAATAGAGGTCATACACCTCCCTATAATGTCAAGGTTAGATAGGGGTTATACACCTCCCTATAATGTCAAGGTAAAATAGAGGTCATACACCTCCCTATAATATCAAGGTTAGATAGGGGTTATACACCTCCCTATAATGTCAAGGTAAAATAGAGGTCATACACCTCCCTATGATGCCAAGGTTAGATAGAGGTCATATACCTCCTTACAATGTTAAGGTAAAATATAAGTCATACACCTCCCTATAATGTCAAGGTTAGATAGAGGTCATACACCTCCCTATAATGTCAAGGTTAGATAGAATTCATATACCTCCCTATAATGTCAAGGTAAAATAGAGGTCATACACCTCCCTATTATGTCAAGGTTATATAGAGGTTATACACATGCAATATCAATGTTATCTAGAAAACTATTTCCTACAATTTCATTTTTACAGGAATTTTGAATTGGTGATAACACTGACCTGCATGACACAGGGGATCCCTAATAAGAACTCCAGGAAACACATGAATGCAGTGAACATTTCCTTCCTGTTTTTCAGTAGATCGGGAAACTCATCTACGAAAGCACTTGTCATTGTTTCAAACATTCCAAACTAAAAGAAAGAAAGAGAGATGTTGAAATAGCTGCTGGTACAGGGTAATGCTGTGTCAGAAAAGACAGATTGAAAGAAATAAACAAAGAAATGACAGGAAATTAAGGTCTCAACAGATAACCCTATATATAGTAACGAAGTCTGCTCTTCTGAAACATTTCAAGATTTTAATTTCACAAAGGTACAACATACAGTTTACACTAAATGAAAATTGTTTTCTGTAATTCTACTCAAGGTTTTGAGTATTTCACACAATTTTTTTTAAACAGAATTTTTTATTAAAAAATATTTCTTTATTAAATGGATCTAAAATCCATTTTTATATTTCAAGCTCAATGATGGAATCCAGACTTCTAGTTTCTGTTATAAATGCATAAATCTACACAATAATTTTTTGTCAAATTTTAGGAAAAAATATTTCTAAAATCAATATGTACCCATCCAGTGCCAACCATTTCATTTCCTGTTATTCCAAAATCTTCACTTGCAATAATTTTAAACATTTGAAATTGACAATAGCTTAAATTTCATTTCACACTGATTCAATAGATAAAGTAATAATGCTTGTTTGTATGTTTCTGAAATTTTCTATCAGCTCCTAAATATGCCTGAACACATGTATATATAAAATGTTTTCCATATTATTGCAAGCTTAAATCAAATCAAAGTGACTTTGTTCACAAGTTCAAAAATATATTGAAAAACATGGATACAAATAAATTTTCTTTTCTTAAATGAAATGTAATAATAAAATAATTTAACATGACTTTTTTTATAGTTACTGTTTATTGATAATAAAAATTTCTGAGAATTCAAAAGCAGGAAGCAATATAACAGAACTTGTGAACGTGATTATTTTTCCTGTATATGAAAAACCAAATAAAAATTAATGCTCTGAAAAAAGTTAAGAAATTTCACATTTTCTCCAAATACCAATATTGTTTATTAATTGTTCTTAAAGAGTAACAATAACACATTTGCAAAGCAGAAGTATTGACAAAAATACTTCTAAATTCAGTCATGGTTGAACACATTTCTTCAAATTTCAAATTTAATCCATGACCAAATATGGCTTGCATTGTAATTATTCTAATGACCAAATAAGGATAACATTGTAATTACTTCAATTACCAAATATGGATAAGAAAGTGTTGTCCAATTTTGGTTCTGAAAAATATTCTTGCCACAGGGGCCAGGCATACTGGTACTCAATAAAATGTTACACATTCTGATCCAAAAATATTGTCTATATACACATTCCATAAACATTATCATTTCAATTACCATGTACCTAACCCCTGTGGTAACAGAACAATTACACCAAATTTGTCCTATTTATCCTCCAGTAAGCCAATTAAGGGGCCTTACCCTTCAAAAGATAACCCTTAAGAACGGGTATGGAGCCATATCTTATTATCATGATATCATGTTATATATGTACATTTACTACACAGATCATGATTTATCTAAAAGTTGCATTCTATTGAAGAGTTCATCATTGAGCTTCCCAATTCTCCAAAAATACAAAAGCTATCAATATATCCTTTCAGTGGTTTGTAGTATGATAAACTTGATGGTGCAGTTTATGATATTCAGGTCAACTAGAGTTATTGCCCTTTATTGTATTCGCTCAGTATAACTGAAGCATGACAGTCAAGAGTTGGGCTGATATTCAATTTCTGGATGTTCCTACCATTGATAAAACTCCCATATACTGAAGACTTCAGCCTTCCTTATCCATATCTGTCATTGGAAGTATACAATACAAAGTGTAAACCAACAGGGTATGTGGAGAAAAGTTGGGGTCAATAGACCGTGTAGTGTGGTCAATTGACCGTGCACTGCCCATAGCTGGACCATGTGGTACCCATCAAAGAAACATGTAAAGCTCCTTTAGGGATCACATGGTGCCAGCTAGGGGACTCTTTTAATATGTATGTCTTAGACTTATGATGTTTGTGAGGCATACTGTGTAGGTCAACCTGGCGAAGTCACACTGGGACTGGTGGACCTTCCCCGCTGGACACAGTGATCAAGGGCCTTGAGAGAAACAAAAGTCAAAAAAACAACAAAGTTACCTATGTTATCACTGATTGCAGATGAAAATCACAACAACAAACTTTCATCAAATTAAAAAAATTTTGTGTTTCCTGTACCCCCACTAACCTCATCCTTATCCCAATTCCAAGCCCTCTAACCCTCTTCTTTATCCCTACACCCATCCTCGACCCTAACCTCAACCCAATCTACCAAGATGTATATAAATACTTTTTCCTTTTAACATAAACAGGCCCCACTTGTATAAAACATCTCAACTTGAGATTTCCTTAAGTCGAGATTTTCCTCAGCTGACATCTCCTCAAAAACGGCTTGTATAAAATTTTCTCAAGGAACAGGAGGAAGTCATCAGCTAGGATGTCCTGAAATTCCTTGAGGAATTTTCATACAAGATATTTTCAAGGAGATATTAGCTGAGGAAAATCTGGGCTTAAGGAAATCTCAAGTTGAGATGTTTTATACAAGTGGGGCCAGGTCTAAATTTTCTATGAATGGTCTTCAACTCAAACAGATCCCGGTAAATACATATGTATTTTTTTAGAACTGCTAGACAGAACATTATCTTCTAAAACTTCACATTGAGATTTCTAGATGATGACTAGTCAACTGAGGTTAGCATTTCCACATATAAGTATATTACTAAAAATTGAAAAAACTAGAGCACGGAAATGTTTTCTATATCTTAGCATCAATTACTAGTGAATTTTTTTGTTATTAAACATCTATCATACATGTGTAGGAATATTATACAATGTAATACACACATATTAAACATATTTCCATTTTACCTGTGTATGGCCTCCATTTAAAGGAGAGATGCTGTATTTACAGAAAAAAAAATAACATTCCATATTAAAATGACATTAGTTTTAATCTCAGCATTAAAAAAAATGTGTCAAAAATCCTCCCAGAAAATCATTTAATCCTTTGTAACATCCTCTCACCAATATTTTCTATGGTAAGCTGTTACCAAGGTTTGGATTAATAACACATAATGCTGCAGGTGTTTGATTGTCAGTAAAAACAGTGAGAATTTCACACATTTAAATTCTCGGTCATGCAGACTCTGACAAATTGTTTGATATACTGAGCAAGAATTTTTAGATAACCATATTTGAAACATGAAAATTGTAGAACCAAAATAACTTAATGTACATACATTTATATTTTTATCATCATCAGAAAAATGATCTCCATGCTATAGTTTACATAGCATTAACTGAATCCATTTATGAATTTTACAACAATTTGGAGCGACAGGTCAGTATAACAATGAACAAGGGGTAATCATTTCACATAGGATTACTGTACCATGGATGCTACATGACAATTGTTAAAAAAGTGCATGATTTTCATTTTTCTTCAGAAATATACAGCTTTAAAATTGATTGTGGTTTAATAAAAATTCATTTCTTTATATTTTTCATACCATTGTTATATTTCTGTCAAATAATATCATATTACGTAAGACACTGCTTTTTTTTATTGTTATAATTTTTCACTTGATATTTACAAAATATGATTTGTCATTTGTGTTGTCGCTGCAGATATTAAATAAGAACTGATGATTAATCATTTGCATACAAAGAAACTAGGTAGTACATGAATCCCGTGTAAGACCCAGCCTAAATGAATTTTCACATGTATTTGAGTATCAAAGGCTGGTAATAGGAGTTGTACCAGTGTTACGGAATCCAATCCCCATTTATCACCTGAACTTTAAATGCAATGTCATCACCAGGATTATGTGATAATATTTCATAATCTCTTCTAGTGTATACAATCTGCACTAAGTTTACCTAGATTCTTTGTACAGTATATGGAGCATCCAGGGCTATCATTAGAGAGAGGGCATCCTCATACAAACATATACTGTGGTATAGTCTCATGGGCCTCCATAACACAGCAACCCTGATTAACCCCACAGTAATCACAATCAGTCAAGCCAGAATCTGTGATATACCAGAATCATTATTAGAATACTGACATGGGTCAAAAATGGACTTTCCAGGCCCTTGTCTGACACTGACAGTGAGCTTGAGCTGATTTAGTGCACTATATTCCTGAAAAGTTCACTTTATGTCAGCTGACTCTTTGATGATTTTCTGCTAACTTAGCTCGGCTTTATTTTGTAACAAAAAACAAATACAACATTTAACCTTTGCCTTTGACCTGATGACCTTGACTAGACCGGCAGATCATATGATGAAAAACAATTTGATAATCAACCCACCAATCAGACGATGAGCTAATGAGGGCTGTTCTAGATTACCACAATGAGACTATATAACAGTGTTCACAGAACAAGAGGAAAAATCAGTGCAAAATCTGTAAGCAAAGGTAGAATATATTACCTGACTATCCAAACCAATTGTAAACAGCATCAGGAAAAACAGCACCGCCCACAGTGGAGAGATTGGTAACTTAGCCACGGCCTCTGGGTAAGCCACAAATGTTAGTCCTGGTCCTGTCAAATTTTAATAATTATTGCTCTTATAATGTCAAAATTTTCTCATATTTATTCTACTGTTTCTGCTGCTATTAACAGATAAAACTTGATTGCAAATACCATGATTTATTGACCTTGGTAATCACATATACATGTGATATCAATCTCCAGGAGACTTTTCCAGTATTTTAAATGATTCATTATACTGAAATATTCAATATAATAAATTCAATTTTTTAAAGAATCTTTGTTGTTATTTTTTACCAGAGAACTTCATTTTTAATACCAAAATGGCAACATGATAAAACGTAATGATACAGATGTATCTGCACATAAAGGTGTGTTGGTCTGAAAGAGAGAATGCCTTAATAGACAAGTAATCATTAGATACTCAATGTGGTCTTAATAGACAGGTAATCATTAGATACTCAATGTGGTCTTAATAGACAGGTAATCATTAGATACTCAATGTGGTCTTAATAGACAGGAAATAATTAGACACTCAATGTGGTCTTAATAGACAGGTAATCATTAGATACTCAATGTGGTCTTTATAGACAGGTAATCATTAGATACTCAATGTGGTCTTAATAGACAGGTAATTATTAGATACTCAATGTGGTCTTTATAGACAGGTAATCATTAGATACTCAATGTGGTCTTAATAGACAGGTAATTATTAGATACTCAATGTGGTCTTTATAGACAGGTAATCATTAGATACTCAATGTGGTCTTAATAGACAGGAAATCATTAGACACTCAATGTGGTCTTAATAGACAGGAAATCATTAGATACTCAATGTGGTCTTAATTGACAGGTTATCATTAGCAATCCAATGTGGTCTTAATAGACAGGTCTTTAATAGATGATAAATTTGGTCTAAATAAACAAGTAACTATTAGACAATCAATGTGGTCTTCATAGACAGGAAATCATTAGACACTCAATGTGGTCTTAATTGACAGGTAATCATTACAATCAAACATAATCTTACTTGAAAGGTAATCATTAGCCATCCAATGAAGTATTAATAGACAAGATTACTATTAGACATCAAATGTGGTCTTAATAGACAGGTCATTATTTGACACTCCATGTTGTCTTACAAGACCTATAATTATTGGGCACTCAATACAGTCATACTAGACAGGTTGATTTTCAAGTCATTTTTGGTTAAACCATGATGAAATCTCATTATGTTACATCCATAAATCAATGATAAATGATCCTAATCCTGAATTTCAGAGAATTTTAATACAAACCTTGTGTTACAACTTTTTCGATGTCAACTCCAGTTTCATGAGCCATAAATCCCAACACTGAGAAAATGACCAGACCAGCAAACACACTTGTACCACAGTTTATAAGGGGCACAACCATGGCGTCTCTGTATAAAATAAACATACATTGGTTTTAATTTCATTTCGCCAGTCAGCACACTTAAATGGGGATTCTAACCTCAACAGGATAAAGGAGACTACTTGACTGGGGCATTCCTTACACTAGGATCACAGTGAACATTTCTTCCACTGAGATAAGTGTGAACACATTTACCCTATTAGCAGAGATAATTATAAAACTTCCTTTTATGTAAATCCTAGGCTGTTTTAATAAAGGATTATGCGAAGTTTACTGTTAAGAATCTCTATTCATCAAATACTGTAAAAACACATTTTCATGGGGGCTTAATTTTCCTGTTGGTTTTTTTATCAAATAATAACTATTTCTTTAACACGTGATAAATATCACTCAATCAATCTACTTATATTAATTCTAAAAGTTTGCTGACATATGAATTCTTGAATTAAGAGGACCTTTAAATCACCAAAAATAAATGACCCACAAAAATTAAGAATTTCACAGCATTTATTGTATATTAAAACATCTACACTGCTATTGTTTTATGTACCTGTGAAGGAAGTAAAGCTTATTTGGATGCCAAAAACAAAATTGATAATTACCAGGATTATTATACATCGTCTTTAACAATTACAATTTTTCCTTTCCTAAAACACTTGTTAAATAGCCTCTTACAAAAGTATTGGTACAAATCCTGTTTGTGAATCCTCTAGGAACATCTCTTGCCCTAGTAAAACATTATCCATTATTGTGATTTAAAAGATTAAATACTGTAAAATATGACACTTTATACTAAAATGAAACAGTTTATCATGAAAGTTTATAAGTGCAGTATACTATTTGACCCTTTTTTCATCATCCCATGATGTAACTGTGTGGTTAACTTTCCACCAGAAAGTGGAGACAAGTAAAACAAAAGGCACAGTATGGCCATTCAGCTGAAACTGAAGTTGTTAAAATGCTGATAAACTTCTACATCCCCTATTCAATTGTAACAAAATGTCAATTAAATGTTAAGCTACGTCATTGTGTATGGTTGTAACGTCAGAACTCTTATCTACCTCAGCCAGGAGGTAAACAGACACTTGAGAATGAGGGGATGGGAACACAATGTTACCAGATCATGATATAGCAGTGTTAAAGCAAACAAAGAGAATTGTTGGCAAACTATCGACATGAATAATGTTTACCATAGTGTAGTGACCTTACATCCTGTTTTTTTACTAGTGCTCAATCTCTAGATCATTGAAAAGTAATGGGTAGTACAAACTAGACAAGTGTATTATACATTTTTTCATACCCAGCCAACTGATCAAATAAATTTTCTTTTTCTAAACTTCGAGTTGTATGTAAACTTCCTCTGCAAATCAATACAATCAATTTCTCCATTCAATTGTATCAAAGTAACCAAACACACTATAAATGCATGGACTCCAACAGCTATAAGTATCCATGTGTTCCCCACCAGCTGCAAGTATATATGTGTTCCCCAAAAGCTGTAAGTATATATGTGTTCCCTGACAGCTGTAAGTATATATGTGTTCCCAACCAGCTCTAAGTAAATATGTGTTCCTCACCAGCTATAAGTTTATATGTGTTTCCCACCAGCTGTAAGTATATATGTACTTCCCATCAGCTGTAAGTATATATCTGTTTCCCACCAGCTGTAAGTATTTATGTACTTCCCATCATCTGTATGTATATGTGTGTTTCCCACCAGCTGTAACTATATATGCGTTCCCCACCAGCTGTAAGTATCTATATGTGTTCCCCACCAGCTGTAAGTATATATGTGTTCCCTGACAGCTGTAAGTATATATGTGTTCCCCACCAGCTGTAAGTATCTATATGTGTTCCTCGACAGCTGTAAGTATATATGTGTTCCCTACCAGCTGTAAGTATATATGTGTTCCCCACCAGCTGTAAGTATATATGTGTTCCCGACCAGCTGTAAGTATATCTGTGTTTCCCACCAGCTGTAAGTATATATGTGTTCCCCACCAGCTATAAGTATATATGTGTTCCCCAAAAGCTGTAAGTATATATGTGTTCCCCACTGGCTGTAAGTATCTATATGTGTTCCCCACCAGCTGTAAGTATCTATATGTGTTCCCCGACAACTGTAAGTATATATGTGTTCCCTGAGAGCTGTAAGTATCTATGTGTTCCCTACCAGCTGTAAGTATCTATATGTGTTCCCCACCAGCTGAAGTATCTGTCTGTGTTCTCCACCAGCTGTAAGTATCTTTCTTTGTTCCCCATCAGTTTTATAATGTCTAAATGTGGTCCCCACCAGCTGTAAGGTGTCTAAATGTGGTCCCCACCAGCTGTAAGATGTCTAAATGTGGTCCCAACCAGCTGTAAGATGTCTAAATGTGGTCCCAACCAGCTGTAAGATGTCTAAACGTGGTCCCAATCTGCTGTAAGGTGTCTAAATGTGGTCCCCACCAGCTGTAATATGTCTAAATGTGCTCCCCACCAGCTGTAAGGTGTCTAAATGTGGTCCCCACCAGCTGTAACATGTCTAAATGTGCTCCCTGACAGCTGTTATATGTCTAAATGTGGTCCTCACCAACTGTAATGTGTCAAAATACAGTTCCAGTTAACTGTAAGAGATGTCTCTAAATAAAACCATGGCATTTCCCCTGTAATATATTTTGTGAGTAAGGTGAAACAAAATCAATACCTCATTTTGAACTGAGACTTCATGCCCTGGAATTTATAGATCTATATATGATTGTGTGAAGTACATAAATACCTGTACACGTTGTTATGGAACTTGTTGTAACTCGCCATGGTGATGAGACCTCCCCACGCCATACCTACTGAATAAAATATCTGTACAGCCGCGTCTCCCCAAACCTACAACACAGAGACACAATATCACATCTAACTGTGGTCACATCTCCCCAAACCTACAACACAGAGATACAATATCACATCTAACTGTGGTCACATCTCCCCAAACCTACAACACAGAGACACAATATCACATCTAACTGTGGTCACATCTCCCCAAACCTACAACACCACATCTAACTGTGGTCACATCTCCCCAAACCTACAACACAGAGACACAATATCACATCTGTGGTCACATCTCCCCAAACCTACAACAAAGAGACACAATATCACATCTAACTGTGGTCACATCTCCCCAAACCTACAACACAGACATACAATATCCCATTTAACTGTGGTCACATCTCCCCAAACCTACAACACACATCTAAGACACAATACAACATCACATATCACATCTAACTGTGGTCACATCTCCCCAAACCTACAACAAAGAGACACAATATCACATCTAACTGTGGTCACATCTCCCCAAACCTACAACACAGAGATACAATATCACATCTAACTGTGGTCACATCTCCCCAAACCTACAACACAGAGACACAATATCACATCTAACTGTGGTCACATCTCCCCAAACCTACAACACAGAGATACAATATCACATCTAACTGTGGTCACATCTCCCCAAACCTTCAATACAGAGATACAATATCACATCTAACTGTGGTCACATCTCCCCAAACCTACAACACCACATCTAACTGTGGTCACATCTCCCCAAACCTACAACACAGAGATACAATATCACATCTAACTGTGGTCACATCTCCCCAAACCTACAACACAGAGACACAATATCACATCTGTGGTCACATCTCCCCAAACCTACAACACAGAGACACAATATCACATCTAACTGTGGTCACATCTCCCCAAACCTACAACACAGAGATACAATATCACATCTGTGGTCACATCTGCCCAAACCTATAACGTTTACTGTACCTCAAATGTAGCCAGTTTGTTCCAGTCTGGTACCAGATAGAAAGCAATACCAGCTCCTGCTCCTGGTAAGGTAACTCCACGAATAAATAAAATCAGCAGCACGAGATATGGAAACGTTGCAGTCACATACACAACCTGAAACACATCAAAAGTAAAATAGCAATTATGTTCACTACCTGAAACACATCAAAAGTAAAATAGCAATTATGTTCACTACCTGAAACACATCAAAAGTAAAATAGCAATTATGTTCACTACCTGAAACACATCAAAAGTAAAATAGCAATTATGTTCACTACCTGAAACACATCAAAAGTAAAATAGCAATTATGTTCACTACCTAAAACACATCAAAAGTAAAATAGCAATTATGTTCACTACCTGAAACACATCAAAAGTAAAATAGCAATTATGTTCACTACCTAAAACACATAAATAGTAAAATAGCAATTATGTTCACTAACTAAATCACATAAATAGTAAAATAGCAATTATGTTCACTAACAAAAACACATAAATAGTAAAATAGCAATTATGTTCACTACCTAAAACACATAAATAGTAAAATAGCAATTATGTTCACTAACTAAATCACATAAATAGTAAAATAGCAATTATGTTCACTACCTAAAACACATAAATAGTAAAATAGCAATTATGTTCACTACCTAAAACACATAAATAGTAAAATAGCAATTATGTTCACTAACTAAATCACATAAATAGTAAAATAGCAATTATGTTCACTACCTAAAACACATAAATAGTAAAATAGCAATTATGTTCACTAACTAAATCACATAAATAGTAAAATAGCAATCACATATACCAGCCTAAGAAATGGTAATAGTTTTGTTACAATTGTTCTGACACTAGAGTACAGAGGGGGGTGACAAGAGCAGTGTCTGTTCTAGGCAGAGGGGCGACCCCGTGATGCAAGTAAAGAAATATTTAGACTATGCCCTTGATATAATATGGTCTTCTTTCAGTTGACAGAAACGACCGCACCATCAGGGGTAAAACTTACAGACAGTCTAGTACCGTAAATGCCCAAGTGCAGGATGATGAGTTAGAGAAGTAGAAAAAGGTTAAGATTTTCTGCAGAATAAAAAAAGTAGGCATGATGTCTGGAAAGTGGGATATTGTCAAGCTCAAATTGGGACAGACTCTCCATAGAGTTAAACCTGAGAGTTTTTAAAGTGATGTCTGTGGTTTCATCTTTGAACCCAACAGTCTGACATGCTCTTCATCAGATGGCATGTGCCTATATCCTTCCACTTCATCCAAAACACTCATCTTTCACACCTGTTTAGATATCTTAGTATCTTGTAGAAAGCATGCCTGTTTTTTTAGCTGCCTCAAAAGCTGCATTTTTATTTTTCACATTAAAGGTTTGCTGACATATCCAGTACATAATCCTGGATTAGAGACCAGCTGTATCCAAACCAATTGGACAGTTATAGTTCTACATTTGACTAGATTTCTTTTCTATTGGTCAGTCCGTGAATCTCTCTCTGATTAACTGACCTTAACAAATTCACTTCCATGTTATTTATAAATGACTTTTTGGACATAATTTTGCCTCTCTTACTATGTATATAGGATATTAGTTGATTCTGACATTGTATGAAAAAGACTTTTTTTAATATGGAGACTCCAGTTTTTATATAAATGTCTTCCTTGATAATAATGACACCTTCTGTAAAACTTTGAAAGTGCAAATATTTTATTCTCCACACCTACATTATGAAATTTTCTAGATGCCGGAAATCCAATCCATTCTCTATTGTGTACAGTAGTATAAATTTACAATTGATTTGCCTGTTTTCTGCTTAAGTTTTGATTTACGTATTTGCACTTGCTTACCTTTCCAGATGACTTGACACCTTTAAACAGACACAAGAACACCACAACCCAGGCAACAAAGAGACAGATGAGGAGCTCCCAGCGGAGAGCCCCCATATCCTCTATACCGTCAGACAGCTGTAAAACTCCACGTCTGTACAAGGAAAAATAAAAAAAGTAATATCATTTATAGGAGTCAACTGGTACAAATACTAAACATATGGTGAAGAATTTACATTTGATATATATCTTTATATTTACTGACTAAACACTTAAAGATACATTTAATTGGTGAAAACAAGAAATTGTTGAAACGCATGAGAGAACAAAACCTTTGTAATGTCTTTTGAACTATGCTTTACTTGTAGTTTTAGTGCACCTGTACTTGAATTTCAGTCATTCATTTTTACAAACCTGATATTCTTCATCCAACCAAGAATAACTAGATATGATTACTATTACTATTCTATTACACCTTTTCAAATGAAGATTTTTTTTCATCAAGGCACTTAGCATCAAAAAAAAAGTAAAATGTCATTCATAAGTATTGGAAACACTTAACTGATATAAAAAAAAAATTTAATCAAAAATAAGCATCATGATTGTCAGAAAGAAGTGAAATGTAATAAAGCTGATTGACAGACAGGAAAGGTTTCAACACAGAACTTAAGTTCGTGCTGGGTAAGTTATTAAAAAAAGCTTAAATGCATCATGCACATATGGTTATGTTGAATACATGCAGGGTTATTAAGGAAACCAACTTACTGCCAGAATTCCTCACTAGCTGTTTTCAGGTCTGAATCATTGCCTGCAGGTGATACTGTTGTCATGGAAACATTGTAGAAAACACTGGAATTGATGGTTTGGTTCGGTGTCACCGTGAAAGTGCTGTTAAGGGAATCTTTCGTTCTCAAAAAACATTTCTCAGTGTTCCACCAATTATTACATGTACTCCAAGGTAGGACGGCACGGAACGAGTAGTACAGGTAGTAAATTGTCCAGGTGATGATGATATTGTAGTATATACATACAATACCAGAGATAATCACCATCCCGTAACCCACACCTACAATATGTACATTACTGATATACAAACATACCACTGATGTCATTGATTTCAACTTTAAAAGATTAGCATGTATGTTCACATGTAAAAGTTATGAATAATGTTGTGCTTCAAGTAAAGTTATGAATAATGTTGTGTTTCAAGTAAAGTTATGAATAATGTTGTGTTTCAAGTAAAGTTATGAATAATGTTGTGTTTCAAGTAAAGTTATGAATAATGTTGTGTTTCAAGTAAAGTTATGAATAATGTTGTGTTTCAAGTAAAGCTATGAATAACGTTGTGTTTCAAGTAAAGTTATGAATAATGTTGTGTTTCAAGTAAAGCTATGAATAATGTTGTGTTTCAAGTAAAGTTATGAATAATGTTGTGCTTCAAGTAAAGTTATGAATAATGTTGTGCTTCAAGTAAAGTTATGAATAATGTTGTGTTTCAAGTAAAGTTATGAATAATGTTGTGTTTTAAGTATTTCCAACCACAATAATTTTCAAATGGTAGCACATCACTTTAATGCTGGCAGCACAGATACTATAACATCCACCCAATACTGATTGAAACATTTGTTTGTTAAATCTGTGTCAGTTATAACAGATATTCCATCCTTCTCTACCTAGGTAAATTATAACAGATAAACATCTCCCTTAACCTAGTTAAATTATAACAGACACAACATCTCCCTTAACCTAGGTAAATTATAACAGATACAACATCTCCCTTAACCTAGGTAAATTATAACAGACACAACATCTCCCTTAACCTAGGTAAATTATAACAGACACAACATCTCCCTTAACCAAGGTAAATTATAACAGATACAACATTTCCTTAAACCTAGGTAAATTAAAACAGACACAACATCTCCCTTAACCTAGGTAAATTATAACAGATACAACATCTCCCTTAACCTAGGTAAATTAAAACAGATACAACATCTCCCTTAACCTAGGTAAATTATAACAGATACAACATCTCCCTTAACCTAGGTAAATTATAACAGATACATCTCCCTTAACCTAGGTAAATTATAACAGACACAACATCTCCCTTAACCTAGGTAAATTATAACAGACACAACATCTCCCTTAACGTAGGTAAATTATAACAGATATACCATCTTCCTTTACCTGAAAAGATAGTCCTCCCCAATTCACACCTTTTTTTCATTTACATTGTATCTTTACAGAGAAAGAACATGCACATGAATTCATCATGTCAAGATCTGTGAAAACATGCAGCGAACCAATTGTTTAATTAGCTAACTCCCAATTAGAGGAAGTTGACCAGTCTAGTGGTGATGATTTATCTCGGTTTGGTCACCCTCTGCCCACTGGTCAAGGCTCAACATGATAATGTTCTGTCAAGACAATGAAAAACAGTCGTATTGATTTTTCTGCAACAGTGTCCAGGATTAGTCCAGCCATATATAGACATGTACAGAACACAGTCATACACTGTTGTGGAAAATTACCAAAGCCATAAGTGACATTTACAGTATTGCTATCACTCATAGATACTGTACTGACTTCTAACAAGAGGCCTATGGAACCTAAACCACTAACCTGGTTATTTTAAAACATTTTTGTTCTTAATCATATTATTAAAATTTTAATATTTTAAACAAGATTTTGAAAAAAAAATGTTTTTAAATTCTTACCACTATTTGCCATAATGGAGCATGCTTCTGCAGATCTGTGATTTACATAGAATTAGACCAAACCTCTCAGGCCTAGCATTTCTTTTTACAAAATTGGTACCTCTTCAACCAAACTCTCCAAACCTAATCTGGTCAAAATACCTTTTCATCCCAATGAAAGCATTTTAATGCAAATCCTCTATTTGCAATATTGGATGCAGCCTCTTGGCCCTCTGTTTAAACAAAATTGGGTCCCCTTCATCCAAATCCAAAAATCGCGTCATTCCCACAGAAAAAGGATTTTAAGAAATTGTTGGGCCCCACCCCTCAGCTTCCATGGAGATCAGCCCCTCCATTTGTCGTGATATTTATTTCTTAAATTCCAAAGAAAAAGTAGTTCTAATAAATCTGACTCTTTTTGAGTCAGGGAACAGGCACCATATCTTGCCTTCCTTTAAACAAGGGACACATTCTCCATATCTCACCTACCTTTCAACAAGGGACACATTTTCCATATCTCACCTACCTTTAAACAAAGGACACATTCTCCATATTGTGATGGGGCTGAGACTGGCAAATTGTCCATAAGACACCTCGAGGAAGAACAGAGGAATCCCACACAGTGCCAAAAATATCACATATGGTATCAGGAAAGCACCTGCAGCAATCAGAAACATGTTACATGACTAACATATTAGGGATTTAATGGGAAGAAACATAAACATAAACAAAACAGGAATATTTGAGATTCTTTAACTTTGAGGCACCTTTTCACAGTTTTAAGAATTTCTGTTCTCAGGATTGAAAAAATATAGATATATGAATGGCTGTTCCTGCATATCCTTGATTTTTTACTAAAACAACAGGCTCATAGGGCTTAAACGTCACATGAGGTCTTCAGGTTGTCGCCTGACGTCTTCAGGTCGTTGAACAGTTTCAAAACCTGTCCATCAGTCCCAGCATTGGGGCAGACAACAGAACTGATATATCCATACTTACAAAGTTTTTTATTGTTTCTATGTTGGAAGGCTGAATTTTCAATTAAACGGAACGAATAACATGGTCTGTTGTTGTAATTTAGCAAATATCCTGCCCCTTCGGAAGTTCATAATTACACCCATAATACCTTAAGAAAAACATCTGTACAGAAAAAATATATACTGTCTCCAAAATCATAAATGTTGACCTTTCACAACATTTCTTTCTCTCTTTTTCTGTGGGTAAATTCATATCTACACCATGAAAATTGATGGGTAGACTTTTTAGAGGCAAATAATAAATCAATTCATGGTCTCACATCTAATGAACACTAAAGATAAAAAGCAAAAATAAACATTCATTTTCTTGCTTGTGATTAACTTTTGATGTACCTCCTTTCTAACTCGATAATCAAAGTATTGTAAGTGATATTTTTTTCAGTGGTTCAAATTTTCAGTTTTACCTATAGGATGTGTTTTTCAGAAATGATGAAACAGACCCTTTTCTGTACTCATTTTTAAATTTAACGGTTTATGATTTTATTTCATCTCCAAAAATATTGAAAAAATACATCCTCCTGAAAAAACATTTACAGTAAATATTTGTTCATGAAAAAAAGGAATAAATTTCGGCTAACCTCCTCCACTTTTGTAGCACAGATAAGGAAATCTCCAAATATTGCCCAGTCCCACAGCATAGCCAATACAGGACAGCAAGAAATCCATCCGTCCGGACCAGTTACCACGAGATGTCTCATCTCCACTATATACAGAAGAACTGCTACTAACCACAGAGGAGTTGATGGGTGTTTCCAATGCTTTCTGAAAGATCACAGATATAAAGTGCTTAATAAAATAAAATCCAAGTTAACAAGATTATCAGTGAAATTGACAAATTCTCAAAAACAACTTTATTTGACACAAAATTTTAAAAAGGGCAATAACTCTGTACAATGAACATTCTGTTATTATGACCAATGTAACACCACAATTTATTATCCTAGTCTTAATGAAGGCGAAGCTATGCTACAGACATAAAATTCAAACAAAAGGCAATAACTGTACCACAAAGGGGTTGCAGACCTTGAATTTGGTACACTGCATATCATCTTAGAATGACCAATGTGTACACCCAGTTTCATTATCCTAGTTTCAATGCAAACAAAGATATCTTCCAGACACGAATCTTTTTATCACAGGGAAATACCTCTATAATTGAGCTGGTGCATGCCCTAACATTGGTACACTGTATATTGTCTTGGTATGATTAATGTTTCCATCAAGTTTCATTACCCTAGTTTAAATCCAAGCAATTTAAAGTTGTGCTCTGAACATAAAATTTTAACAAAGGGCCATAACTCTCTAATTAAATGGTTTTAGGCACAGCAGTTAGTATGTTGTTCATCCACTTAGTATGACCAATGTATACATCAATTTTCATTATCCTAGCTTAAATGAAAGCAAAGTTACGTTCAGGACATCGACAAACAAGGCAGTGATTATACGCTCCTCTGAAAAATAAAGACCGACGACATCGTCATTGATTAAAATGTATCTCAAATTCAAGGTACTAGTTTCCAGACATACTACAGTATAGAAATAGCACAATTACCTGGTAGTCATTTTATGAGAACATCTCTAGTTATAAATATCCTCAGTGATGGTGTTGTATTTCTGTAAAACAATCCTCACTACTGATAGAGAGTTATAGTGTTGTATTTCTGTAGAACAACCCTCACTACTGATAGAAAGTAATGGTGTTGTATTTCTGTAGAACAACCCTCACTACTGATAGAAAGTAATGGTGTTGTACTTCTGTAGAACAACCCTCACTACTGATAGAGAGTTATAGTGTTGTATTTCTGTAGAACAACCCTCACTACTGACAGAGAGTAATAGTGTCGTATTTCTGTAGAACAACCCTCACTACTGATAGAAAGTAATGGTGTTGTATTTCTGTAGAACAACCCTCACTACTGATAGAGTTATAGTGTTGTATTTCTGTAGAACAACCCTCACTACTGATAGAGAGTTATAGTGTTGTATTTCTGTAGAACAACCCTCACTACTGATAGAGAGTTATAGTGTCGTATTTCTGTAGAACAACCCTCACTACTGATAGAGAGTAATAGTGTCGTATTTCTGTAGAACAACCCTCACTACTGATAGAAAGTAATGGTGTCGTATTTCTGTAGAACAACCCTCACTACTGATAGAGAGTTATAGTGTTGTATTTCTGTAGAACAACCCTCACTACTGATAGAGAGTAATGGTGTTGTATTTCTGTAGAACAACCCTCACTACTGATAGAGAGTTATAGTGTTGTATTTCTGTAGAACAACCCTCACTACCGATAGAGAGTTATAGTGGTGTATTTCTGTAGAACAACCCTCACTGCTGATAGAGAGTTATAGTGTTGTGTTTCTGTAGAACAACCCTCGCTGCTGATAGAGAATTATAGTGTTGTATTTCTGTAGAACAACCCTCACTACTGATAGAGAGTTATAGTGTTGTGTTTCTGTAGAACAACCCTCGCTGCTGATAGAGAATTATAGTGTTGTATTTCTGTAGAACAACCCTCACTACTGATAAAGAGTTATAGTGTTGTATTTCTGTAGAACAACCCTCGCTGCTGATAGAGAATTATAGTGTCGTATTTCTGTAGAACAACCCTCACTACTGATAGAGAATTATAGTGTTGTATTTCTGTAGAACAACCCTCACTACTGACAGAGAGTAATGGTGTTGTATTTCTGTAGAACAACCCTCACTACTGATAGAGAGTTATAGTGTTGTATTTCTGTAGAACAACCCTCACTACTGATAGAGAGTTATAGTGTTGTATTTCTGTAGAACAATCCTCACTGCTGATAGAGAGTAATGGTGTTGTATTTCTGTAGAACAACCCTCACTACTGATAGAGAGTTATAGTGTTGTATTTCTGTAGAACAACCCTCACTGCTGATAGAGAATTATAGTGTTGTATTTCTGTAGAACAACCCTCGCTGCTGATAGAGAGTTATAGTGTTGTATTTCTGTAGAACAATCCTCACTACTGATAGAGAGTTATAGTGTTGTATTTCTGTAGAACAACCCTCACTGCTGATAGAGAATTATAGTGTTGTATTTCTGTAGAACAACCCTCGCTGCTGATAGAGAGTTATAGTGTTGTATTTCTGTAGAACAACCCTCGCTGCTGATAGAGAGTTATAGTGTTGTATTTCTGTAGAACAATCCTCACTACTGATAGAGAGTTATAGTGTTGTATTTCTGTAGAACAACCCTCACTACTGATAGAGAATTATAGTGTTGTATTTCTGTAGAACAACCCTCACTACTGATAGAGAGTTATAGTGTTGTATTTCTGTAGAACAATCCTCACTGCTGATAGAGAGTAATGGTGTTGTATTTCTGTAGAACAACCCTCACTACTGATAGAGAGTTATAGTGTTGTATTTCTGTAGAACAACCCTCACTGCTGATAGAGAATTATAGTGTTGTATTTCTGTAGAACAACCCTCACTACTGATAGAGAGTTATAGTGTTGTATTTCTGTAGAACAACCCTCACTACTGATAGAGAGTTATAGTGTTGTATTTCTGTAGAACAACCCTCACTACTGATAGAGAGTTATAGTGTCGTATTTCTGTAGAACAACCCTCACTACTGATAGAGAGTAATAGTGTCGTATTTCTGTAGAACAACCCTCACTACTGATAGAAAGTAATGGTGTTGTATTTCTGTAGAACAACCCTCACTACCGATAGAGTTATAGTGTTGTATTTCTGTAGAACAACCCTCACTACTGATAGAAAGTAATGGTGTTGTATTTCTGTAGAACAACCCTCACTACTGATAGAGAGTTATAGTGTTGTATTTCTGTAGAACAACCCTCACTGCTGATAGAGAGTAATGGTGTTGTACTTCTGTAGAACAACCCTCACTACTGATAGAGAGTTATAGTGTTGTATTTCTGTAGAACAACCCTCACTACTGATAGAGAGTTATAGTGTTGTATTTCTGTAGAACAACCCTCACTACTGATAGAAAGTAATGGTGTTGTATTTCTGTAGAACAACCCTCACTACTGATAGAGAGTTATAGTGTTGTATTTCTGTAGAACAACCCTCACTACTGATAGAAAGTAATAGTGTTGTATTTCTGTAGAACAACCCTCACTGCTGATAGAGAGTTATAGTGTTGTATTTCTGTAGAACAACCCTCACTACTGATAGAGAATAATGGTGTTGTATTTCTGTAGAACAACCCTCGCTACTGAAAGAGAGTTATAGTGTTGTATTTCTGTAGAACAACCCTCACTACTGACAGAGAGTAATGGTGTTGTATTTCTGTAGAACAACCCTCACTACTGATAGAAAGTAATGGTGTTGTATTTCTGTAGAACAACCCTCACTACTGATAGAGAATTATAGTGTTGTATTTCTGTAGAACAACCCTCACTACTGACAGAGAGTAATAGTGTCGTATTTCTGTAGAACAACCCTCACTGCTGATAGAGAGTAATGGTGTTGTATTTCTGTAGAACAACCCTCACTACTGATAGAAAGTAATGGTGTTGTATTTCTGTAGAACAACCCTCACTACCTCACTACTGATAGAGAATTATAGTGTTGTATTTCTGTAGAACAACCCTCACTACTGATAGAAAGTAATGGTGTTGTATTTCTGTAGAACAACCCTCACTACTGATAGAGAATTATAGTGTTGTATTTCTGTAGAACAACCCTCACTACTGATAGAAAGTAATGGTGTTGTATTTCTGTAGAACAACCCTCACTACCGATAGAGTTATAGTGTTGTATTTCTGTAGAACAACCCTCACTACTGATAGAGAATTATAGTGTTGTATTTCTGTAGAACAACCCTCACTACTGATAGAGAGTTATAGTGTTGTATTTCTGTAGAACAACCCTCACTACTGATAGAGAGTTATAGTGTTGTATTTCTGTAGAACAACCCTCACTACCGATAGAGTTATAGTGTTGTATTTCTGTAGAACAACCCTCACTACTGATAGAAAGTAATGGTGTTGTATTTCTGTAGAACAACCCTCACTACCGATAGAGTTATAGTGTTGTATTTCTGTAGAACAACCCTCACTACTGATAGAAAGTAATGGTGTTGTATTGCTGTAGAACAACCCTCACTACTGATAGAGAATTATAGTGTCGTATTTCTGTAGAACAACCCTCATTTCATAACTGCATTATTATTTCAATGGCTATTTTTCTGTTAACGCACTTTCCTATGATTGTATTCGGTACAGTATCAATAAAAGTGTATCACCTTTCCTTGGGTAACATAAAGTATTTCTTACTTACTTTAAATTTTATTTTCATATTTTAACATTTACATTTTATTAAAAAATAACAATTATGGGTCTCATCAAATTAGCACATGTAGAAAACATAACTAGACAGATACTATTAATAAATAGATGATAATTTCTAAATTGTATTTGTAGTTTATTGTAGATAAATTTCAAACAGCTAATTCATATTGCAGTTTTATATACAAAAAAAAAGTTAAAACAGTATAACAAGGTATTTTTAGGATGCAATATGTATTTAAAGTATTTCTAGTCAATAAGACATTTTATATACATCTCGTGATATTGATCTTTAAAATACTAATATTTTTTATAAATATTTCAATTGTGACATCATAATGTCCTTCAAAGACATGATCAAGTACTTCTTTAAATAAATTATTTACCGTCTTATATTGAGACCAGAAACAAACTATATTAAACTGCAGGGTCCGTCCCCCAGACCACTTTTACCTGACAGTTTTAAGTGACTATTTCATCCTTGTAAACAGAACATGCCTTTCCCCTATGTATTGAGATGAATGACTGTCATCTCATTTACTTGTAATGCATCTTCAGGCTGCCAGATAATTTTTTCACTAGTAATAAGTATAAAAAATATATGTAAACTATTTTAGTTACACTCCTCCTGTTACGTATGAAGTCTAATCCTTTGTTGTATTAATACTTAATGTTTTGTAGACGACATCAATCCTACACCGTGATGACGCACATACATGTATTTCAATTAATATATGTATGATTTATTTCTGACATTTAATCATTGATGAAAATGTCTAGCAGTATGCCATCATATAGAGAGTACAATTCCTCATGATCAGACTCTGTACTAAATCAAGTTTCTAACTTATGTAATTCTACAACAAGCTATCTGTTGATGTCCCTACAACAAGCTATCTGTTGATGACCCTACAACAAGCTATCTGTTGATGTCCCTACAACAAGCTATCTGTTGATGTCCCTACAACAAGCTATCTGTTGATGACCCTACAACAAGCTATCTGTTGATGTCCCTACAACAAGCTATCTGTTGATGACCCTACAACAAGCTATCTATTGATGACACTACAGCTATCTGTTGATGTCCCTACAACAAGCTATCTGTTGATGACACTGCAGCAAGCTATCTGTTGATGACACTACCACAAGATATCTGTTGATGACCCTACAACAAGCTATCTGTTGATGTCCCTACAACAAGCTATCTGTTGATGACCCTACAACAAGATATCTGTTGATGACTATACAACAAGCTATCTGTTGATGTCCCTACAACAAGCTATCTGTTGATGACCCTACAACAAGCTATCTGTTGATGACCCTACAACAAGCTATCTGTTGATGTCCCTACAACAAGCTGTCTGTTGATGATCCTACAACAAGCTATCTGTTGATGACCCTACAACAAGCTATCTGTTGATGACCCTACAACAAGCTATCTGTTGATGATCCTACACAAGCTAGATGTCCCTACAAATGAATTATTCCTATAAGCATTATGTACATGTATATATAGTACTCAGTTTTCTACTCATTGCATTAAGTTTCACCTTTTCTTTTTTTTCTCCAAAATTGTCATTAAGCAATTAAATCATGAAAGTTATAACTGTTTGAGATTTCTGGGATTGCAGGCTTCCCTGTATGATGTACATGTTTGTATTACAAGGTCAAAACCAACAGGCTTCCTTATATAATGTACAGTAAGGATAAAACCAACAGGCTTCCTTATATAATGTACACAAAAGGATACAACCAACAGGCTTCCTTATATAATGTACACAAAAGGATAAAACCAACAGGCTTCCTTATATAATGTACAGTAAGGATAAAACCAACAGGCTTCCTTATATAATGTACAGTAAGGATAAAACCAACAGGCTTCCTTATATAATGTACACAAAAGGATAAAACCAACAGGCTTCCTTATATAATGTACAGTAAGGATAAAACCAACAGGCTTCCTTATATAATGTACAGTAAGGATAAAACCAACAGGCTTCCTTATATAATGTACAGTAAGGATAAAACCAACAGGCTTCCTTATATAATGTACACATAAGGATAAAACCAACAGGCTTCCTTATATAATGTACACTTGAGGATAAAACCAACAGGCTTCCTTATATAATGTACACTTGAGGATAAAACCAACAGGCTTCCTTATATAATGTACACTTGAGGATAAAACCAACAGGCTTCCTTATATAATGTACACTTGAGGATAAAACCAACAGGCTTCCCTGTATGACGTACATGTTATGATAAAACCAACATGCTTCCCTGTATGACGTACATGCATGTTTTATAAACAATCGCCTGATTGCTTTTTTTAATTTTTTTTTTATTGGTTTCTCTAGTCTAAATGTATTGCAGGACAAAAAAATTATCAGAAACGGATATAAAAGCTGATAGACTAACAATTTTTACGATTTAACTAAATGTTTGAAGTAATCAAGATGAATATTTTTGCAGAAATTATGTCGCTGAATAAATTTTCTACGTTTTCTTTATTACAATATCATCCTTCAAAGCAGTGAAAAATAGAACTCTTTATGAATAGTGCTACCTTCATAATGTCGCATTTACACTGCTTAAGTCTTCTGGACAATGAAATAACATTTTAACATTTAGCAATAGGTGGATTTATTATCAGTCATGGGCTTATTGCTAAATAAATATAGTCTATGTCTCAGATTAAACAAACTCAACCCCAGCCTTCCTGATCTTGTAATTACACACACTGATCACAAAACCTGCTGAGAGTATGCATAGAAGATGCCACTCAACTCCACAGGGATTAAAGGGATTGGGGAAATTCATAGTTGGTGTACACACATGTCAGTTCTCGGATAAATAACTCAAGATTATATCTACCTTGTAAGACTAGACAGTGGCTTTGGAGGTAGTGGATGGGGGGGGGGGAGGAGTGGAAGGGGTATGGGTCAAGGTGCCCCCTCAGGATCTCCCTAATGTAAATTTACATTCAAAGATGTTTCATTTCAACAGCAGCTGTTAAGGTATTGATTTGAATACAAATTCGATCTGGCAGTCAAGAGGCCGATAATAATTGGCAGGCATGTAACAGATGTTATCGTAGTTACTAGCTGTGCTAGATTTTTCTACCTCAAAACCTGTGTTTACAAATATTTCCTTTTCAGCAGAAAGTTGAATTCAATTATCTCTAGAACTATTCAACACTGTGAATGTAGTAAAAAAGTCTATTTACAAAGATGGTTTTAGGTAGAAGAATGTAGAAGAGGCCAACATAGAATGAGTACATATTGAAATAGACAATTCAATTTTTTAATCATCATCTTCTTCAGACCAGAAATTTACACACATTTTGAAAAAAAAAAATTAAAACATCATTTTCCTTTGACAGAAGATCTGGAGTTGTATACATGCTTTGGTAAACAATATGTTGTTCGTCAGATAATGTCTAGATCCAGCAGATTTGGTTAGAACTGAAAAGACCTGAACGCTAATACATTTGTTAATTGTCACAGAATCAAATATACATATGTACACACTACATATGATCAAGAAGTATGAGGAATCCCCTTTTGGAAATAATGTAACTTTATTTCCGTTTCTTTTTTTTTTTAATTAAAACTTAATTTATGTTTCATAAATCAACATAAATTCACATTAATGATATGAGGCATTAGCAGCGCCTACCGTCCCAATTACTGGTTCATTACAAATCCTATTTCAACAGTAATACATGATTGGGTTTATAAAGTATTGCTGTTTAGAATAATACAAAATTAGTGAATTAGATACAAATAGTCTGATCATCTAAAGTTCTTTGATCCAAAGGAGCGATATAACATGACTCAGAAATGTTAACTGTTTGTCAATTACATCTTATGATGATGTGTGAGAACTAGTATCAGCTTACCTCCTTTTCTGTGAGAAATTTTGTCATCACGACTTCGTTCTCAACTGGAACCACGGACTTACTCATCATGTACGTCCTACTTCGGTAACACATTCACTGAGAGTGGAACTGATCGATCGCCGGCGCGAACCACGTGGTGAGCGGGTATTTTTCCATGGATGGAGTACAGACTACACAATGGCGGGAAGAATTGAAAGGCGGTCACAAGTACACGTATTGATTAGTAATAGTTATAGCGAGGTCATTAGTACACGTAGTAATTAGTAATAGTTATAGTGAGGTCAGTGGTACACGTAGTAAATAGTAATAGTTATAGTGAGGTCAGTGGTACACGTAGTAATTAGTAATAGTTATAGCGAGGTCGCTGGTACACGTAGTAATTAGTAATTAGTTATAGCGAGGTCACTGGTACACGTTATAGCGAGGTCACTGGTACACGTAGTAATTAGTAATAGTTATAGTGAGGTCAGTGGTACACGTAGTAATTAGTAATAGTTATAGCGAGGTCACTGGTACATGTAGTAATTAGTTATAGCAAGGTCACTGGTACACGTAGTAATTAGTAATAGTTATAGCGAGGTCACTAGTACTTGTAGTAATTAGTAATAGTTATAGCGAGGTCACTGATACACGTAGAAATTAGTAATAGTTATAGCGAGGTCACTTGTACACTTAGTAATTAGTAATTAGTTATAGCGAAGTCACTGGTACACGTAGTAATTAGTAATTAGTTATATCGAGGTCACTGGTAGACATAGTACTTAGTAATAGTTATAGCGAGGTCACTGATACACGTAGTAATTAGTAATAGTTATAGCGAGGTCACTGATACACGTAGTAATTAGTAATAGTTATAGCGAGGTCACTGGTACACTTAGTAATAGTTATAGCGAGGTCACTGGTACACGTAGTAATAGTTATAGCGAGGTCACTGGTACACGTAGTAATAGTTATAGCGAGGTCACTGGTACACTTGGTAATTAGTAATTAGTTATAGCGAAGTCACTGGTACACGTAGTAATTAGTAATAGTTATAGCGAGGTCACTGGTACACGTAGTAATTAGTAATTAGTTATAGCGAGGTCACTGGTACACGTAGTAATTAGTAATAGTTATAACGAGATGGTGACATGTTTAACAGTGATAAATCATTCTAGCGAGGTTACTATTATGCATTTAGTTGATAAGTATCGTTCCTATGAAGCAACTAGTACATGTAATTAGTAATCTTACCCCGTACTAGTACATGTTGTTATTAGTAATCTTACCCCGTAATTGTCCATGATGTAATTAGTAATCTCACCCCGTAATAGTCCATGTTGTAATAGTAATCTCACCCCGTAATAGTCCATGTTGTAATAGTAATCTCACCCCGTAATAGTACATGTTGTAATTAGTAATCTTACCCCGTACTAGTACATGTTGTAATTAGTAATCTCACCCCGTACTAGTACATGTTGTAATTAGCAATCTTACCCCGTACTAGTACATGTTGTAATTAGTAATCTTACCCCGTACTAGTACATGTTGTAATTAGTAATCTCACCCCAAACTAGTACAGGTAAATGTTTTTGAGATTGCGAATGGTGACCAAGTTATACATCAGGATTAATCATGATCGGGGAAATTTTTTTAAATATCATGGCTACATTTATGATATTTCACCTATTAGCCCCAGAGTAAAAATTGATTAAAAATAATTGATCAGCAATTGTATGTTACACAATTGTAAGTGACCAAGGACTTTTCTACTTTTGATATTCACAGTAATAAACTCTGATATGACAGTTTAACTTCTTTGACCAAGTGTATGAATAGAAAAATAAAACGGTAATTGATAATTACAGTACACTGTATGTATATATATAGTACACTGTATATATATATATGACGAAACACGTTTCACCGCTTTAATAACCCGGCACAATAATATGTATTGTCCTTAGTCCTAGTGTGAAAATTGATTAATTTTAAAATATATCAATCGACTATGAGTGATTTTTAAAATTTTTCGTGTCTCTGAAGTCAAATAATCATGGCTGGATATTGATCGCTTCTACTTGTACATTTTATAACTGTGGTCTATACTTTAACCGACTCGTCAATGACTTTATCCGGTATCTCTATAGATATTTGTTTCCGTTCCGTTCAGGAATTTGTGCTGACATTACAATTCAACGAATTATTGTATGTCCAGCTCCACTTAACAGCTAAAACTTAACCCTGCCAACTTGTATCGTCGTCCCGGAAAAATTCCCTCCAAAATTAACCCATCTGAATGAGTCAAAACCTTGTCTGATATGTTTAACAAAATACTCCAAGCTTTGTATAAAAACAATCAATTTTCATTTGTCGAAGTTCTTTAACACCAAGTCAGGCACGTGGTCATTGTAGTCGTGTCATCGTAATCGATAGTAATCAATTACAATTTTTTAATTATCAGTAATTCACGACTTTCCAATTTCCAATCGTAACCGACTTCATTAGAAATTTACTGTTTAATTGTAATCACGTTTAGTTGAAACTTTCTATCACCATTCAGTAGAACTCGGTGAACTTAAAGGCCTGGCAATGTAACCATACTTTACACACAATGGAAAAGCGTAGATAATAAACCATTTGTTACTACAACCCACTGCACACCAAATCCCCTTTCATAGGTAATCATGATTACATGACAATGAAATGGTGTCGTGTGCACTAGTGGACTAAGGTAACACACATGTAAGAAAAGGGGAGATAATAACTCAGTAATAATTAAGTAATTTATTCAGAATGAGAAGATAAATTTTAATTACACCCTATATACATGTACATCCATAACAACGCCATTATGATTTCTTAATTTTTTCTACATTTTTCGCACAGTTGAATTTTTCATATATTTCCTTGTCACACAATATAAGACTTCCTCTTTTTTGAGGAGAAGTATGTAATGTCGAGAAGCTGTTTCCTTATTCAACAAATGACAGATTAAAATATATAATTTCTTGAAAGATATGAAAAAATTGATAGTCAAATTACCGACAGAGAGTGAAAATATAACACAGAAAATGAGTTTATTATTCTGCATCTTAAACTATTTCCTTCAGACTGTAATTATCCCCATGTTTCTCTAAATAAATAATGCACGCAACAGATTTCCCACTTGTGCCCAATATATTGTATTTTTCCCCTTTTCTGACACCGGAGCTTGAGTTATTCAAGTTTAAATCCAAGCTTCATATATAAACTTTCAAAATTTCCTCGTTCTCCTAGAAAATTCTTTGTTGAAATATCCATAATATTCAAATTTAACTGATTTTCAAAAAAACAATTCAGAAATCACCTTAATTAGAAAATAATCCTTTCGTCCAATATAAAGAATAATGACAGACTGACATCAATATTGAGCCGAAAAGTTTCTGGAAATATTAACTCATACAAGTACAGGTAGATTATACAGGAAATAAAACCGAGTTAGAATATGGCTGGTTTTGAGAGTTTTTTTTCACTCCGTATGATTTTTTTTTTCGATGTAAGAAGTTTGCAGTAGATCTGTGACTTACTACACGCTCAGGTGTAATCAATCTCGTGCACGAAACCCATACACTAACCTATACGTACACACCTCGCACCTGTTGAACACTGATTACAGCAGTGAAAGCGGACGAAAAATGTCATCCAACCAACCACCTGCCAGCATAGGAGTTGACAGTATGCCCCAGGACACACCAGATATCAGACAAGGTGATGAAACAGGTAGATCATATATTGATATGACGATGAACTAAATCCTCCGCAGTAACCAGCTCACGTCTGTTTGGACGTAAAAACTTCAGATGGAAGGTGCTATGTTAAACATTTTAGGAAATAACGATTTAAAACAATTTTATCAACCTTTTTCGAGACGTAAGACTCTGGGCGTTGGATATTTAGCTTTTCATCAGTTTTACGAATATGTCAAATGATTTTTTAATATGTCCGTTTATAATTCTGGAAATAAGAAACATGTTATGGATAGCGAATGCATTTTCTCCAAGTTAGGTAACGATGTTAGTCTCGACAAGCTGTTATCATCTAGGGGTAAGTCATTGGACGGCTGGGTATTAAATGAATACAAGGAAGCTTTTGCACAAGTTTTACCAAAAAATGTTTTACATCCTATATAACAAGTTGGTTATCTTCCTAAAACTTTGTCGGAAGAGGTCCTTATATGTTTACATTAGAATAGCGATAAAAAATATGTAAATAACCACAGGGATATTGTATTGACAAGTCATATTGTAATGTCACTTGTGATTGTAATATCGCATGTTTGGTTTTAAACCTGGTAGCGGTACTTTCATTTCATTTTATTTTTCCGTGAGCCATCCGACTCGTAGTTTAAATAACAAACACATAAATACATAATGTGGCACAAATATGAAAGAATGTTATACAAATTAGGTTAAATGGAGAGTAAGCTTACAATGATACTGTAGTGTACAATTAGTTCTATCAATCACTAATATAAATATTTCCCTAAATTACATAACTCTTACATTATTGGTGCTCAGTAATTCGTCCTCTACATCACCAGAGGTATAACGAGTACATGATCTCTTTTGACGAAAAACATTATTCCGTCTACCGACTTCAGTACTTAAATTATGTGACGACAATCTGAAACAAGTAATAAGACGTTTGTACTTTATTTCTATAAATTTACATAAATAAAATTGGAGACAAAAATTATCAACAAGGTAGTAGAGATGACCTTTTTTTATATCTTACAGTACACGAGGTAACACAGGGCTTTACTGTGTAATTGTTGACCATAGAAAAGTCATTTATGGTTTAGGTTGTAGAAATCTGATACCAGGGGGCGTTTATTGAATGTTATTAAATAGACACAGGACGATGTTAAATCCTTCAATGTTCGATTTGATGGTCGACTTATTACATAGAGAAAAAATATCACCGATTAAGTTTTCTTTATTTGATAATGACAAGGACCCAGAGTTAATTGGATGTAATTATTAAAGTTATTACACACGGCTTCTTAATCTGTTTTCACTGTCCCTTTGTTGGGCGGGGATATTAAAATGGCTTCCGTACGTCCGGATGCTACTTTCCGCATGGTATCTCCTGAAGGACTGGTCGGATTTTGACGAAACTTGGTTGGTGCACTTGTTATCTAATCCCTTGTCCAAGTTTGATTAACGACGAATTCTGCGCAATTAAACGAGGCTGCTGTGACCTGGTTTACCGATTTCTTCAATCACTCTTTGGGAAATCGATTATCGGCAACTTCTTTGCGTATTTTTTTGAGACTGCTGTGACCTGATTGGCTAATATCTTTAGACATTCAGAGTGCTTTTATCTTAGGAAGGAATAAATGAGTTATGAGACTTGCTTGGTAGACATGTTACCTTAACCCCTTGTTCAAGTTTGATTATCGGCATATTCTGTGCATATTTAATGAGGCTGCTGTGACCTGATTAGCAGATATCTTTTCAAGTTTTCCATATTGCCTATTTTAAATTTATATATTTTACAAATGAACATGGGCGGGGGATCTTGATGACTATGTCCTTGTTTAAGTATGCAGATGATACTATCATATTGAAAATCAGTGTTGAAAAGTTTCACGAAAAAATGTGAAAATGCGCATCATTTACTTTTAATTTGGGTTCTTGCATATTTAGATAATGGTTGCAATTCGTTCTTATTCAGTGTTTTTATAGTAGACATTTCTAAAGAGCCTAGTTGTTAAGTGCTAAATGAACACATTGGACATATTTTGGATGGTTATGGGACAACGGATAGCGGACGGTCAGACGGACACAACACAAAACTATAGACCTAGTAACTATCGTCCTCCTCCGGCACCCGGCGGTTGACTGATAAGGTTAACTTTAACGTAATGATTTACAAAGAGCAATCAATCACATAAGTTTTTCAACGTTGCTGTTACCGACAACTTTAAATATGACATTGAGGATCGACCGACATTGAAACACCTATACCACCATCCTTGTGTGAAGTTTCATGTAATTTCTCACGGAAACGTGGCTCCGCTAGCAAATAAACCATTCACTTTAAAGTTTATTCAGGAACATATGTTAAATCAATAGATATCATGTAAAAATCCTGTTCAAAACGTACTTTAGAGATTTAGAATAGCGAATTAACTGCGATGAATAAACTAACATTGTTGTATTTAGGGAAGGTAAATGCTTTCATCCAAACAATGGACTTTCAATGGTATGCTCATTGAATATTGGCGGATCAATTTTGCCGTCTTAGCTTACTTTTTTTTAAGATACAATGGTAAATTTACTATAACTTTCAATACCTTCGCTGCTCAAGGCAGAAACACTTATTTCCTGTTAAAAAGGAAAATGACAAAAGAAAAGACAAAAAAAGAAAAAGAAAAAAGAAAAACAGAAAAACAAAAATCAAAATTTGTAAAACTGCGAAGATAAAGTGTCACTATTTGATCCATATATTGCACGTGTATCTAATTATGCGTGTGAAGCCCTGCACTTTAGTTACAGGAAGTGCGTTTATCATTCTGTAAAAGAAACGTGGTTTTTAAAAAGTTAGTGAATACCTTTGTGGTCTACTGTGAGCTGGGTCGCATTCCATTATCAAGCAGTCGTGAGATCGCTTCACGGTATGTAAAGTGCACATCGGTTTTCGGCCTATGTATTGAGTATATTCCTTAATTGGCTTAACTTATTGAGTAGTGATAACTGCGTTTTAAAACAATGTTACAATGAACTTGGAGGAGCTTATAAACAAACCTAGTTCAGTGTAGTTTTAAGATGAATTTCATGTCTTACGTTAAGCAGGAACTAAGTGTTTTACTGATTATAATAAAAATAATTTTTGTCATCATATACTCAACCGGAATGATGATTTTTAACCAAGAAATGAGAAACGGCTCTAAAACACTTCTAAGTGTATAACAATACTTTGTTCTTTATAAACACACAGTTGATATATTTGTACCGCAATTACATCTTACTAAATCTTTGATTATCACATTAAAAAAAATCTTATTATGTAATAGAAGAAAACTGGAAGATGAAACTTACTGTATATTATTATGCCCCCCTTACTCGAAATTAAAAGTATTAAATATCATTTTATTTTTACCAGCGCCCCTCTGTAACTGAATTATTTGCAAGTAAAAACGTAAAAAAAAAAATTAAAAAAAATGAGAAACTTTAGTAAATTCTTAATTCAAAGAATGTTGATACAAAGTGTTTGGAATTACCTTATTTTTCGTGTATTGTTACTTTAACTGTGTCAGCAATTAGGTATACTAGAATGTTGTCCATAATATATGTGTCAGTATGCATCAGAATTGCTGTGGTTGTGTTCTCGCCATCATGTAATCATGAATGTTATTATGTATCTATTTATATTGTATATCCCAAATGTATGCTGCATTTGGAAATAAACTGACATGGGGGAAAAATAGGCTGTGGATGTAGGAATGTTGCTATCTTTACAATAGGATAATTGAAATTGTCATGCTTATCAGCTTAGTGGAAAGCTGTTAATTAGGAAAACAGTGACTTAAGTGGCTGACATAGAAGAGTCTTTTGTTATTTCTGTAAATATGAAAGTAAAATTAAAGAACTTGACAAGGTCTCAGTAACCAGTTTTGACAAGCTCTTCAATAAAGCCAGACTCCTATGAAAATGAATTCAGTCAAGAGAGGGACGTTTTGATGCTCAACTGATTCTCAAGAAACTTCACATTTGCATTTGAAATATTGTGGAGATTATAAACCTTGATAGCTCAACATAGGCGTTACCTGGAACACTGATACAGTGAATAAAGTCAACTAAGGTTGTGGTTCTTGTTTAATGCAAACTAGCTGAACTCAAAATCCAATGTACAGAAATTTGTCAAAAGCCGATTCTAATGATTTGTCCAAGACTGTTTACTTATGATGAAATTCCAGTAACAATGCTAATTTTTCAAATTTTGAAATCTGAAATGAGAAAAAATGATATTCTTATTACCATTTAACGAATTAAATCCTTTTTCAAATACTTACTTTTCAAATTCAAATTGATACATGACATTCACAACCTATATACAATAATTTATTCAGATGCATATCATGAGATATTCCTTGTTTTCTAGTTAAAAAAAAGGTTAGTCAAATATGTTTTCAATCCAAATGATGCATTAAGACAAAGTATTCATTTGTCTCACATGCCTGTACTAAGGTATACACTAATTACTAACCTGTGACTTCTTACTTTGTAAAAATAAGTCCAATAACACAGAAAGTACATTTACATTTATTTAAAATGCAATACATGTACACCAACGATAATGTACAATGTTGTTAATCACATACTAGAGTATATCGCAACTGTACAATGAAAAATTGGTATAAACAAAATCTTAAAAATTTCTGTTTTAAAACTAAATAAACAAGATACATTCAAAACCTAGTAATTACAGATAACACCAAATGTTTTCACACAGTAACAATATTCATACATCCAATTATCATCCATAGCGACCGATATCTTACATACTTTCAGAAACACAAAACTACTGATATACTGAGAGACAGAGCAGCTGACCAAGTCATTCAGCGGTTAGCTCCCTTGCCTCTCACAAAGAAAGCGAGGATTCCTTTCCCTCAATTGGACATTTTCTTGAAAAAGTATCCAGGTTACCTGCCTGACCATGTGGGTTATGTCAGGGTATTCTGGTCTCCTTCAACATCAAGACCAACTCCCCACCTCTGTCTGGGACAACCAGGGTGAAATAGATATACTTTGATAAGATTTTTGACATCAATACCAATAGATGGCCTGCTACATGAAATACAGACAATTTGTGTGAACAGGACAATAAATTTACCATTGGTAATATCAGTCGATAATATGTACGTAATCATATTTTGTGTAATACGAGAAAGGCTTGCGGGTGTCAACATCAATTAGCAAATATAAATGATATTACATGTATAAACTGAACACATTGGATACAATATGATATGAAGAAATGAAACAGAAATAAAAGGAGAAGCACCTAAAGCCAGGTTTATAAGCAGTTCATTCTCCAACCACATGTAGCTGGTTGCTAACACGTAGCAGCAAATAACCTTACATGTTGAAGTTACAAGTGAGAATGAAATGAAGATTGAGGCCTATTTAGGACATCAACACCACTTCCTTTTCATCAGAGATGAAAATGGAAATCTTAACAAAGATTGAATTGTATCTATTTATTTTTAGTTGAAACTATATATGGAATTATCTATTTTTCTGAGATTCAAAAAGACTGAAATTAGATTTTCTTCTGTGTTGATATGAAATGTCCGGTATTACATCACCATAAAAAGTTCTACAAACATTCTCCAAGAAATTTAACAGTTTAGATGCATGTTGTGTAAAACATTTTGACCTTTTTTCGTCCCCTTCAAACTTAGTAAACCAAAAAATGCTGACAATGAATTTGGATCTTTCATCAAATGATAACAATGAAGTAACATACATTTTCTCTTTTATTAAGTTTTTATTCTAATTTGGTAATTAACTTTGAGTTAATCAGCAGAGTACTGGCAGCAGGGTTAGGTCTGGTGGCAAGGAGTAACTAGGCTGATATTTTTATCCCCAGATTCCTACAGAATCATAAGTCAGTCATAATTAAAGGTGTGACATCAATATGTTTGAGTTAATGCAGCAATGATGGAGTAATTGAGTAAATACATATATGGAGATATCCCTACAGTATTTTTCATTTGTGAATTAGATCTTAAGTACCTGGCTAGTTTAAACGGTGAGTGTGAAACATACATACTCACAGATTAGACACTGGCAACATCAACATAATCCTGGTTAAATGAACTCTGTATAGCAACTTGACAAAAGTATCACATATCAACATTATCCTGTTAAAGAATCACTGTAGCTTTACAACATTTACATAATCCTACTTCAACTCTCAACATGGCTACTCTTGTTGAACTCAATAGGAAAAAATCAAACAAATGTTTTAAATGCTGTTTGTATAAAATACCTTGAAATTATCACAAATGGCTTCAATGATATATCAATTCGATTTACAACAATAGTATTTCAATGAATATACAAACCTGTTTCAAACATGGGGAGGTAATCAGTTTAAACTTTGGGAAACATTGCCTAAAATGCCTATAATGCAGTTTCTGTTAGGTATGTAAATAGATCTTTGATGATAAGACAGTAGCACAATCAGATCTTTTGTAAGAATTTCTTCAACATATTCTAATTACTTCCCCTTGATGACAAAAACAATATCTTTACATTGATAACAAAAATATTGTAGACAGGTAATTTCTTGATTGATCTCTAATTATTTTAATAATTTCGATACCAAGTTTATAGTTTTTTTTCCTTTTAAAACTGATTATTTTGACCCATAAATATTGTGCAATGAGACCATAAGAATAAAATTACCATTGTAGTTATGACCACTAAATGTAGCACATCATTTGATGGCAATTATGCCATTTCATAATTGTCAACATGATGCTCAAATTTCTGGTTCAAATAAACTTTGAATAAATCTCTTAAATACCTATTATAAACGTGTCAGCAATATTTTTTTTTAGACACAATAACAATTTGTTTTACTATGACACTGATTATTTTGATCTTTCTGTAGTAAATTTAAACATCTATATCATACTTTTTCACAAATAGATTTTTAATAACATCAATTCTTTTCAGATCAAATTTAATACTCTTTGTCCTCATTCCAAAGTCCTGTGTCCAAGCTCCCAGTCTGTGTAAATTCCTAGCCATCACAGTGCATGTTTATTATTCGACTGGCATTCAGAGACTCTTGGGTTCTAGAGGTCTTCAAAAAAAAAATAATAATAATAAAGTTAACAAGTAAGTTACAGCTTTGAAATAAAGCATTATGTCTTCTTGTATCAAAGATATTATTTGGAATAAGTTTTGTTTTCTTCAACATATGAATGGCTTTTGCCTGATAATAATGAAGATCAACAAAGTATTTTTACCCATGGTAATATTTTCCTACAAAACCAAAATATGAAATGAGATGTCAGATTGTTTTTTGCCCTACAGAGAATTAAGAATTAGCCATGGACACCAACCTATTGGAATCAAAGTTAAAATGGATTTGAAATCTCCTAATGCTGACAGAGACACTAACATCACACTACTTACATGTTAGTGTTCAATCATCAAAGGAGGAAAAATTCAGAGTCATCAGTATCATCTGAGTCCTCTATATGTCCAGCATCCACCATACACACGTTAGACGCAGCTTCCCTAAAAAGAAAACAGACAGAAAACCATGTATACATTTTCTCTCCCTAGCTTCCCTATACAAACACAGACAGAAAAATATGTTTGCATTTTATCTTCCTAGCTTCTCTGTACAAAGACAGACAGAAAAATAACTCAACAGGAAGACTTTCTTTGACACTGTGACCAGAATAAGGGTCGCACACTTTGTCGGACTTCATCCTAGGAACCTATAACCTAAATATCATTTTTCTATGCCTTTTGATACAAATACAAATTGAAGTAGTTTCTCTAACTGTATTCAACATTTAATAAGATTTAGTCTTTGTACTGTTAGAATAACTTGAAGACACCCATTTATATCAATTGTATCACAATACATTTAAGATACCCATTTGTATATCAATATGGAAGGATCTAGTATAAAAATGCATCAACCCCATTGCTAATCTTTAAAAGTAATATACATGACCTCTTTATGAAATAAATGTTGGTGATTGCAGACTTACGTCTCAGTAAATGCTTTTACATAGTCATCACCTGGTCCCTTCTTGGCAAACTTGACTGTTACAGCACAGAGTCCTAGACCTGGTAAATTCATTAAATATATATAACAAATAAAAGGAGATGGGGCTCACATCAATATTCTAAATGAATACCTGTAATTACTACTGGCATACTCTACAATTTCTATCCAGCAATAAGTCAAGAATGCCAGAACATAACCTCTGTCTCAAAGTTGTGGTTGAATTACTATAGTACAAAGAATGAACTCTTGTTCATAATTCTTTGATAGACAATGAATATGGATGGGCTTATTAGCAGACAATGGCTAAAGGTCAAATTAATGAGCTACTTCAAAGTGGTTCATTGTATAACATCTGACTTTTTAACTTTGAGGGATGACCAACAAAATCTATGAACATGTGTAAATGTTGTTTGGATACTCTAATGTAAACATGAATTGGGAGGATTTAAGATAAAAACTTATTTTTTTTAATCTAAAATGTCAAAAAAAGTAGTGTTTATGTAAATTTCTACTTTTAATGGTTTTACTGGTCTTATTATTAAATATTTATTTTCCAGAAGAAATGTTTTCTCTATTTCGAGATATTTACAAACAATCAAACTTTAGGTCAATATGTCATGTGACAGTTTGGTAACTGATAGAAGTCAAAGATTTATCAGGCAGTCAAAAACTCACATTAAATTGAACTAAGAATGACTTCCACTCTACTATATCAACAATAATACATTTACCTTTCAGTTGCCTCTCCAGTCTACCGTACTGGGTCCAACGGTTCTGCTGGGGATCGTATTGTTGAATATTAGATATCAAATCACCTCCTAAAGTCTCCCCTCCTGCCACCAGGATCTTCTCATTTAACACTAGTAACAAACAGTGTAGAAACAAATATGAAATATTATCAGGTTTAACTGAAAGTAGTGATACTTTGATTTAATTTGCTTACAAAAAGTAGTCTTAAAAATTTGATAAAAAAATGAAAATTGAAGTTCTTGTAAGACTGGAATTTTATATATAAGATATTAATGAATTTCATTGATGGAATCACGAGGTAAAATGTTTTCAGACATTCAAATTTTGTATAATAGATTTCCAAAAGGAACAATAACAAATGTGTTTCATATGAGCCCCTGTCATTTCGCAGAAAAGTAATATTTTTACAAAAGCATTAGCTTCTGTTCTCAAGCAGTAAAAGACTTTCTTCTACAAAAGAAGGATTCACAAATAAGCAATCCATTGTCTTGTTTAAATATATACAAACAAACATACCAGTGCAGACACTATACATTTGTTTATGACATAAAAACTTCCTCTGATTTAAAACAATAAAATCTATTTAACAAAATTCTGGAAACAATGTACTAAATGAATTTGTATATACAGTATATAAAAAATGCAACCTTTTAACAATATGCAATGATGAGTACTGAAGACTGCCATGAAAACTTATTAAAAAAACATCCATTATAATTACACATTTCTAACAGGTGTTTAGAAAGGAGACATTACCAACAATGCCAACATCATATGCACTAATAGGCATCGGAGCGAGACTGGTCCATTGTCTTGTTTGAAGTGTGTAGGATTCCACAGAATCCAAACATGACTCAGTGTTGGGACCCTCAAAGCCCATCTCCCTGTATCCACCACATACGTACAGGACTCCACCTAGGCTTACCATCCCATGTCCTGCTCGTGCTGTAAGACACAAAAATAGAAAATTTAACATATTTCTAAAAAGTTATATTTCAAATAATAAACAAACAAAAATCATGGAAAATCACTGTTCTTATGGGAAAAACACATCAAATTTCAAATTTATTGTCTTCAAACAATGTCTGTCAGAAACGAGTCAGTTTGGCCCAACTGAAAATGAACTTCTGGGTGGAGATGTCAGGAAATAATGTGTCAACTGTTAATGTCACATTCTGCTTATTATCACATTTCCCCCTAACAAATAGAACATGATATTAAGAGGGTATACAGTAAACAACATACAATTAATTAACTTAGCTTTAATCAAAGAGATTCCTACCTGAGATCACAAGAGGTAAATGTAGAGTACGGTACAGTACAGTACATTGTATTTTATTTAAGTGAGTCACATATCCATATTACAAAAAGTAAAAAAAAAAACCTCAGTTGAAGACACACAGATACCGATATCCAGCCAGAATTGGCTTATGAGACACTATAAAACTGTAATGTTGTACCTAAACTTAATAAAAACTTTAATACTGTACATGAACCAATTAAAAATATTTGATGCCTGTGTTACATAATAAAAACTTTCGTGATGTACATGATAAAGTTTATGTTATAGACACCTACAGTACATATGATGCAGTGTAACAGCTAAAGTATTTTGTATATAAGGACTTGTCATTATAAAATGAAATTTACAAGTACCTTCCAGATCCAAATAGGATGGCTTAAAGGTAATAGCTAAGTAATACAGGTTACTTATTATATCACAGTTGAGTAAAAAATGCATTTTGTCTCCCAACACTATTTGATGAATACAAAGAACATATACAATCTTGTAAAGGAATAGCAGGATGGGAGTACAAACCTGTTTGGACTTCAAGCTGAAGATTACCACCACAGAACATTGCCAATACTTGTCTGTCACTAAAATTTATAATATTATTAACACAGAGTTCAGAGCTCAGCTCATTCTTGTATGTACAATAAGTACTGAACTTATTTCCACTGGTACAACTTTTGTCATCTGGTTGCAGCAATGTAAGAGGTTATCTTGAGTTCATACCTTGTAGTAAAGAAGCTTTCTTATGCCACTTGTTAAGCAAAGGATCAAAACACCACATCTTGTTGGTGGGTGTAACTTCCACGCCTCCTGTCACATAGATCTGTAATGAGATATAAACCTCAGAATAAAAAGTATTAGCTGGGCAGACTTTAGTATAATTGGCTTACCTAGGAACATAAAGTCACTGAGAAAGATGTGGAATCTACATTGACAGGTTACTAATTAGTCTATTAACTTAATTTTTACTCATTTTGATATATTCTACAATGGTGGTACATAAGTGTATTTACAATGTGAAGTAACACATTAAAAGAAGTTATGATTTATCAATATATAAGAACTAATCCATCACTAGGAAGATTTATACACCTTAAGTTTGCATAGATGTTGCATTGTTCCTTTTATCATTCATAAAAAACAAATCTGTTTCAAAGTGAGATCTTTCCGTTCTTTCCTCTTCTGTCTTTTGTTTTTGCTTTTCATTTACATGAGATATGAAAACAGTAATAATAATCTCCCGTCTCCTGAACTCCTAGAGATTTTTATCACTCCTGAACGAAATATTTTATCACTTAGCAAGATTGTTGTTTTAGGAGATAGATATTTCTATAACATGATGATATTGCTTCATCCATAGCCTCAGTTTGGGTACTTTACCTTTCCTTCTGCTACAGCTGCTGCATGGTCATACAGTGGTTTGGGGAGGGGCTTTACATAGTACCACATCCCTTCCTCACATTCATGCTTTTCCACCGAGGCCAGTGGCTGTTTATTGTCTTTGCCTCCTATCACATAGATGTTCCCTGGATAGCATATAATAAACATGTACTTAGACAGAAGTTAAATTATCATAAATAAATGTGTGTGGTAGTAAAATCTGATACAGGTGGGTGTGTCAGCAAAAGATGTTATACTTACATATATGGTTCAGGTGTGCCATACCTCTACAATTTATGGAATATATCCATGTTTTAAAAGTTTTCATTGTCGAGAAATATATTTTTAAACTCTAACATTCATGATAGGATATTGATTCACTTTATTTCAATGTGATCATGACTTTAAAGCGAAAAATTCTCCACCACTGATCCCTCATCACTTCTCCCAATCCAGACCTTATTTATTAGAAAACACTTTCAATTAATTTGAAGGAGCAGTCAATGAACATTTCATTTCAGATTTTCTGATCTTATATCTGCTGTTACTGGTTACAAATCTCACTGAGCAAATGTCAATATTCATGTTATAAAACAACATAAAAAGCATACCTGGGAGATAGACAGCTGCATGCTGAGCTCTTTCATGCTTCATACTTTCCATGTCCCAAATACTGAGGTGGCTAGGGGTGAACATACGTACTTGTCGGGTGGCACTGCGGGATGCCAAATCCTCATCCATATCATACACATACCCCCCACATAAGATGCTGCAGTCATTTACCTCTGTGACGGTCAGATGGGACATGGCTTCCATAACACGAACACATCCCAGAGGGAACCAGTGTTTCAGGTCGGTATGGTAGAAATGGTTCCTCTCCCAGCCACACCGATCACCAAAATCATCTGGGGGCATTTCAGTATCCTCGTACAAATCAAACATAGTCACCCCTCCAAATTGCACCAATGTTTTTGTTTCAAATCTCACACGTGTCCTGTGATCATAGTAGGTATACCTTTTCGTAGCATTTACCATATATTCAGTACAGAATTTCACAATATCTCTACATTTTTTATTTGACCTGAAGGGCTCATTTTTCATGGCATATTCTATTGCTGGCCAACCATCCACTACATATCGAATTTTGTCTAAAACATCAAAGGCTTTACATTCCCGAGCTTTAGGGTCATGTTCATACCACCTGAGTGCAGCTTTCAACAGCTGCAGCTCTGTTGTGGTCCGCAGGTGGTCATCTATCAGATAGTCAATCAATGTATCTGGATCCAATTTCAAAAAAGATTCTGTCTCTGAAAATTGAAGAAAATTTTCTAAGATGTATTCCCTGTAATGAACTTTCAAAGTAGGTATAGAAAGTATTTCGCCTATACCCAATAACTCCTCAGCATTGTCAAACGTCATCTTCTTTTTCAGGTATTCTATACAAAGATCAACAGCAGCTGTCATCTGTAGAAATGTTGCAGCACATATGACATCCTGTATGTTATCTAACGTGAGAATTACAGAACCAGTGTATGCATATTTAATGAGTGGATGGACTCCTTTCTCTGTCAGGCCTTTTAGTTCCACATATTCCTGTCGACTCTCTAGCATATCATGAGAGAACACAGCCTTAAAATAGTCGCTGCAACTGGCCAGCACTATCTTATGTACCTGGAAAAATATAAGATACAAATTAAGATTTATTCAGATTTAAAATTTTTGCAGAAATTTTCTTTTTAATATTCAGGTTACACTATGAGTCATGTATGTTACTAAACAAGTAACACACATAACTTCGATCATCTGTAGTAGTTTGATGGCCAAAAACTTATGGCAAAGGTTTTATTATTTTGCTTTCTTCATTATAAATATACAACAGAATATCACAACTGAGTATTGCTAATTTAAATGTATCTGTATTTGTGGAAAACATTGTTTTTCACACTTACTCTGTATGTGTTCCCCTCGACTTTCACCGAGAAGTCACACAAATGACCAGTCATGTAGGATTCATACATGTTCTCCATCATGAGCCGGCCGAACTCCACAGTGGAGCATTCCTCCATGGCCAGGTGGGAATTATCACCTTAAACAGAATCCAGTCAAATGATAAATTTCTCAATATGTTGATGTCTCCTTTAAACATTTGCAAGACAACTTTGATGATTTACAGTGTACGGTTTTAACTGGATTCACTTAAAATTTAGTACACAATATTAGCAGTGTATGATGATGTGCTCTCTTCCTCATGCAAATTTTTCCTTTTTGAACACGGGTACATTATATTGCTATTTCAGTGAACAAAAGCTTGAGAAATCAACTCCTTTCACAGCTTTATGTGGAATTACTTCAAATCTGGTACAAAGTATGGCTTGAAAATGTGCACCTCCTTTTTTCATGCAATTTTCTGCCGTTTTATAGAGTTATCCACATCTGCTTGCATTTCAGTGAATGAAAGTTTGCAACTGCTGCCACACTTTAAAGCAGATTCATTTCAACATTGATACAGAGTATCAGTTTTACTTGAACATGTTTACCTCCCTTTTCCATACCATAATGGATTCATGCTCATTTGCTATTCAATAAATATACTGGCTTTGATTAAGTGCTCTATGGCTATGAAAATATCCTGGAACAGAAAGATTAACCTGCATATATACTGTATTACCAGGTTCTCCAGCCATATGTCTTTCCACTTGTTTGATGTCATAACTTTTTTTTCCAGAAGACAATACTTGTTGCCAACCGAGTCTGCCTGGATTTTCTCACAGCAAACAATATCTAGTCTTAAGGATGGCCTCCATATAGACCAAGCATGTCTTCCATTAGGAATATTTGGGATGAGCTTAACAGGCACATCAGAAAACATCCAACCCTCAGAATAGATCAACATTCCCTTGAGGCAATTTAATGTCCAAATAAATTCTATATAAGATATCTAGAATCTGTGCAGGAATTTGTGAAAGAGGTGCCCACACCAGTTAATGAAGTATCATTTTCCTATGTGGAGTTTAACCCACTCAGGCTGACAACTTACATCATAAGTGATCTTGCACAGACTTTCCTTTTCTAGTACATGTTGATATCAAATTTTGTATAGACATTCTAAACAATCATCAGTTATCAATTTCATAAGTTACTTATGTGTTTTTTTTGTTAGTTTTTTTTTTTGTCAAATATATTTCAAATAAGCACTGCACATAACTAGTAAATGGATATAAAAAGCTTTTAAGCATTTGCCAGCCCCTTTTTAAATTACATGCTGTTCCATTTTGCCAAATTTTTTGCTCAATATCAGTTGTAACATCAGCCATACATGAAAATCAATTTTAAATGCCATTTTTTAAAAAGTAAAATAGAAATAAATTTTGCTATTCAGATGAATGAATGATATTTTCTACATTTAGAAAGACAAGAAAAATCAGTATTGTCAAGTTAAATATGATTTTAAGCCATACTGATTGTACAATATTTTTTCTTCACAATACACCAGTTGAAAACTAATAAATATTCCTGGGATGCGTATTACTGGAATAGATATATGATCAATAAAGTAATAACGCCAGTACGGACAAATAAATTGTCAAATTTTCTAGGCAACCTGCCCCTTTATCAAGACAGAAATATCACATAATTACATCATATACATAGAACAGAAAACAGATACAAAGTGATAAACTAAAGTTGAGAATGGTAGTGTGAATTTAGGTGTCTTGATAATTCCTTCTGCTGAAAACCACTGAAGGCTCTTTATAAGGGATAAAAAGCCATTTGAAGTTGTGGTATGAAAGATGGTGATTCAAAATCACAAATGTTTTACATAATTCTCGGTATGTTGTGTCTGTTATCTACGTCCCTGGTTGTGTAATGTAGCTACCGATTGTATATGTGATTGCAGAGACAAAAATGTTTTCATGTCTTACTGCGAGGAAAGGAGTTTTTGAAATATCACTTATCCATACTATCGTTATTACTTCATTGATTATATATCTATTACAGTAATACACTTCCAATGGACATTTTCTTTGTTAGGATCCAGTACCAATATTGGACATTACCGTCAATGTTACTTATTATATATATATATATATATATATTATGTAGAGATTACACGGTAGATGTAAAGTAGGTAAGCAACATTTCAAAAAACCAAGAAATAAATTCTGTTGCCATTGTGTATCAGTGTATGTCCCACTTTGGGCTCTTCTTGAGTAAATTGTCTGGGCTATACAACACATGTCCTACTGTCGGCTGTTAAAGGGAATTAAAATCACTATCTACGCATTAGAATTTCGATCTCGACTTCACATTGTTCATTACACAACTACACATTAAACAGTAGGCAATCAACCACAGAAACCTGCAGAAAAAGCAGCTTAAAAGGCAAATGTGTCTCATTCGTCTGTTCGTTTATAAATGGAATGCTCAGCTGATGCTGTATATTGCAAAGGTAGCTGTAAATTTTCGTTTCTTCAATTTCTAGACGTTTTGGCGATTGTAAAATGATTTACGTATTACTGTTGAAGTTTATGCATTTTCTCACCGGTCGCCATAGCGTTATAAGTTACAATAGATCAGCATAGTAAACTACAATATTTGCATGGTACTGCGTCCACCGGATGTACATACAAAACCGGAATTATCTCCCTTGTAATAGCTCTCAATCTCGCGGGAACGCCTGTCGTTTGCACTGAACAGACGATTAATCTGTGGAGTTTTATTAAACACTAATTGTTATTTCGTCACATTGTAGTGTAAGTATATTATATATGTTATATTATATTGTGTTTAACATTCTTGTCTTTGGAAATGTGATGACAATGTCATGCAACTACACAATATGATTACAAAAAGATACATCGCTACATGACTTGTACCTGTGTACATTTGCTGTATCTTATTGTAAGACAGACAGGCAGATAAGTTGGAAACTGTAACCAAACTTTTACACACACACACACACATGTGTAGGCTTTTCATGGTTGTGTTCAGTAAATGGTTTTAATTGAATTTGTTTTTTTAACTAATAAGCAAAGCAGAAAAAATGTTCAGTATATCACGGACTTAAAAAACAGCGGGATAAGAAGCTGCATAGACTAAATATGACCAGTGATCGAACACCGGATATATTGTCTGTTCTCATTCCATCGAACGACCGATTTGTCTTCTCATGACGCTGGATAAGTATGGGATGTATTGACACTAAATTAACTCTAAATATATTCAAAAGAAAAAAATATTGCATCTGTAGCAGTTTTCATATAGTGGATAATTACTTTAACACTTCACTTTAACATAGTCTGACTGGACAATCAACTGCAGAATAAGATTCACAAGTTTATTACAAAACATTTTGTACAAGAAGTTGCAAGGACTATAGAAACATTCATACACCACACTTGGTATCACACTTTCCCAATACCCCAAATACCTGATATAATGACCACAGCCATGGAGACATTATAGACATAGTTATGGATAGACAACAGACATTAAGAGAACATAGACAATGGAAATCATCTGCTGACTCTCAGTCTGAGGCTAAATTTGTGGCAGAGGTCAACAGATACAGTTGAATGTAAGCCAAGAGATAAATTTGATGACCCAGGTTAAAACAAAATTTCAAAGACTTGTAATTATGTGAAGGTGTTGCACCATGGTGAGTCATCACCCCTGACCAGTTTCTGCTTTAAAACTTATGCCAGGTCTGTCAGAAAACTTGCAAAACCCAATTTATCTAGCACAGCATCCCTTGACCCATAGTACCTCCTACTGACCCTACTAGAGTAGTACTGTCCCTTTGCCAGACTATGGCCAGTCAGCGATTCCCCAAGTTTCCTGGGAATCCCATGTGCCAGCAATTTTCACATAAATCGGGAAACCCTTATACATCAACACCAGGCAACACTGTACAGAAAAAAAGAAAAAAAAATGGCAGCAGATTATGCTGGAAATAACCTATTTCTGCTACACATCAGATGTGGATTTGAGGTATTTTACAAAATACTGTACAAACCAAAATATTGTTCCACTCTTTTCTCCCATGAAATCTTGTGCTGGTCGGTGATTTCTGGCACCAGTTAATGCAAAAATGACTACCATTATCTTGTGTATTTTTACAGCGTTATCCCTTTAGAAAACAATTTTTTGTAATTTTTGGCACAAAGCATCCCCATGGGAAGCCGCTTCAAGTTTGCGAAGTCAAAGGGCGTGGCCCCAATAGGGGCCCCAGGAGGGGGAAAAAAGGGGTAAAATTAGGTAAATCTTTAAAAATCTTCCTCTCATGAACCAACAGTCAGATTAAATTCATATTTGATATTTAGGGTCCTTATGGCAAGTTCTACAAAGTTTGCAAATGAAAAAAAATCTGGTCAAAAACAGCCCCACTAGGGGGCGCTCAAAAGGGTAGAAAATTCAACTTTGACCGATTTCAACCAAATTTGGTAGACAGCATCCCCGAGTGAAGGACATATGAAATTAAGTTGAAAAAGTGACAATGTGCCCTTTGGGGCCCATAAGGGGTGTAAAAGGAGCCATATGTAAAAATCTTCTTTAAATGACTTCTTCTCAAGAACCAGTGGATGGATTTTCTTCTCAAGAACCACTGAGTTGATCATGTCCAAACTTGATACAGATGTTCAACACAATGTCCTGCATAAGTCTTGTTACTTTTGTGTCGATTCAAAATCCAAGATGACCGCCATGACCTCTGTTTGGCTAAGACATTTTGGACTTCCTCTCAAGAATCACTTGGTGAATCATGTTCAAACTTGGTACAGATGTTTTACACACAGTCCTGCACAGGTGTCGTTACATTTTTGCAACATTTTAAAATCCCCAGATTATTGACCTCAGGTTACTGTTAAGGCCCCTTGGGCCTCTTGTTGTACATTCATATAAAAAGATAACTATAACAGTTACACGGGAAGGGCAAGATATATCTTTATTTATTGTTCATAGCCTTTGTTTATCACAAAATGTAACTAATCGGATAGTATTTGTATACCAAATCATTATTTGTATTTAATTTCAATGCTTTTCTCCACTGGGGCACTGCTTAAGGGAAAAATATTGGGAGGTAGCTTAAATCCAGTTTCTTATTTTGATTCCCAAACTCTTACCTTTTAAAGAGCTCTGCTTGGACAACTAAGAGCATAATAATTATTTTAGCAAAGTCATAAACAAATTAATCAATTGATAACTGTTAAAAAGACAGTTTAGAGATCCTTTTTATAATTTATGCATGTTAAACTTTTTCTTTAATGTTAATTTAAAAAAAAAAAAAAAAAAAAAAATTTGAGAACTTGGATGTCAGTTATTTTCTGAGAATTTTTAGTCTTTTACAACTGTAATAGAAGGAATAATGGAACATGTCTTTCCCTAATAAACACTCAAACTAAAGTAAAAGTCAATGCCTATGCAGCTCTCAAGGTGGATATTATTGCTGAAGGAAAATGTTCCCGGCTGATAATGAGTTAGTGAGAGAGTAAGCTAACCTGTATTCTCTCAACTTTAAACACCTTTCCCTCCTTCAAAATGTCTTTGTCTTGGTAAGGCCAACCACAATCCAAGCTCTTTAACACTTTTGTAGATCATAACTACTTATATAGAGTGGTTATTAGCGCCAAATTTGTAGGAAGAAGGAAAAATTAAAAATACTTGCTACCCTTGTTGGGGCATATTCTCAAGGCTTTTACACCCTAGGCATAGAAAGAGTCTACGGCCTTAGTAATATAACTTATTACTTTTGACTCCTACACAAGTCTGAAATTTGCTGGTAATCACGAGACTGATGGAAATTTAAGCATGGTTATTTTAGGATATGTGCAAGTGATGCTATTCTTTATTATATTGACTTTATGTAAAACACAAGGGAGTTGGTGGTAATACATTTGATAAGCCTTTATATGATTAAGGTAATTTTTACTGTTTGCAGATGTAGCAGTTGTCCAAGTACATCAATGAAACTGTGGATGATTTCATACTTGTGGAGAGTATTGTAGCTAGAACATTGCCAATATGGACCCAACAATACCTTCGATATTTCATGGATTCACTCAAAATTCAAACTCAAAAGATGAGTCAAATATCATGATTTTAGCAAAGGAGATTCAGGTTTTAATCCTCAGCAAACTTGATGGATTATCTTTAGCCAGGGCACAGAAAGTATGTAGACTTTGGTATGATATTGTGGATGATTTTGAAAAGTACTTTCATGTCTGGCTACGATGTTGCTTAACGGAAATTTCTACCTGTGATATTGTAGAAATATCAGGACTTCTGGAAATCGATGAAAGTGATGATTTAATATTGACAGCTAACAACTTGAAAAAGTTGCCGACAATATTTTGGAAGGAAGTGTATGCTGAATATCATAGAAATGAATTTATTAAAAATAAGACAAAAAAGGTGCTGCAGATCGAATACCCTAAATGCTATGGAATGGTCACAGCACTGAAGTTGAAAGGTAGCAAAATAAATATTACTGTTTAGCCTATCATCATCAAATTGTGGGCTGTTTAAATTTCTGTTTATCCATCTTAAAATAGTACTCACAATGTGGATCATTTTCAAATTTCATCCGAAGGTTCCCATTGGTCCCTAATTGTGCATTGCCTCATTTTTTAGCTGATCCGAAAAACCAAAAAGTCAACATGCAGCCATCTTGACAGTAATAGTTTATTATCATTATGTCTTGAAATGTTTTCAATGGATCATTCTCATATTTGTACTTACTTGTGCATAGTCCATTTTGAGACTTGATGGAAAAACCAAGATGGCAGACCATTGGCCATCTTTGATTTTAACAGTCATAATTTGTTGTCACTTTTTGTGAGAAATATTGGATGGATCTTCCCAAATTTTATATGTAGCTTCTCATTGGTCAATGGTTATGCCCTTTTCATTTTTGGTTTGATAAGAGACCCAAAATGGCTGACATGGAGGCAGTCATCTCATATTATGACTGTGATTAATCAGGTGTACTGTAGAGATGGGTATATTAAAATCTCAAACACAGATTTGTCCCAAATGTAACCAATATGTAATGATTATGTAACATTACACAATATTTAGCTATGTACAACACAGTCAACAAATTATGAAATATAGAAAAAAAAACATACTGATCTTCTACTAAAACACAACTACAAACTAATAACTACAACATGAAAGATCTTATCTATAAGGGATGGGTGGGATGGGGTTTTCTGCATTCATGACCTTAAAAATATGTCAGCTCTAGAGGCCTGGGCATGGTCATGATCACCTCCCAGTGCTCTTGAGATTTTTTTTTTTATTTTATTTTGAGCTTAACGTCCTTGTTCCGTTTATAACCAAGCCTAGGACACTTGATGCTCTTGAGACTATAACTGATTAGGTCAGAGCACATGTAACTACAAATCTGTTATGTTGTTATTGGCTAGCACCTGTCAAGGCTAGGAGGTGATTGGCTAACCAAACAAATCCCATCCTCAGTCAAGAGGGGTCCCCAAGTTCCCATTTCCCCAAACTTGACATGCCATGATTGGAACACTGACCCCAAGTTGACCAAACTGATAAATGCTGGGCCAACTTTATCAGAATGACAATCTATCCCATCTTATTAATACTGTATTAATTACTTTATGCCCACAAAGATTATTATTGCCATTTCTTCAGATCTTTCTAAAATTTTATATTTTGATTTTGGGATAAATCAGAAACAAAAATGGCTGACAGGCTGCCATCTTGCATTTTGACTAAGAAAAATTGTTATTTCTTTTTCTTTAAAAGTACTGAAGGGATCTTTCTCAAATTTCATAAGTAGTTTCCCCTTTGTCCCTAGATTCCATTTGATTTATGGCCAACAAGCAACCATCTTGGCTTTGATAATTAAAGATAATTAATGATTAAGAGCAAGAATAGAGGAAAGGCTAGGAAGCGAGTGAAAATATCTAACTTTTAAAGAGAATATAAATACAAAGCAATATTTGAAAAGCAAAGATCCCTGTGGGATCTGTTTTTTTACCACTACACTTGTATTATATAAACTCCAAATTGGATGTTAGGTTTTGGAATTTAACCATATGGTACTCCAATTTACACCAAGATGATTACTTAGCACAGTTTCATCTCAAGAACTGTACCCATGTTTACATTATATATTTAATGTGCCATATATATAGTTTTCATTAAAATCAAGTAGTTGAAATATTGATATCATGTCATTAATTCAGTTTCAAAAAAAAAAAATAATTGGAGAATTGAAAGAAGAGTGTTTCAGAAAAATATGATGTAATAGTTTCTATTGTTTATTGGGCAAACTTTTATTTAGCCTTCAATGAGCACTATCTCCAGAATAAAGGCTTGTTGTCTTTTGAAGATAATGTCTTGTTTAGTGGACATGAAGATGGTAGGGTAATATCCTGGGAAAACATTGATGTAGGCATTAAGGATACAACATTACACCAGCATCAGAGGATGGTTACAGATCTGGCTGTCACTCGTGCAGGTAAGTACTGAAAGTCATGGTTTACTATGTATATACCATATTGGTTCTAATAATCAGCTCCGAGGCGATTATTAGATCAGGTCAAATCTTAAAGGGATATTCAGCCCATGTTAGGATTTCATAGATGCTTTTACAAAAAGTGTACAAAATTATCTGCATTTGTTCTGATAGGAATTGTACATAATCACTAAACATTTAAACAAAAATAGGATATTTGATTTACAGAAATTTTTTGTAGATCTAGCTAGATCAAGGGATGGCAATTATTAGAAACAATTTTCAAAAATTCAAGTTTTGAAACTTATCATTTTTATCAATACTGCAGTCGGGCCAAATCATATTCAATTCTAATGTTTACATTCTTGTGGATTATAAAAACAGGATAAATGAATGTAATAGGTGAATACAACTTCCATTCAATTTTATTGCTTCATTATATTAAAGATATAAACAGTGTTAAATGTTATGTTACTACACAAATTAATTGACCATCCATACAAATTATATAGAAAATATTGAACAATTTTTGAATACAGAAAGTAAGGGAAGACAACTGCAAACATTACTGGGACCCAGACTCTGAGCCATGGACACAGAACTGCTTATGAAATAGGAAGCATCTTTTTTTTTTTTTTTTTTTTAATTTAGCACAAAATTATCATGGATCTGTTAGCAGTAAGAATTGGAATAAGTAAACAAAATTGGTTTGTTTGATAGCTGTTGAGCAATTACAGTTTATATTGCCAACATGGATAGGATGATAACATTACAGTTCATATAACTATTATCAACTTTTTTGCCCTCAAAGTAGGTAGCCGGCAATTATTAGAGTACAGATGATTATTAAAACAAATATGGTATACTGAAAAAGAAAGGGAAATAACTCCTCCAAAAAATTTTGAATCGTTCACAAAGTTTTGAAGAGTTCAGTTGAAAACTGTAAAAGAAGATCTCAAGACAAAATAAGATAAGCATTATGGAATAGCAAAGGACAGTGACACTTACAAATACAGTGGAATCAAACTTCCGTAATGTACAACATAACTTCATTTAATGGTGATTTAACTTTACTGTGTTTGAATGAGATCAGTTGATAAACATTGGAGGGGGTCACTGGAAAAACAAGATTTTACAAAAGAAAACACCATACCATATACATCTTGTCTAAAACGTTAACTGGCATATAAAGATATAAACATTTTCTGGATTTTAGAAAAATGTTCATGCAAAATAATTCGATAGCAGAATTGTGCTGGTGACATAAGTTAATGTCAGACTTGGATTTACTCAACATCTAACTGTGAATAAATAACCAGATCTCATAAGTGTCTAATTTATTTTGTGAAATGCATTGTTTCAGGTCTGACAGTAAATCACCTGCTTTTAGGCATCAACAACATCTTTGTCATCTCAACTTCCAAAGATTCATCACTTATTCTGAATGATATGACCATGGGACAATCCACACAGATCTCCTACTTCAGCAAACAGGTCAACTCAGTCAGGTAAATGTCATCTCTCTCTGATCAACAAGGTCAGACCTTCATGTAATTGAAGTCAGTTATTAAAAATCATCTCAGCTCAATAAGGTAAGATAAAGTCAGCTAGCTGCCCTGAGTTAATAAAAATCAACTCTGTCAGGTAACTAAATCAGCTGTGTCTGGTAAATATAGATCAACATTGTCAGGTAACTAAGTCAGCTGTGTCTGGTAAATATAGATCAACTCTGTCAGGTAACTAAGTCAGCTGTCTCTGGTAAATATAGATCAACTCTGCTTGGTAACTAAATGAGCTGTCTCTGGTAAATATAGATCAACATTGTCAGGTAACTAAATGAGCTGTCTCTGGTAAATATAGATCAACTCTGCTTGGTAACTAAATCAGCTGTCTCTGGTAAATATAGATCAACTCTGTCAGGTAACTAAGTCAGCTGTGTCTGGTAAATATAGATCAACATTGTCAGGTAACTAAAACAGCTGTCTCTGGTAAATATAGATCAACTCTGTCAGGTAACTAAAACAGCTGTCTCTGGTAAATATAGATCAACTCTGTCAGGTAACTAAAACAGCTGTGTCTGGTAAATATAGATCAACTCTGTCAGGTAACTAAATCAGCTGTCTCAAGTTGATAAAGATCAATTCTCTCAGGTAATAAAGTCAGCAGTCTCTAGTAGGTTTGATAATTCCATGTATGTTTCAGGTATGTGTATAAGATAGCTACAAAAGTTACTGGTAATCATCTGTCAGATGCATTCTTGATACATGTACCTACAGTCTGGTATGTCTTTGCTATGAAGTACTTGCTAAAAGATTATCTGGACTAAATTGTGTTTAGTTGTAGTGGCCTAACTTTTGTTGCGGCAGCCAATTGTAGCTTCCTTCAGGGACATCCTGTGTGGGACATTGACTACCATAGGAAACTACAGGCAAATCTTCGCTGTCGTCGAGATCTAGCAGGCCAGGAGTCAACCAACATTCTCTCTGTTGCTCTCCATCATAACAAGGTTCGATAATTTATTTTATTCAAAACCAAGCATTGAACTTTCTTATATACATTTTTACAATTTCTATCCTCAAAAATATGTTCTCGTGTTCTTATTACAGCTATTGTTTATTGATTGTACATATCGTATTTTAGTAGTAATTGAATACATACTATGTTTGCATGTATGTGGGATGAAATTTGTTTACTTTTAATTTTTGATTCAAATAGATAAAGTTGATTTACATGTATCATCTCTGTAATAAGGGGGAAAAACATTGTGGCAGGACACTGAATTTACAATGAAAACTTCTTAAATGTGTTCTGCAGGTGCTGGCAAGTGATGATATTGGTAACTTATTTTTGTACAAAGGGACGGATCAGGTCAAAAACACCAAACAGGACCGACCCGTCACACTGGGTGTATTCGGAGCAGCTGTTAAAACAATTCTGTTCCGAGATGATAAAGCAGTATGCCTGACTGGTGAGATGATAGAGTTACACTTGTAACGATCAAGGCTCATGATTGTCTTTATGCTTAGACAAAAATATAGGACTCCAATATTTTAAAAGTTATGGCCATAAAGGTGTTAAAGGAATACAAGTTTAAAGGAGAACTCAAAGTTATGTAATTAGGTGTGGGTGGGTGAGTGGATGCCTGGAGCAGGCTGGCAGGAAGGGGAAGATTGGACATTCTGGATTGAAGCCAGTGTTAAGGTGTGAATCTATTGGGGAAATAGTACTACTTAGTATTTACTTTTGAAGTTCAAAGTCAATCATGGGGGCTTACACCTGAGTATTTGAAAGAAATAGTTGAGATTCTGTCCCTTTAGGAATCATTTTGCTTAAATAGATGAATACACTCAATCAAACCTGATGTGCCCATTATAACCTGAAAATCAAATAAATCCCTTACATAGTAATATACATGTATAAATTATACCCATATATGAATGTGTTACTGTGATAAAATTTTGTGTTAAAATGACTGCCTTGCATAAAACGTGATTATATCTCTTAATTTGATGTTAAAATACATGTATGGAATGAAACATGTAATTCTGAGCATGTGTCAAGTCATGTTTTGATGACTGACAATAAGTTTTCTAATGAAGGGAGGAAGAAAGTGGGTAGGGCACAATATATCAGCCAGAAGGGCATCAAACAAAGTTACAACAGTTGAAAATGGGTGATCATCTATGGTGTGTGGATCCCTGGGCATCCCAGTTTGTGTTTCTCAGGAGAACGCGTTCAGGTATTGGCCTGTACTGTTGTGGCTGCGTCCTCAGGAAATGTTTTACCCCAGATGGATAACATGTGACAGGTCTCCCACTTGTTGTTTGGTGAATCAGTTACAAACAACCAGTGGGAGACCTTGCCTCAAAATGCCACAGACAGGGTGATAATCTCGGCAAACAAGTTGTCTAACCTATATAAATGTATTATTACGATTATGTGTATTGCTGTAACAGATATGTGTTTATTGCAGATGATGGCATGCTTTGTGTTTCTCTGGATCTTAAAGAATTTAAGCAACACTGTGTATATGAAGCACTTAATGCGGTTCCTGAGTGTATTGCATGGAGAGTCAACATTTTTGTAATCGGGGCCAAGACTGGTATGTATAAATAATTTATACATGTATAAATGGAAAAAATTATTATGCTGTAGTTTTGAGTATTCTTTTAACTATGAAAACAGTTTAGGATAAAATATAACCTTCCTATGCTGCCAACTTCAGTGCAATGAAATTTCGGCAGCACAAGTTTACAATTCATGTGAAATGTTGTGGGATCCATGTTTGTTTACTGAAAGTGGTGTTTGCTTATGATTATAACAACTATACACTTGATGTGCCATTTTCATTATATACATTTTAATGCATTAAATAGCAAATGATCAGCACACATTTTATGTTGATATAAACCACCTAAATTCCAGAAAATAATTACATTCAAACTCATGAATTAAAATCTCATCCAACTGTCAAGTTATATGGATTTTACAACCAGGAGAGTTAATAATGCCACTTGCCTGTTGTAAAAATGGAATGTTTTGATGCAATAATAATTGTTGCAATATGAAATCTGTTGTAAAGGTATTCTCTGGTCTGAATAATTACTTACAACACTCTCCAGGGAATTTCTTACTTTGGTATTCATCTGCTCATGTACATAAGCATTAAATCAAGGGAACTTAGAATAAAAATGGCATACAGAAGTGATAGTGAATGGTACTTGGGTATAAATTGATGAAACATGCATTCCAATGTAGTTGTTTACAAAGTGAATAAAACAGATCTTTGGAATCGGTCGGCAGTGAAGTTTATGACTATATCCAGGTAAATTTGGTGGTATTGTAGTGTTATTGGGAGAACATAGGTTCTCAAAATATTTTGGCAAATGGCAGCATGGAAGTTGCAAATGCATCTAAAAGTAGGGAAATCTGTTCTGATAGAAATTATGGTTATGTGAGTTTGGCATTTCAATAGATGGCAATACAACAAGGTTATACCTAATACTATATTTAATTTATAAACTGTGTTCTGCCCATTGTGAACATTTCTAATTTCCACTAGCACGGAGGTTGAATTTTCAAGCATAGAATTTCATGGTGGAAAAAAAATTAGGTCTCTGGTATTGTAATGACACCTTGCTGATATTTTATTTATGGTTTATCATATACACGTATAAATACTATATCTGTTGGTCATTTCTACTGATAATATTGGCTTGTTTAAATGATTCAATAATCTTCAACAAACTTCTGTAAAGCTGCATAAAAGGATCCAAATGTTGCAATGTACGAATCTTTAATTGTTCAGAGATCTCCTTTAATAGTCATAGTCTGGGGACATTCAGCTGTCTGATCACAAACCCCAGGTAGTTTGATGTTTATATCTTTGATTACATCTTTTTTGGTAGTTACTCTCTTGCATCATGAAAGCTTTGGATGGAAGAGGACTTGTCTGTTTTCAAACAAATGTATTGCAAGCTGATTATAACATGTATAGCTGTCAATTGATGGAAATGTAAACTTATTACATCCTTGGCCTGTTATCCAGTGAATTTGTCCATGTCATATTTTTGCATTTGAGCATTTTCTATTGGCTGCACAAGATTGTGCTGTCATAATATGGACAGTTATAACATATTGACATGAATTAATAATGGTGCAACAAAATAATTGAGTATGTTTGAATTTTTTTCACATTCTTACTTCAATACCTGCCGCAGTGTAACTTTTCTGTGTTATGTGAGAAAAGCATCTTAAATTTGTTTTAATTTCATATGATATTTTGCTTGCTAAAGCAAAAATTTAAAACATAAGTCTTGTTTCATGAACCATCATGAAATGAAAAGTCATTTTATCAAGATCCTATAAATGTAAAATTAGAGAATTATACAAGTAACTGCATCATTACTCAGCTATATCACTTACCACAATAATTTATAAAGTTTTTTAAGTGTAAAATTGTGATTTCAGTGTAACAAATTATTAAAAATTCAAGGTAAATTATGAGATATTTTATTTCAAATTGCCAGGTAAGGTTTTCTTGTATCTTGTGAAGGAAGACGCAGATTTATTCAACATTGACCTATCCGAACCTGTTGGGGTTTATGATACCGATTCAGAACATGTTAACTCTGTTGCTATTGGAGATGATGGCAATGGACCAGTGTTGGCCATCTCTACAGAACATTCCTGGATCACTCTAGTGAGATGGACACGATGATCTAATTGTTCTGGTGAGGTGGAAGATTAAAGTAACAAAATGATTGTCTAGACAGCATTAACTAAAAATTCTGAGAATGGACAGTGAAGTTATCATTCCAGTTGAATGAAGAAACTTAAAGAGGGGTGAGACCTTCATGTGAGGTAGACACTTGTGTTACCATTCCAGTCAGATGGATGATTTTTTAAATTCTGAAGAGATGGATTGACATCTTTGTAACCATTCTATTCAGATTGACCAATTTGAAGATTTTGGTGAGGTAGACACTTGTGTTACCATTGCGGTGAGATGGACATTGACACTTGTGTTACCGAATTCTGTGAGACTTGTGTTACCACAAAACTTTGAGATGGACAAACTTTCTAGACACTTGTGTTACCAGGTAGACACTTGTGTTACCATTGGACAAACTTTAGAATTCTGTTAAGGTAGACACTTGTGTTACCATTCCGGTGAGATGGACAAACTTTTAGAATTCTGTTGTGGTAGACACTTGTGTTACCATTGCGGTGAGATGGACAAACTTTTAGAATTCTGTTAAGGTAGACACTTGTGTTACCATTGCGGTGAGATGGACAAACTTTTAGAATTCTGTTAAGGTAGACACTTGTGTTACCATTGCGGTGAGATGGACAAACTTTTAGAATTCTGTTGAGGTAGACACTTGTGTTACCATTGCGGTGAGATGGACAAACTTTAAGATTTGGTGAGTCTGAAGTTTACAGGTTCTGGTGAGATAGACTTTGAAGTTTACAGATTCTGGTGAGGTAGACACTGATGTTACATGGTCAACTGACTATTCTAGTCATTTGTGTTAAGTAAACATCACTTAAGGATCCACTTCAGGATTGTCAGATCAGTATATATACTCAAAATACAACTTTTGCAAAATACCCGAATATTTAAGCATAAAATAACTTGTATCTTGTCTCCTGTTGATGATTTTTAGTCTACATATATACTATTTTAAAAATTTTAGTATTTTTTAGAATATTTCACATGATTATGAAGCATTTACCTTACAGTTTTGATGAAAATTAACCTAATTTTAAAGATCTAGGCATGGTGAACTTGCCATTCTTAGCAGATAGGGAAAGTTATTGCTACGTGTACATGTTTACCAGAGAAAAAAAAAATTATCGAGCAGAACAGCACCTTGAATGATTGTGCAATATATGTGATTCAAAGCATGGCAAACCTTGCAGAGTTGTGGGATCATGGGTACATCACTTTTCGTTTGAGTCATATCATTCATGCAAGTGTGACCATATATGTTTTAAAGTTTGCTGTCTTGTGGGCATTTGGTGAACACTTTTCAAAGGTCCTATTGGTAATATATATTTTACTCTTAATAGGAAGTAATCGGTTTATTTGGTACATGAGCAAACCGATTGTGTACCTTTATAACTGCTTATGACATGTAATTTGAGAAAGTGATGTAAGTTTTTAAATCAAAACATGTTTTGTAATGTAAGATTTAGCGGCAAGATTTTTTGTTGAATTTGTTTTTACAAATAGCAAAGAACTTTAAAAAGTAGCGCTTTAATATTTGCACTTTCACTGAGAATATGATGTTGATTGTTGAAAAGTTTGTATGTATTTGAGATCATTGTCAGTACCATGTTTATCCTCAAGTACCCCTCCCCTAGTGTAAAAGATAATATTAAAGTTAGGGGAGAGCTTATTTGTGAAACACCTTTAGCTTACTATTTCAAAATTAATGACTCTGTAAAAATAGAGAGGGGGCTTACTTTTGGGTAGGGCATACTTGTGGATAAATATGGTCTGTTAAAATGTATTTTGATATAGGATGTTGTGTGAATTGTGATGACATTGTCACCCAGAAAATCAGTGCCATAGCAATGAGTGTATTTATTATGGAGGTGACTTTTAATTATTAAGTACATGTGAAAGTGCTAACTTCTGTAACTGAAGGAGGTACAAATTTGAAGTGCTTTTGCCTCCATGAATATTATTTTTCACCTAATGGTAGGCATATGCGTACAATCATTAGAAGGCAATTTCAAGGAAGTACATATATGAATGACCATGTTCTACCTTCTAAGCTTCTTTTTTTTTCTTTTGTCTTTTTCAGTTGAACCTAATTCAAGTTCAGCTTACAAAATCATTTTGGGTTAGATATTGATAGGTTTCAAAATTTGACCATGGTTTTTTGTAGGAAACTTTTTCCAGTTCCTCAGGTTACAGAAGTATGTTTGTACACACTTTCCTTTCAGTTTGAAATATGGTTTGGTACATTGAAAATGGAACCTGTTTATGCAAATTTTACAATGATATTGAATTTTACACGAACACTGACAATGGTATTTAGGAGTTATTGCCCTTTGTTATTTTTCATACTTAATTTTTTTTTTCCGGAGTATTACACTAAAACTATAACAGGTATCATCATGAAAATTCATAGGTAGATAGATCTTAACAAGGAGAAGTGCAGTGCAAAGGAACCATCACTTTCTTTTGCATAATTTAGGAGCTACAACCTGTCTTTAACGGCCCTTGTGTTTTATTTGTAAAACTTCATCACAGGGAACTTGCGTTTGGTATATAGCAAAAGCAAGTACTGGTATCAGTGAAAGTTGGTTGATATTAATATTATCTAGTTGCCAATACTGGAATTAAAAGATAAACTTTACATTTGAAGGTGATATTGTCAGTTACAATGATCACTGCTAATAATATATTGTTATGAGTATGCATCAGCAACATCATGATAGACATTACGATGGGAACACCCCAAACAGCATTTTTCTTTGTAATTTTCTATTTTTGAATTTATACATGGTGGTGGGTTTTCTTTTCATTAATCATATGCTGAAATATTTCATCAGTGCTTTGAGTTTTAATAGCAGACAAGTTCTCAAAAATTCTGAAGTGGAATGAGTGAGATTGATGTTTTGTTCAAATATGTTCTAATATGGCACCCCAGCATTTTACTTTATTGTTGCAATTATTGATTGCTACCAATACATTGGGTCATGGCAATAACACCTTTAGCTTCCTGAGGCACTATTGGTAAACATTAACTATAATTGCTGTTACTTCTGTTATATAATGCAGTTTGTTGTATTTAGTTCCACAGATTTAATATATATATACAGAATCCATTGTTCCATTCTTTTATAATAAAACAGGTAGGATCCTCTGTATCACACTGTAAAGATCAGTGTTCACCTTTTAATACACATTTACTGATGACACATTATTTAACAGCTTGGCATGAAAGAGGTATTCTTTCAAGAGCAAACTTGTTCTCAAACAAAAGACAATACCTGTTTAAGCACATCATACAACTTTATATCTGAAATCAGTAATGCATTATATATTGATTAATAATGTGAAGCTGCATTTCATAGAAATACAGCAACCTGTAAGAAAATCTTCTTAGCCAGTACAAAAAGTTAAGAGAATTATCAATATCTAATATAACTGAAAAGTATAGATTTGCTACAGACAACAGACTATGTCAATCTTTGTTAATCTTGTGTTATATGAAAGTAATTTATGTTGACAATAAATTGTTTTACTTATTTCATTGTCAGAGTTTTTTTTTTTATTGATAACAAAAACAAAAGGGAGTTTGTTAAAGAATAACCATCCATAAGTTAAAATATATTGTACATAAAATATCCGAATTATAAGGTTCAACTGTAGAAGTGTATTACAAATTGAATTGTACAGGTTTATTTTGAAATGTTTTCTTTAAGTTCATAATATATGAATACACTTGTGAGTAGATTTTCATTCATCACTATCAATTAGAAAACTTGTGCAAGACATTTGTGTAATTACATTTTGTCACCGACATTGGACAAATGACCTGTGATGCTGTGGGAAGTCTTGAAATGTGACAGGTAAGTGTTCATAGTTTTAAGGTAAAGAGTGTAAAGTGTCTGTTCAATATTTTTCTCTTTTATAAAGATATCAAGTGCAGTTTTCAAACAGATTTATTATGCAAACAGTTCCAAATGTTCAGATTTTCTGTACATGTTTTTTGTATATGTTTTCCTGAAACAAATTAAACTTGCATACTTGTACAGAGTCATTTACATAATCACCAGACAAGATTGAACAAATTGATGCTCACAATCGCAGACTTGTTCAGTGTCATTTACATAATCACGAGACATGTTTGATCAAATTGATGCTCAATAACCACACACTTGGTCAGGGTCATTTACATAATCATGAGACATGTTTGAACAAATTGATGCTCACAAACCGCACACTTGTTCAGGGTCATTTACGTAATCACGAGACATGTTTGAACAAATTGATGCTCAATAACCACACACTTGGTCAGGGTCATTTACATAATCACGAGACATGATTGCACAAATTGATGCTATGAAATGACAGACTTGTTCAGGGTCATTTATATCGATGCTCACAAATGTAAGATGCTCACAAATGTAAGACGTGCACAGGGTCATGATCATTAAGAGATATCTGTGATGTTTACACGAGACAGTATTGTACAAGGCCATTATAACAAGTTAATTTTTTGTTCCAGGTCATGATGGAAAGAGACAGTCTAATAGAATGAGGCATTCTTATCAACAAACAACACCATTGTACAAGTCCATGGTCAAAAAGGAGTATACATTGTATTATAAGGTAATGTTTACACGAGAAGTAATGTACCTGGCCATGATACCAGTTAAGAGCCGTTGTTTTACATCATGATCACAAAATCTTACTATGTACTGTATTTTCTCAATCGATGAGTGAATAGATTGTTGTATCAATGAATGGCTGTATTGTACAGTCAGGTCATTTTAACCAGATGTAATGTTATGTAAGGCCAAGCGGTATTGTACAAAATCCTTTTTCTAATCCACACAAAGTCCATCCGTCCAAACACCAAATTCAAACAAGATAAACATTTGATCAACAACACCGTGACCATGCTTAGTTTTCACTGAAGGAAGTCGAATTTGTTCACGTACGACGATCCTTGGCATGTGTCTGAAACCTTCACTGTGAACTCTGTTCCTCCAAACATTACGTCAACCTGGAGTAGCGCCTGTGGATTCCAACCCTGGGCAGGGCGTTTCACCGTGATTTTGCCGATTTTAAAGCAGGACGGTTCGTTAACGTAAGTCGGCAATTGGAAAGAGGCGTAAACTGTTATTTCTACCACATTCTGATTGGGTCCCGGACTGTAGAACTTTGTGACAATGCTGCCAACCTCCACTTCTTGTTCTGCCATGAAAAACGGATCAAAACATTTACAACAATACCACTGGTTATTGGTCGGACACCAGAATTTATTTTGAGGTGAATGTAGTTTTGGTTCAAACACTTTATTTAATTCTATACCATAGGTGTACTTCATAACTCGGGATTTTATGACATGCGAATCAAATCCATACAATACGGCACCTTTGAGAACAGCAAGCCCGGGATCCTGCGGGCAGACGATGACCTTGTTTGGAAACATCTCTTCAAATTGTGCTTGTACAAGAGATGACTCGGAAAACCCACCAACCAACACTACCGTTGTGATATCGTCATTCATAACCTCTAGGACGTGACTCATTGTCCCTGACATTGCTTCACTGAAAAACTCCGTACACTTCTCGAGTCCTATGTGCATTTTGTTTTTTTTTATAGAAGCACTTTTTGAGAACTTTGTCATACTATCGGCTAGCTTGTTACCTGTCATTCTCTCATACAAGTCTTTCAATTTTACTGGAATCTGAAGCACAAATTTTCTCCCTGATCCAGACTTAAACGTTCTTTTCTTCATCTCAAACTCACTAAACAAGTCGAGGTAATCTGTCATTGCATCCTGCATGAGTTTTTCCAGAATTTCGGCACCAAACACTTGCTGCAAGAACGTTAGGAAAGCCTTGTCCACTGTCGTACCGCCATACGCCCCTCCCGAGGCTCGTCGGATCTCACGGATGCACTGATCTACTGTTATTTCGTGCACTGTCATATCAATGGTTCCACCTACAAATCCCAAAATATTACTTATGAGAAATTTCTGAAACTCTGCATCATGAATTTCGTTAACATATTTCGTTGTTATCTTCCAACGCTTACTTTACTGACCATCCTGCACTAAATGTCTAGTGGAATCACAAAAAATACTAATCTTTAGTACTTCGTAATGGTGGAGTTTTGCTATCAAAACAAGAGAAAACAGCCTTGCTAATGGACGAAAGTTGTCAATTATACTTATATCCAACCTTATTGTTTTTGTTACAGTAAATAACAGCAGATACGAAGTATACCAACCTCCCATGTCTACAACTAAAAACCTGGAGCCCTCCTCGAACAGTGCTTGACCAATGCGTTTTTCGCGCACCAAAATAGTATGTTCCTTCATACAATACACTGAGGCAGCCTCCGGCTCCAACGCCAACTGGAGATGATCTGTGCATATACCAGCCTTCGAAGATAAAACATTACTGAGCAGAAAGCTTGATAAAGGTACGTTACCAACCACATACGTTTCTGCTAACTTCTGTTCCACATAAATGGTATACATATGTAAAGGAAATGTTTGAAATAAGTACTTTGAGATCAAAATCTATCAGCAAACTTCAAGGAAATGAGATTCTTCGTCAATGTGTCATTAGATTAACCACAGTTTGCCGATGTTCCAGGATGGAACACTGTGTACCAAAGAAAGTGATGTATTTGCACTGGCAAGTTTGTGAAAGTAATTATCTCCCTTCGGACTGCAGGGGCTCATGTTCCTACAAGTCGTAGTTCCTGGATTTCCGTTCTGCTGCTTAGAAATCAAATTGTACCCGTAATTGTTGTATCACCGATCAGATTTTAATGTTTCTCATTTGATGAACACATAAAGAAACTTTCACTTTTTCTAAATTACTATTTCATGTACTTGTATAATATCATTTAGAATATTTGAAAAGAAGGTCGATTGACTAGATTTTTTCCTTTTTGTTTTAAGAGACCCTTAGACCCATCCACTATACAACAGTATAAAACGATACTTACAGCTTGTGCTGCTTCCCTCATGAACTGTTTGGCGCCTTCGTCCCAGATCGCCGGGACGGTGATAACCCAGCCGATCATGTCCTCCCCCACGTCGCTTAGTACCTGTTTCTGGACCATGGTCATCAGGTGTTCCTTCAGGTATCGTATCGCCATGGAAAAGATGGTCATCGCCGGCATCACCTCGCCATTTATATCCTTTATCAAGGTGGATCGACCAAGTGTCTGATTGGAAATAAGGTTAAAATACAGTTGATCGGATTTTACGATGATACTATTTTCTCAGCATAAGAAAGAAGTCATTGCTGGTTATGATTGATAACAAAATGACTTTCTTAATTAGCAATACATTATCTTGACTCCATCCTCAAGATGAAATTAACTTTAAAAAGTATCCCGGTGTATCTCAGTGGTGAATATTGCTATACATTATAGCATATGGTATATGTTAAAATACAGAACCTTTATCGTATTTATTCTTATAGTAAGGAAAGAAAGTAACTTGCCTTGTTATTATGTAAAAGCATTTTAAATTGTTTAAAGTACAACCAGCCCGTATGATTATTTTCCTCGGTCAGTTCAGAATACTTATTTTCGGCTTCATATCCAAAGGAGTGGAATTTTTTGTCTTGTGAGAGGAGCACTGAAGACGGGGTTTTTTGTGACATCAAATTTCCGCTGCCGATCCAGGAATTTGTGCTGATCTTCAAAGGTTCTCGTTCGTAGTCGTGTCTCATCTGAAAAGCGTACCCGGAATAGGTGGTACCAAAGTCCAGGGCGGCGACGATAAGAGGGGTAAACTCAGTCATATCCTAAAACAAGATAATCGTGCATGCGGTCATATTGCTGTCGAAGTTTCTTGCCGAAAACATGTTTAGTTTTGGTAGATACATTTACAGAGATATGTAAATTGTAAAATGCAAATTTCAGTAATTATATTCTGATGTATGTAAGACGTCCGTCTCGTTTTATATATTATGATTTATGTAACCCGTCCGTCTCTCTTTATATTGTGGTTTATGTAATATGACCGTCTCTCTTTATATTGTGGTTTATGTACAAACCGTCTCTCTTTATATTGTGGTTTATGTAATATGACCGTCTCTCTTTATATTGTGATGTATGTACAAACCGTCTCTCTTTATATTGTGATTGATGAACACGGCCGTCTCTCTTTATATTGTGATGTATGTACAAACCGTCTCTTTTTATGTGATGTATGTACAAACCGTCTCTCTTTATATTGTGATTGATGAACACGGCCGTCTCTCTTTATATTGTGGTTTATGTAATATGACCGTCTCTCTTTATATTGTGGTTTATGTAATATGACCGTCTCTCTTTATATTGTGGTTTATGTAACATGACCGTCTCTCTCTATATTGTGGTTTATGTAACACGACCGTCTCTCTTTATATTGTGGTTTATGTAATATGACCGTCTCTCTTTATATTGTGGTTTATGTAATATGACCGTCTCTCTTTATATTGTGGTTTATGTAACATGACCGTCTCTCTTTATATTGTGATGTATGTACAAACCGTCTCTCTTTATATTGTGATTGATGAACACGGCGTCTCTCTTTATATTGTGATTTATGTAACGTGACCGTCTCTCTTTATATTGTGATTTATGTACAAACCGTCTCTCTTTATATTGTGGTTTATGTAAAACGACCGTCTCTCTTTATATTTTGATTCATGAAACATGCTCGTTTCTCTCTATATTGTAATTTTGGTGCAAGCCCGCTCTTGTTTAAAAACGTTTTATCCCTGTAAATTAACATGTGTGGGACACGACCTATAGCTCTATATTTTGTAATATTTGAAACACGTCCATTCTCTCTACACATTGTGATATTTGATACACCTCCATTCTCTCTACACATTGTGATATTTGAAACACGTCCATTCTCACTACACATTGTGATATTTGAAACACGTCCATTCTCTCTACATATTGTGATTTATTGAACACGTCCTATTTCTCAACATATTGTGATGTATGAAACACATCATACCTCTGTGTATTGTGATTTTGGGCAACGTCTATCTTGTTAAATGGAAAAGGACGTTAACATTTTGTGGTAGTTTTACAGTCGTCATAGTAATTTTAATTGAGAAATATTCCGTTTCTTTGTGCGATATGAAGCTGTACTGTTTACTGCTCGTTAGTTTTTTTCTGTTTGTTCCGGTGTTGTATAGTGACATTACCCAGGTTAAACAACATTTACATACTGTACTGTTTCTTTGTCAACATCTTCTTCATATTTTACCTTACTATTAATGAGTTTGGATTATGATTATGTTGACATGTTGGTGTTTTCTTGTTGTATATTGCGACTTAAGGAACACGTCCTATTAAACTGTTTTAAAGACCACTTTTAAACAAAAGGCTATCTGGAAATAGAAGATAATTTTTGGTTCCCTTTATAATATAATGCATATTAATTGAACCTCTCTATTAAGACCACCTGTGCATGAAGGCATTTTTTCTGTGATCTCTTTGGTGGTCTCTAAAGTTTTTCATTGGATTTTTTTTCTCAAAAAACCTATATGAAGTCTTTAATATCCTCCATTTTAACAAAGTATTTGCAAATTAACAATATTTAACCTTATACATTGCACTTTAAATGTTCGCAAATATGTTTTTGGTACGGCCTAACACAGAAGGCAAAACAATCTGACCATATGGTAGATTTCTTCAAACCACCATCTCGCTAAAAACGGAGGTCATGAAGATCAGTATTTAACGAGTTTTGTAATATAAATGTATATAGGTCTAGCGAGTAAAAGTCTCGAGGGTCATGTGAGGACGGGTTTCCAAGGAGAAAGAACGAACTGACTGAAAAGGAAGTAATATGCTATGCTAGCAGTGTAAATACAGTAGAAGCAGTTGCATGTGATATACCTGTACGTCTGTGGCATGAGGGACATGTAAAATCTATGTTAATAATCCATTATACTTGCAGTTATTTATCAAATTCGAGCCATTTTGACATCATGATCAAGACCCCTAACTTGATAAGGATTGTTATATTGTAAAAGGATAAATTTGTCCACAATATAAACAATGCACAAAATACTCGGAAACGAATAATTGATGTATAGGCTTTCCATTCAAGTGGCAATCCGGAGAACGTGATTACTAATATAGGTCATTACAAGGGTATGGCATTCATTGTATGTTCCTACAATATAACTCAGATATATTTATAATTTTTGTTTAAAATCGATATAAACTTTGTACAATATTATACTGTGACGTTCAAACGCCAGTTTTGGGAATGGAGTTAACGTATCGTCTAAAACGGAGACAAAATACATATAAAGTATACTATTTAGGGACCAGCAAACGTCGTAGTTATACATAGAATGCTTTGTGGTTGTGGCTAAAACGATGAACAAATTTATGTCTTACCGTGTTATATTCTGTATCAAATCCACAGCTATGACAATGTCCTGGATAACGTCTTCTTTTAAATGCGCGTTCACACACGATCGCGTATACATCTGCTTTTTGTTTTACATCCTTGTTTCGAAATATCAAGTGTGACTGAATATTTCTGCGCAGCACAACCCACTCATCAGATCAGAAACGGATTTAGTCATTTACTGGGGAAACATGCCGTATACACTACTGCAAACGTTATGTAAATGGTTACTAAACGCGGGGCATGAAGAAACAGAGATTTCTCCTGTGCCTTCTAGATGAACAAAGACACTGCAGAGCAGAAGTATCTGACGCCGCCAACGAAAATTTTGGATATCTTCTCTACTCTTTCTGTTGCGATACATACTGTGAATATAAGTTCGCAAATCCATTTTTAAAAACTCTGGTAAGACAAACAAGTAAACAATTAGAAGTTGAGAGTATAATAACTACCAAATGGCTACACTTGACGCATACCTTGGACAGCCATGCAGACAGACGACAGTGTACATTTTAGTCTTAAGCAGTCACGGACTGAAGTACGGATTTCATGTAGTATTGAAAATTCAATTTCAGGAACACGATATTCATCAACATTAATCTACAGCAGCCTTGATATTCACTTCTGTTAACGATGGTGACCATATACACTTATTTGAAAGAATATCGTATGTTTACTGATGAAGAGAAACAATAATCAAACACGTTGACAATTACTGCTCCATATGATTTGGTTGTGTTTCCCGATGTACATAAATTTGTAATGCTTGAATATCATAGCCATTGAAGACAAAGGTAGCCATACACAAAAACAACAAGAAGGGATTATATTTCCTACTAAAGACGAATTTACATTTTGAAGTTTTTCAGAGTAACACGAACATTGGGCTAATATGAACTGTGTTATGGAAGGAGAGAAAAAAGCTTAGTCTAATGTTTCCTGGTATACAGTATATCTTTGGATTGCTTCAAAAATAATTGACCTTTAAGTAATGTAAGTCAAACGTAACACTTTCTGTTGTTAAAACAACAAAATATGGATAAGAAAGAGGTGACTCACTTCATTTTGGAGAGTTTCTGTAGGATAACACTGAGCTTTTCTAGAACTTTGTAATCTTGACTTGGGGCTCGCAGGACCATAGTAATCGTCCTGAACCATGTCTCATTACTACATCCTTCGAGAAAGGACTGCTTGAAAGGTGAGTCTGACAACATCTGTAGGAATATACCCATGAATGCCTGTAAATAAAACAGTATATTCTAGTAGAAAGACAGAGTACCGTAAAATGTTTATTGAAATTGAATCCTTACCCTCATCAAATTAATGAGGAAAGTACTTTTCATCTGATACCGCATGCGCAGTATTTTCGAATGTGAAAGTCAAAATCAGATATATACCTATACATGTTCAAAATATGTAGATATATCTAGAAAGTCATATGTATTTTGTTGCAGTGAAGATTATTTCAATATTATTATACAAGATTATATTCGGAGTGGAAGTTTGTGCTAATTGATGACGTCGATGTCCACAACAACCAACATTATTTCGTCATTTTGTTGCTGTTTTCAAAGTAATTTAATACCATGGATATAGTATTTTTGTTAGAAGTCCTGCTCGTTTAAACATTTTATAATTCTGTAAAACAACTAGATTGCGAGGAAGAGGTGACATAGTACACGTGTATGTCTTCCGTATTTCAAAGCACATGCCGTTATGCGAGTTTGGCGGTAGTATCGGAAGGCGATAGGTCAATGTATCATTTTAGCAATGGAAGGGTTGTCATGGCCTATTAAAGTACACCAAAATAATAGGAGTCGCATGGTAGTAAAATATAGCTCCTTGGCAAAGTCTGACGCAAGCTTGTTCCTCAGCATAGCAAACACACATGAGAGCAATTGTATTTAACATCGAGGGGTCACCAATCGAAGTACTGACCCCGCTTTACAGACAAGACACCTAGCTATTGGACTATGCGTTTGAAATTCCTATATACGTTAACGGTTATCTCCCGTGGGTTTAATCTTAATCTGACATCATTAGCATTCACAACTGTTCCATTAGTTGTTATAGCGATGCCGTCTCAGGCTAACACATCCGTGCTCCCAACATGTCACCAGGAAAATTGTGCTTCAATGTAGTTTAGGGGCATCCTACAGGAAACCAATCCCGTTCGCTGTCACCAAATTTTGTTACCTCCGCAGTCTTTTAGATACAGATGTAAACGATAAACTCTAAATGCATAGTACTATCTTGTGTTAGACTGGAAGGTAAGAGTAGACTTGCTCAAAGGCTTACAATTGCTCTGACTGGTTATATGCAAGATGATATCAATGTACATAAATATTAATCATCAATTACCATATGAAAATAGACATGAAATAAGCATCCTTAGTTGGTATATATTCTCAATTGGTCTTATCTGACATATAACCGGTCACCGAGCCCCGTGCCCTGAGAGCTATAAAATTTCCTTGCCAACAAGAATTGCTGTAATCAACAGATAACCAAAACACCATGGCCATGACCATGTAGGTCATTATTTCGATTCGACGCAAACTGTACAAAGTCATGCTCACGGAAAAGGTCAGCATCACGTGAATAGACATTATTGTGCAAGGACAATGATAAGAGGCTTAATTGTACAAGGTCATGATAACAAGAGGCTTTATTGTACAAGGTCATGATGACAAGAGGCTTTATTGTACAAGGTCGTGATGACAAGAAGCTTTATTATACAAGGTCATGACGACAAAATGCTTCATTGTACAAGGTCATGATAACAAGAGGCTTTATCTATCAAGGTCATGATGACAAAAGACTTTATTTCACAATGTCATAATGACAAGATGTTTAATAGTACAAGGTCATGATGACAAGAGGCTGTACTGTATGAGGTAATGAAGACAAGTGATTCGGTTGTACACGGTCATGAAAAGAGACTTTATTGTACACGGACATGATTAGAAGATAATATACTGTAGGTCATGATGGCAGGAGTTTATACTGTTAAAGGCCATGATGACAGACGGTTTAATTTTAAAAGGTCATGATGACAAAAGACTTTATTGTACAAGGTGATGATGCCAGGAAGCTTATTGTACAAGGTCATGATGACAATACTTTATTTTACAAGGTCATAATGACAAGAGGCTTTACTTTACCTGGTAATGATGACAAAATGCTTAATTTTTTATATACAAGATCTTGATTACAAGATTCTTATAAACATATTTCCTCACTCTACAAGTTTATAACAACTGACAGTATTGTACCTGGCTTTTCAGACAATTAATTCATAATTACGACTGCCATGTTTTGTACCTGATTATCCTGATATCAAAGTCAAATTAACAACTGGCAGAATTGTATCTGACAATAAATGCATAATTACGACTACCATGTTTTGTGTCTGGCAATCCTGATAATTACGTCAAAATAACTGGCAGTATTTTATCTGGTCTTCTGACAATTAAGACACAATCACAACTGGCAATATTGTACCTGGCTCGTCTGACAATTAAGACATAATTACAACTGGCAATATTGTACCTAGCTCTTCTGACAATTAAGACACAATCACAACTGGCAATATTGTACCTGGCTCTTCTGACAATGAAGACATAATCACAACTGGCAATATTGTACCTGGCTCTTCTGACAATGAAGACATAATCACAACTGGCAATATTGTACCTGGCTCTTCTGACAATTAAGACATAATTACAACTGGCAATATTGTACCTAGCTCTTCTGACAATTAAGACACAATCACAACTGGCAATATTGTACCTGGCTTTTCTGACAATGAAGACACAATCACAACTGGCAATATTGTACCTGGCTCTTCTGACAATGAAGACATAATCACAACTGGCAATATTGTACCTGGCTCTTCTGACAATTAAGACACAATCACAACTGGCAATATTGTACCTGGCTCTTCTGACAATTAAGACACAATCACAACTGGCAATATTGTACCTGGCTCTTCTGACAATGAAGACATAATCACAACTGGCAATATTGTACCTGGCTCTTCTGACAATTAAGACACAATCACAACTGGCAATATTGTACCTGGCTCTTCTGACAATTAAGACATAATTACAACTGGCAATATTGTACCTAGCTCTTCTGACAATTAAGACACAATCACAACTGGCAATATTGTACCTGGCTCTTCTGATAATTAAGACACAATCACAACTGGCAATATTGTACCTGGCTCTTCTGACAATTAAGACATAATTACAACTGGCAATATTGTACCTAGCTCTTCTGACAATTAAGACACAATCACAACTGGCAATATTGTACCTGGCTCTTCTGACAATTAAGACACAATCACAACTGGCAATATTGTACCTGGCTCTTCTGACAATTAAGACACAATCACAACTGGCAATATTGTACCTGGCTCTTCTGACAATGAAGACATAATCACAACTGGCAATATTGTACCTGGCTCTTCTGACAATTAAGACACAATCACAACTGGCAATATTGTACCTGGCTCTTCTGACAATTAAGACATAATTACAACTGGCAATATTGTACCTAGCTCTTCTGACAATTAAGACACAATCACAACTGGCAATATTGTACCTGGCTCTTCTGATAATTAAGACATAATTACAACTGACAGTATTGTACCTGGCTCTTCTGACAATTAAGACATAATCACAACTGGCAATATTGTACCTGGCTCTTCTGACAATGAAGACACAATCACAACTGGCAATATTGTACCTGGCTCTTCTGACAATTAAGACACAATCACAACTGGCAATATTGTACCTGGCTCTTCTGACAATTAAGACATAATTACAACTGACAGTATTAAATCATTTTACAATATCATGAATACAAAAGGTCAAATGATAAACAAAAGTAGTATTGGTCAGGATTATAATTACGATGCGATAATATACAAAACATAGCAGATTTGTATAAAGCCATAATTACGCAAAGCATTATTGTACAAAATCAAGCAGTTGCATACCATTCGTTTTGTACAGTGTCACAATTGCTGGAAGCAAATATTGTACAAACCAAGGGATCTATACATATGTATATTCTGCTTTCAATGCACTTAACATGAGTATGGTCTATGTTACATATCGATAGAATCCGACGACAGTTCAATAATTATAGTAATATTGCAGATATCGTTTCTACTTTATCAAGGTACATGTATAAAGGTTTTATTTTCTCTGTATGCATGTAAACTAGAAGGGCTTCCTGAAAATCATAAACGATTGATGTTATATTTTGTGTTATCTAAAGCATTAGTCTATTGGATATAAAAACAGATTTTACCGAGTTAAGGCTATGTTTGTTTAATATACACTTCACCCGAATATTACCATATATATTTTTCCACAAAAACTGTATTCGAGTGAAAACAAATTTCTTGTGTTTCTCAAAATCATGACCGAAGGAAGTCGAATTTGTTTACATACGAAAGTCTTTGAAATTTATCAGAGACCTTCACAGTGAACTCTGTTCCACCAAACAGTATGTCAACCTGGAGTACCGATTGTGGATTCCACCCCTGGACTGGACGCTCCACTTTGATTTTGCCGATTTGGAAGCAGGACGGTTCGTTAATGTAAGTTGGTCTCTGGTTAGAGGCGTAAACTGTTATTTCCACTTCATTCTGCTTGCAACCCGGAGTGTAGAACTTTGTGACAATGCTGCCAACCTCCACTTCTTGTTCTGCCGTGACAAACGGGTCAAAGCATTTACAACTATACCACTGGTTATTGGTCGGACTCCAGAATCTATTTTGAGGTGAATGCAGTGTTGGTTCAAACACATTATTTATTTCAATACCATATGTGTACTTCATCACTCGGGATTTTATGACACTCGGATCAAATCCATACAATACGGCACCTTTGAGAACAGCAAGCCCGGGATCCTGCGGGCAGACGATGACCTTGTTTGGAAACATCTCTTCAAATTGTGCTTGTACAAGAGATGACTCGGAAAACCCACCAACCAACACTACCGTTGTGATATCGTCATTCATAACCTCTAGGACGTGACTAATTGTTCCTGACACTGCTTCACTGAAAAACTCCGTACACACCTCAAATCCTATGTGCATTTTGTCTCTTTTCATAGTAACACATTTTGAGAACTTAGCGGACTTCGCCATACTGTCAGCAAAACTGTTACCAGTCATTCTCTGGTGCAGGTCCACCAATGCTACTGGAACATGAAACACCATTTTTCTTCCCGCGTCAGATTTAAAGGCTCTTTTCTTCACCTCAAAATCCCTGAAAAATTCGAGGTAATCTGTCATTGCATCCTGCTTGAGTGCTTCCAGAACTTCTGCACCAAACACTTGCTGCAAGAACGTAAGGAAAGCCTTGTCCACTGTCGTACCGCCATACGCCCCACCCGAGGCTCGTCGGATCTCACGGATGCGCTGACCAACCGTTATTTCGTGTACTGTTATATCAATGGTTCCACCTACGTATCAAAGTAATTTAAGATTGTATGAATAAAGTGTCGAAATCTAACTCCTAATATAGCAATATCTCATCTATCTGATTGTATTGTGAGCCCTATATGGTAGCGTTTATGCCCTAAGTTCAAATATTATTAACAAGGAATTTTACAGAGAAGTAATGAAAGGAAGCGCAATACATTCCGGGAGAGATTGCATCTACTTCTAATACTTCACAATGATGGCTATTTGTTGTCATTAAAAAAAAAAAGAAGAAGAAAATCCGGGACAAAGTTACGTTGATGCTTATGTCTAACAGTAAAAAGAGCAGGGATATACTGACCGCCCATATCTACAACGATGACCTTGGAGCCCTCCTCGAACAGTGGAGTCAGAGTTCTGCCGGTGCTTTCTTCGCGAACCTTAATGCCATGTTCCTTCATACAGTACATTGAGGCAGCCTCCGGCTCCAACGCCAACTTGAGATGGTCAGTACATATACCAGCCTTCAAAGATATAGAGAAATACAGTTCTTGTACCGAACAGGGAGGAAATGAGATTTCTCATCAATTTATTCTAATAATTTAACCCCAGGTCGTCAATTGTCTTTTGTTACAAAGGCAGTCTTCTGAGATGATGAGTTTTTAGCGGTATGCTAAAGAGGTTTTATAAGATTGCGACATAATATTTCGATTGAAAAGTAGGAATATGCTTTTCATTAGAAATTAAACTGTATGGTGAGTAGGATTTCCTTGATTTGCTAATAGTTATAAATTAAACTGCATGATATAAGATTTTTTGTCGTTAAGCAGAGACTGATGTTTTCGCCAATGTTAAGACTTTCATACTTATTGCTTTTATAAAGTGCGCAGTGAAAATACAAGAGGTACTTAATAGTAATTGCAGTGATATCGACATCCTGAAACTAGATCGCGTTTTTTGGTGAATTAATGGCTCATTCAAAAGCGATGAACTATAGGGATAAATAATAATATTTTTCCTTTTGTTTTAAGAGACCCTTCGACCCATCCACTATACAACAGTATAAAACGATACTTACAGCTTGTGCTGCTTCCCTCATGAACTGTTTGGCGCCTTCGTCCCAGATCGCCGGGACGGTGATAACCCAGCCGATCATGTCCTCCTCCACGTCGCTAACTACTTGTTTCTGGACCATGGTCATCAGGTGTTCCTTCAGGTATCGTATCGCCATGGAAAAGATGGTCTTCGCCGGCATCATCTCGCCATTTATATCCTTTATCAAGGTGGATCGACCAAGTGTCTGATTGGAAATAAGGTTAAAATACAGTTAATTGGATTTTACGATGATACTATTTTCTCAGCGTAAGAAAGAAGTTATGATTGATAACAAAATGACTTTCTTAATTAGCAATACATTATCTTGACTCCATCCTCAAGATGAAATTAACTTTAAAAAGTATCCTGGTATATTCTGATGTGTCTCAATGGTGAATATTGCTATACATTATAGCATATGGTATGTGTTAAAATACAGAACCTTTATCGTATTTATTGTTATAGTAAGGAAAGAAAGTAACTTGCCTTGTTATTATGTAAAAGCATTTTAAATTGTTTAAAGTACAACCAGCCCGTATGATCATTTTCCTCGGTCAGTTCAGAATACTTATTTTCGGCTTCATATCCAAAGGAGTGGAATTTTTTGTCTGGTGAGAGGAGCACTGAAGACGGGGCTTTTTGTGACATCAACTTTCCGCTGCCGATCCAGGAATTTGTGTTGATCTTCAAAGGTTCTCGTTCGTAGTCGTGTCTCATCTGAAAAGCGTACCCGGAATAGGTGGTACCAAAGTCCAGGGCGGCGACGATAAGAGGGGTAAACTCTGTCATATCCTAAAACAAGGCAATGTACCAATTGGCGTTAATTTTCTTACAGACAATGCATTATTTATGACAAATACAGACATATGTATGTAAAAACCCAATGGAACATGAGATAAAAATTGTTATCCTGTACCAGTATGACAACCTGTAACGTACGTTGCCCCGAAAGTATTATACTGGTAGCAGGTATGCAGGCCTCTTGGTGATATATGGATGCTCGCCAGATCGAAGTGAGATTTAACTAGGGAGACACTTCATGTCTCAAATCAGGGGCAAGTTAGGAGAACAGAAAATGAAGGTCTTAAGTATTACAGTTGTAGTAGAGCATCAGATTTACTTTATTTACGACCCATATGTGATATTTACACTATGACCGATTTCTCGTAATACTGGATAGTATTTAATTGGTTTACATCCATAATTACGGCAGAGGACACTTCCTCTTATGTTTTGTGAAATCTGGAACATGTCATATCTCTCTACTTTGTTAGATTACACGTCCTATCTCTATACACATTGTGAGCTCGGGAACGCGTCCCATCTCTCTATGTATTGTGAAACCGGGAACGCGTTCTATTCCCCTATATGTTGTGAGATCAGGAACATGTTCTATATATATATATATATTGTGAGATAGGAAATACACCCTATCACTATACAAATTGTGAGACCGGGAACACGTTCTATCTCTCTATATATTGTGAAATCGGGAACGCGTCCTATCTTCCTTCACGATACATGTATATTTTGAATATGTAGAAAATACCTTGTCGCTGCTATTTTTTTCTTTACGGTTTTGAAGCACAATATGATCAGCTCGACAAAAAACCTTAAAATCGATTGCCATTAAAGTACATTGTACATTTTCAGACTAATAATCATGTTTAATCTTAACCATTCTGACATTTTAATCGAGACTTCTGACTTGATAAGGAGTGTCATATCGTTAAACGGTGAAATTCCTCACGATACAATGCATGGAATACTAAGAAAGGCAAGTTTTCACACGCATACTTCCCGGAACTGAGTTGCTTGATGCAAAAACTCCTACAACGTCAAGGGGAGGTAATCACACTGTAATCAAGCCAAAGGTAATCAAACTTCTGTCAATTTTCTTACACCACATGGACAACCTCATACTCTTTTTGTCTCGGTTATATATTCTATTGTGTAATGTGATAACGTTATACGTTTCTGAAGGGATGAACATAGTCTATCGGATGACATTATACAGTCATAAAACGTTATTTTATCAATATTGTGACAGGGGTCAGGAAATGAAATTGGTTTACACAATTTATTACACGTGGGCGAGGTTCAGACGAGAATGTCAATCACAATTACTTTACCTTGATATTTCTTGTTTATAACACGTGCAGATCGATCACATCCACCTTCAATTGCACCCGAGTTCATCTGTGATTTCCTGTTACAAAGTGAAAGTAGTTTCTACTCCTCAAGTTTAAAATATCTTCACTGAAGCGTACCGTTCGTGTTGGAGTCAAGCGTCTTTGTGCACAGTTGTGCCATGCGCTATCCTACCATATCACATTACATAGCTTTTTGTGAAAAATATATGTCAATATGGTTACATCTACCTGTATGAGTAATCCCAACTTTGATTCGAGAATACTTAACGCAGGGCTTTTTAGAGGCGAAATTTTATTTCATTTTCTAGATTTTTAAATGTCGTTGATTTTTTCATTGACTGTCTCCTGTAACACCTGTCTTTAAATGACTTGATGTTGTCAGGCAAGTAAACTCTGATCAAACAAATTAGCAACTTCAATAAGTATAACTTCTGGCTATATTACCTAGAAAATGAAACCAACTCCCTTCTACGATTACACTTTGAGAGTGATATATAGATCAACCGTACAGGTTGGATATAGAGAAAGGAGTGAAGCTTACTATGGCCTGATGTGGAGATTCCCCGTGCAAGACTGTTAATTCAATTTTGTGAGATCGCCGATTTCAGGAACATGATTGCCCAAAATAAACCTATGTACAGCAGCATTGGGATATTTTACTTATACTTGATATACATTGTTCCTTTCTTACCCTCATCTTACGTTCGTCTTTCTTATGGTGATTACTTTTCCAGACTTTGATAAAATACTTAGTTTCAAACGAGCTAGCGGTAAAAGGACTGATTAGTTCGGATTGATTGTCATTCTATCTTCCTGTAGAATAGGAGATTCACGGAAAGAGACAGGTGATCAAGAACTAATACGATAGGGAGAAAAATATTGGAAATTTTACATCATGTAATATGTATAAAGTAATTGTGAGAGTAAATACTAATTAAGGAATAAAAACTGCACTACAGAAATTCTTCAGTGATAAAGGATGATGTTGTTGATGAAAATCGGAAGTGGACAACTTGAAAGATATGGTACAATACATGTTTACATCGGGAAACTATGGCGCTGATAATGTAAGAAATGAAGAATATCTTATCACACAACTAACCCGGACAACTCGATATAGGACACAAGTCGCTTTCCAGAAAAGGAGTGCTGATCGTCTGTTCGAATATCTACAAATATCTACTAGACCTCCATACCTTATTGCATAGTTCGACAAAAGTAATCAATGATTGGCATATCGTCAATGCAAAAACTAGACACCCAACACAACGAAACCTTTAGTTTCTTGTTTCGCCAAGGGCACAAAATGTCAAACCAAACAGGATGCATGTCATTGAAAAAGTAGAAAGCAGAATCAGGAAGGGGGAGTGACTTTGGCCTTTGAAAATATATCACGTTCATGTCCCTGTCATTTTCGACATTCCTACCAAGGTTGTATACTGTAACATTGATTATATGACTTAATACTTGTTTGAAACCACCATCGTGTAGTTCTTTAACTAAATTGTTATATTACCAGGTGTGTAAACCTTCTCACTCATTTGGACATTACCAATTTAGCATTAGACACAGTATATATTATACAGTGATATACTGTATCATACGGCTTCTTGGCCCCTTTAGGACTCATCAAATATGCAATCAAAGTGTGGAAAGACAGAAGAGGAGACTCGAACATACCAAAGACCCAAACAAAGGACTGCATATATGTAACAGTACACTTCCTCATAATTTGAAGAAAACATATCTGAATCGGTGATATGGTAACAGCAGAAATTTGAAAAATCTCAATCTCCCTTTTAGCAAAATACCAAACGCATTTTATTTTCAGCGACTCAAAAGGTACCTTTCGTTGTCTGGAAGAAACTACCTTACAATTTATATATAAAACAACAATTAACTTCATAAATATTCTTAATTTTTTTTATAAGTGTTGCTCTTTATTACGTTGTGGAAGAATACTTTGTAGTTCCACTACGTCAGGGATAACTGTTAGTTGGCCATTCTGTTTTATTGATCTCCAGAAATAACGACAACAATTGTTGAAGGACGGGCGGACAACATGCTACAAATACAATACTATTGTACAGTCCACCACAATATGCTAAAAAAAGTATCACAGGCCCTATTATGCATGTCACATATTATAGTTTGAACAGAGACGTATATATACGTCTCTGGTTTAAATGAACTCAAGCATGTCGTGGACTCGTACATACCAGTGTATTTATTTTTATCATATTCTTGATTTTATATAATGGTGTTCGCCTCCACAATATTTATTTTCTTCAAGCATTCAAAACAAATCAAATTAAAATATTTATATTTGCACTTTTCATTTAGTTAATATTTCTGTTTTCCTTCCTATTTGCAGGGACGTATATGTCATGTACGTCCCTGCTATTTGAGATTGGCGCCGTTTATTAAATCTAGTCCGGAAGTAGAAATTTTAACTTTACGAGGCAACTTTTCTTTGGGCGAGTTAACGAATCTCGGGACTATTTGACCATATTCAAAACAATATTTTTTATATGTATATTTTTGTGCATTTAACTGATGATTTTTATCAAACTACTTTTGATTGTAACTACACATAATTTAGTATTTTTTACAATAAATATTCTTATTTTTAATAAACAATTCCTCATTTAAAGTGTCGCCGAGATGTACCGGTAGACTACTTTCCTCGGAGTGTGACATGCAATTGCCTTCGTTGTGATCACTTATACGTTCAATGTCTCGAGTACAAAACATACCGAGATTGATATAAAGCATTTTTGATATTTTACTCACCATCTTCCATACAACATCTTGGGATGGTTTTTTTGTTTGTCGGCGTCCATCGACCGAAGGGATTATGGAGACACCCTAAATTTGACCGCTCTCTATTTAGATTTATAACTTTGTATTTGTTTTATGTTCTATGTATGTGATGCAATTTATGTAATATTTGTGTCTTAATAAAAGGTCAGGTTGCCTCGAAAATTTGACAATGCGCAATACCCAATATATAAAGAGAAATATCAATAATGTAAGAAATGATGTTATTTATTGGAATTTATTACATGACATGAGACCAATTTATAAAAAAAAAAAAAAAATAATAATAAAAAATAGATTATATCGAGCAATAAGTTTTCTACCAACTCTGTCCTAATACTTACATAATTTTCACATATTTTTTTCTAATATGTAATACTGATACCTAAAAAAGTCCGACCATAACAAAAAAAGAGACCATACAAATACATATTAAGAGATAACCCTTCAACAACCACTACAGGTTTCTTTGTTTCTAAGGTATCACATAGTTATACCAATAGTTATCTGCAAAGGATTTAACATAGTGAGAAATAGAATACCCCTAGAAAATACTGAACAATACAAACTTCACTAGCCTAATGCCTTAGGAAAGAAAACTTAATGAAGGACTACGTATATATATAAATAAAATGCAGGGAACATTCAATTCAATACAGTTCAGGAGTTTTTCAATATTGGTCAGAGAGCAGTAATCGGTGAATTCTAATATGTGGAATGTATAACCCTTTACTGTTATTTATGTCTATCTGTACTTAGTAAAGCTCTGCTTCAATGGGATGGTTTGCCGGAAATTGATGTAGAACACTATATGGTGAGTTTTAATACCTGGAATGTGTAACCCTTTACTGTTATATATGTCTACCTGTACTTTGTAAAGCTCTGCTTCAATGGGATGGTTTGCCCGAAATTGATGTAGAACTCTATATGGTGAATTTTAATACCTAGAATGTACAACCCTTTACTGTTATTTATGACTACCTGTACTTAGTAAAGCTCTACTTCAATGAGATGGTTTGCCAGAAATCGATGTAGCATGCATCTGAAAGTTTGTTCTATTTCTCATTTATGTCGTATTGTAGTCAATACATTTAATATTGAACAATTCTCTCCATAGAAATTTTGATTAACTTCCTTCAGTTACATAAACATGATAAAAATAAAAATTTCCCCATGATTGCAGAGAGTTCCTATAGATCTATGAAATATATCATTATAACAATGATAATGAGTGATCAACTATGCAACATTCAAATGACAATGAACTCTACAATAGAACATGTTTATAAAATCTTCAGCATTTACCTAGCATGTCTTCATTCAAAATGTGGGACTTCAGTCAACGTTTATAAACAGAATCAGTAGAAAACATTAATCTTGATAACTGGCTATAAAATATGGACATACAACAATAAGCAGTGATGTTTACATTTCAACAATTAAGTCACAACGATACATTTTATACTAGGTGTAGGTGGTGCATTCGATGGCAACACTGAAAAGGACGGATGTAGGATTATACTTTGCATATGGTATTACTAATCAGATCTTGTCAGAGCACTCAGTAGAATAATGTCAGGATACAGCTTGAAGCTGAATATAATCCCTCTCAGATCATGTGAGAGCACTCGGTAATGAGACTGAAGGCACAATTTAGCTCAAAGCTAAATATGACCTCTTCAGATTTGGTTTGAGCACTCGGTAATGAGACTGATTGCATGATTCAGCTCAAAGCTAAATATAACCGTCCTCATATCAGGTTTTAGCTCCCAGGAAGGAGACTGAAGGCACAATTTAGCTCAAAACTAAATATGACACCTCAGCGTAGGTTTGAGCATTCAGTAACGAGACTGATGGCATGGTTTGGTTCAAAGCTAAATAAAAACCCTCCTTACATCTGGTTAGAGCACTCGGTAATAAGACTGATGGCATGTATCAGCTTAAAGCTAAATATGACCTTCTCAGATCTGGTTAGAGCACTCTGCAGTAAGATTGAAGAGTATAGACTTGAGATTGAGGGCTAGGAAAGCCTGATCCGTAGCACAGCCCCGTAGTAGTTCTTGTATGATGGCTACTATCGTGTACACTTCAAAGTACTTCCTATTGGACCTGGAAGTAAAATCAAGTCACTAATGTAGTTGAAGACTGATATTCAGCGAAAAAACAACAAGAAGGGATTATATTTCCTACTAAAGATGAATTTACATTTTGAAGTTTTTCAGAGTAACACGAACATTGGGCTAATATGAACAGTGTTATGGAAGGAGAGAAAAAAGCTTAGTCTAATGTTTCCTGGTATACAGTATATCTTTGGATTGCTTCAAAAATAATTGACCTTTAAGTAATGTAAGTCAAACGTAACACTTTCTGTTGTTAAAACAACAAAATATGGATAAGAAAGAGGTGACTCACTTCATTTTGGAGAGTTTCTGTAGGATAACACTGAGCTTTTCTAGAACTTTGTAATCTTGACTGGGGGCTCGCAGGACCATGGCAATCGTCCTGAACCATGTCTCATTACTACATCCTTCGAGAAAGGACTGCTGGAAAGGTGAGTCTGATGACATCTGTAGGAATATGTCCATGGCTGCACCCATGAATGCCTGTAAATAACACAACGATATATATTTGTAGTAAGACAACATACTGTAAAATGTTTACTGTGGTTCAATGGTTTATTTTTGATATATGACCTATTAACAGTCAATATCATTTAAGGATGTGCCAGGTATGGATGGTACCTGGTAACTTCCCCACATAGGCATTGAAGCTGCAACCCAGAGGTGGAGGACTAATGATAAAGACAGTCAGACACCTTAACCACTTGACCATAGTGCCACAATCCTCTACAAAGTAATCAGGAAGGTATATTTTTATATGCCATAATCAGTATTTTCAAATGTGAAAGTCAAATGAGAATTTTTACCCATTAAGGACCAAAATAACGAGGTATTTTGCAATATACAGTCACATATATAGATATATTTTCTTGTCATAAAGTCTGTTTTAATAGCATAGTTTCAACAAAACTATGTTTGGAGTAATGTAATTTACAATGAAACATATATAGAAAGATTACCTTATTGACAGGTTTGAGGTACAAAAGGATGACTGGAGTCGCATGGTAGTATAAATATAGCTCCTTAGCAATGTCTGATTTTAGGTCGTTCCTCAGTACATCAAACACGTGGGCTAGTAGGTCAACTGTACGAAAATCACGTAAAAATATCTGTAAGGTTTTATCAAAATCCTTAATCAGTACAATGAAGTCTATTTTTTAATCTGGAGTAGCCTTTTTACACTTCTGATCTCTAGATAGCACATCTTTATCATTGTTCAAGCACTGCTTCTTTAGCCACAAATGTGAACATTTAGAATAAATAGTCAAAGATAGTAACTGTTGACGTAACATGGTATGAGATCATTTGAACTGCTGACCAGGTCAGCTAGCTGAAACCTGAGATCAACAGTGAAATAAAATCAACATATCAATATGTATATGTGGGACCAACTGGCACACTTCCTGGTGTGTTTAAAGACATTTATAAAGCACAGAATAGTGAGATAAGGTGAATCAAAATAATAAATATGCAAAATGATTTTCCTGTGTTGATTGTGGACTATACATTTACTATTTGTATTAATAATGTTGCAGGGATTCTAGATATGCTATTCCATCTTTGAATGAACTTATCAGAGATTGATTGGCTTCAAATAATGATTTAACATTTTATAGTTTCAAACTTGAGAAGCTGGTTGCCATACCTTGACTAAGGGTCTTCAAAATGATGAGAGAGGACAGAATTCGTACATGAAGGTTAGTACTCCTGAAGTACACAGCATCTTTGCTTTTGTCTGGTTTGTTCAGAAAAGATGGCGTGCTGTCAGACATCTTATCTGTGTCAGAGAATCGCACTGTCTTTGCACGGTACATCTCTTCTCCAAGTCTTCGTAATGTTGAGGATAGACTGGACTTCTAAAAAGCAGGTAAACAGGGAGAACACATTATATATCATTCCTTTGGGATTCTTTACTAAAGAACAGGTCCAACTTTCAAAAGGTCTATGATACATATCTAAAACTAGTTTTTCACTCTGATTTTATTAAATTTACTCCTTTTCTCCAAATAAAGATAAAGATAAAACTCCACATTCACATAACTGTAACTTGATCAGAACTTTTCTAAGGAGAAGGCAGTGATATGTATGTACAGTATATTATTACAATATCTTCAGGCATATAGATCATATATATGCCCAAAATATTAAGTAAGTCTGTTGCTGTGAGCCTGGTCAATGTTTCATAAGTTTATCACCATGAGCCTGGCCTGTGTTCTATAAGTTTGTTACCTGTGAGGCTGGTCTGTGATCTATAATTTTGTTACCTGTGAGTCTGATTCCATGTTCTGTAAGTTTGTTACCTGTGAGCCAGATTGCATGTTCTGTAAGTTTGTTACCTGTGAGTCTGATTCCATGTTCTGTAAGATTGTTACCTGTGAGTCTGATTCCATGTTCTGTAAGACTGTTACCCGTGAATCTGATTCCATGTTCTGTAAGACTGTTACCCGTGAATCTGATTCCATGTTCTGTAAGATTGTTACCTGTGAGTCTTATTCCATGTTCTGTAAGATTGTTACCTGTGAATCTGATTCCATGTTCTGTATGATTGTTACCTGTGAGTCTTATTCCATGTTCTGTGAGTTTGTTACCTGTAAATCTGATTCCATGTTCTGTAAGATTGTTACCTGTGAGCCTGATTCCATGTTCTGTAAGTTTGTTACCTGTGAGCCAGATTCCATGTTCTGTAAGTTTGTTACCTGTGAGCCAGATTCCATGTTCTGTAAGTTTGTTACCTGTGAGTCTGATTCCATGTTCTGTGAGATTGTTACCTGTGAGCCAGATTCCATGTTCTGTAAGTTTGTTACCTGTAAGTCTGATTCCATGTTCTGTAAGATTGTTACCTGTGAGCCTGATTCCATGTTCTGTAAGTTTGTTACTTGTGAGTCTGATTCCATGTTCTGTAAGTCTGTGAGTTTGTTACCTGTAAATCTGATTCCTTGTTATGTAAGTTTGTTACCTGTGAGTCTGATTCCATGTTCTGTAAGTTTGTTACCTGTGAGTCTGATTCCATGTTCTGTAAGTTTGTTACCTGTGAGTCTGATTCCATGTTCTGTAAGTCTGTGAGTTTGTTACCTGTAAGTCTGATTCCATGTTCTGTAAGATTGTTACCTGTGAGCCTGATTCCATGTTCTGTAAGTTTGTTACCTGTGAGCCAGATTGCATGTTCTGTAAGTTTGTTACCTGTGAGCCAGATTCCATGTTCTGTAAGTTTGTTACCTGTGAGTCTGATTCCATGTTCTGTGAGATTGTTACCTGTGAGCCAGATTCCATGTTCTGTAAGTTTGTTACCTGTAAGTCTGATTCCATGTTCTGTAAGATTGTTACCTGTGAGTCTGATTCCATGTTCTGTGAGTTTGTTACCTGTGAGTCTGATTCCATGTTCTGTAAGTTTGTTACCTGTGAGTCTGATTCCATGTTCTGTGAGATTGTTACCTGTGAGCCAGATTCCATGTTCTGTAAGTTTGTTACCTGTAAGTCTGATTCCATGTTCTGTAAGATTGTTACCTGTGAGCCTGATTCCTTGTTATGTAAGTTTGTTACTTGTGAGTCTGATTCCATGTTCTGTAAGTCTGTGAGTTTGCTACCTGTAAATCTGATTCCTTGTTATGTAAGTTTGTTACCTGTGTGAGTTCTGTAAGTTTGTTACCTGTTCTGATTCCATGTTCTGTAAGTTTGTTACCTGTGAGTCTGATTCCATGTTCTGTAAGTCTGTCTGTGAGTTTGTTACCTGTGAGCTGATTCCATCTGATTCCTTGTTATGTAAGTTTGTTACCTGTGAGTCTGATTCCATGTTCTGTAAGTTTGTTACCTGTGAGTCTGATTCCATGTTCTGTAAGTCTGTGAGTTTGTTACCTGTAAATCTGATTCCTTGTTATGTAAGATTGTTACCTGTGAATCTAATTCCACGTTCTGTTTGATTGTTACCTGTGAGCCTGATTCCATGTTCTGTGAGTTTGTTACCCATGAGCATGATTCCATGTTCTATAACTCTTTTACCTTTAAGCTTGGCCCATATTCTGTGAGTTTGTTATCTGTGAGCTTGACCCATATTCTGTGAGTTTGTTACCTGTGAGCTTGGCCCATATTCTGGGAGTTTGTTACCTATAAGCTTGGCCCATATTCTGAGTTTGTTACCTGTGAGCTTGGCCCATATTCTGTGAGTTTGTTACCTGTGAGCTTGGCCTATATTCTGTGAGTTTGTTACCTGTGAGCCTGGTCCATGTTCTATGTGTACAAGTGACCAATAGATGAACTGTATACATGGCAGACTGATTCGGAGATTCTGTCCTGGAAACTCTCGCAATAAATCGACAGAAGACGGTAATATCTACAAAACACACAAACTCTTTTATAACAAATTTGATATGTCATCTACTTTAAGACTTTTCTCTACATGTTGATTGGTTCCTTATCTCTATAGTCTTTACAATAATAGTTCAACCTCACATATTTAATTTATATACTCTATGACAAGTAATGTTTGTTGGTGTTACATGTTAATTTTGTTCATACTTAGTTGTGATATTCTTAGGCTAATAACAATGAATAATTGGATTCTCATGAAGTGGTAGTTAATTCTGGACTAATGCTTATTATATTTATGATTCAAAGTCAGGCCTGACTCTCTTCAAAATCTACCATATAAAGACCTTTGTATTCATAACTTAATCAACTGTCAGACCAAAGTAATCTGATAAGTCAATGATAAGGTTGTAAGTATGAATGTCTTTGGAAACAAATCAAAACCTGGCTATCCACTTACCTTTAGTACTTTCTCCTGGACATATTCGGGGGCAAAATAGCGGTCAGCAGGGCGAGAAGATTGGTCAGTAAAAGTGTATCGCAGGTGAGCATCACATATCCAATCTAACAGTACTCCCATCACATCAAACGTGTACACTGGCAAAGTTACCTATCACAGAAAATTCATTGTGGCTTCACTAATCAAGTCACATGGATCCGGGGATAATATATATTTACACAGAACAACTCTTGTTGTTTACATGTAACTACAGGTAACAATGTGATGTACCTAACAACAGGGCATTGTCTCATGCTACACCCACACAGCTTCAGGGCCTGGTCACATACTACACCTAAATAACTTCTCAGGGCCAGGTCTAATGTCATACCTACATAATTTCAAGGCCTTGTCTAATGCCACGCTTACACAGCTTCAGAGTCTGGGTCATACTACACCTACATAGCTTCTCAGGACCTGGTCTATAGCCACACCTACAAGGCCTGGTCTCATGCCACACCAACATAACTTCCCAGGGCCTGGTCTATAGCCACACCTACATAACTTCTCAGGGCCTGGTCTATAGCCTCACCTACAAGGCCTGGTCTCATGCCACACCTACATAACTTCCCAGGGCCTGGTCTTTAGCCACACCTACATAACTTCTCAGGGCCTGGTCTATAGCCTCATCTACAAGGCCTGGTCTCATGCCAAACCTACCTTTGGTTGCTTGGATGATTTAGACTTTTCCTCAACATCTTTCTGTGGTTTCTGTTTTGGTACAGCTAGTGCCAAGTCTTTCTGACGTTCTGCAAATTCTTGTTTTCTCTGAAACAACCAATTGTGAAATTAAAGACAAATAAGCAGCTCCTGTACTGACCTATAATATCCAAATGGGAACCACATTGTCTGTCATTATACCTCACCTTTGTAAAAATAAATGCTTAATGAAGAAGCATAAATTGACAGGAATATTAAACATTTCCATACGGCATGTGATGCGGTGTTGATACTCCATCACATTCTGCTGGGAAAGTGATGTTGCAAAATGAAAGATATTTACTTTGATGCAGTTTCACAAAACATTGATGCACAAACTGTCAAAAGTACAACTGTTTCAGTGAACTATTGCAGTAAATGTCTGAGGGAAACTGGCAAAAACCTGAATTTTGAATCATTCCAAACCAGACAAGCAACTTGACATAGTGAGCTTTCATTAAGAGTACCAATATTATTAACATTGTTGTTAATTAAACATTAAAAGTTTTGCTGACTCAAAATATGTTTCTGATTTTTTTTTTCTGTAAAATAAACAAGTTATGATCCTAGTTGCATGAAAATATATTTATTTAGGAAATATGAAGGAAATCATTTGTTAAAAAAATATTTTGAAGGAACCTTGAAATTTTGTGAATTTTTTCTTCTTCTTAGTTATTAGATAAAAAAGAACTGCCATATATATATATATATAAATTCAAGGAGTAATACATAAGATTATTAGGACATTTTCATGAATGACAAATTTTGTATTGTAACTGCAAAATCAATTTTATATCATTGATACATTAATATCACTGTAAAGACTTTTATGAAAATGATCACTTCCAACTATTCACCGATAAAAATGAAATCTAAACAATTCTAGAAAAGAAAAGCAATGTAATTTTGTAAACTGTCTATCTGCCACCCAATGAGAGTGGAACCTGTCAACTGGACATTCTGAGGGGCTGAAACTTGTCAATCAGACATCCAGTAGGCATGGAAACTGTCAACCCAACACCAATTAGGAATGGAATCTGTCAATTGGAAACTCCGTGGGAGTAGAACCTATCAACTGGACACTAACTGAGTGAAACCTGTCAATTCAACACCCAGTAGGAATGGAAACTGTCAATCTGACACCCAGTTGGAATGGAAACTGTCAATCTGACACCCAGTTGGAATGGAAACTGTCAATCTGACACCCGTTGGAATGGAACCTGTTCATGTGACCACCAGTGGGAATGAAATTTATCAATTACACATCAAATGGGAATGAAATGTGTCAATCTGAATCCCAGTGGGAATGAAATGTGTCAATCTGAATCCCAGTGAGAGTCAAACTTGTCATTCTAACACCCAATGGGGGTAGGACCTGTTTATCAGATAACCGGTGGGAGTAGAACCTCTTAATCTAACCCAAAGTGGGAATGCAACCTGTCAATCTGACCTCCAGTGGGATTGAAATGCGTCAATCCTATTACCCAGTGGGAATGAAACTTGTCAATGGAACACCCAGTAGGAGTGGAAAATGCTAATTGAACATCCAGCGGGAGCAAACATGATGATTAGAATAGACATGCCATAACACTGAATTCTTGGTTGGTTGTTAAAACATCAAAAAATGACAAGATTATTGCTTAATATTTCAAGAGTGATTTTTTAGTATTGTAACTGAATTAATAAACTGTACTATAATTATCTTCTCTTCGAGAAAGGGTTACCTGTAGGTTGGTCAGCCGGGACTGGACACTCATAGCTTGCTTTTCTAATTTCTCATGTTCAGATTGTAAGCTTTCTAGCTGTTAAAGGAAAAAGGCAAAGGAAACAAAATGTCATTTATTCCAAATACTTAATGTAAAACTGATGACAATCATATTTTCTCTCAATAATCAAAGCAAAAATGGACAACCTTTTAGAGTATTTTTCACTATTCTTACATTCAACAAAGTGTAAATAATCTAACAACAACCTTAAACTTATCATACCCATTTCTTAATCAAAAAGTAATTTTTATCTTCTGAAAAGTTACTGAATTAAAAATAAGTCAGTAACTGACTAACTTTGAAGTTCCAATAGAATTCATATGTTATACATATAACTATACTGTCTTTGGACCAGATGAGCTAATAATTACTTTTAAAATATGTGGGAACAAAATGATTAACATTTTATTTGTATTGCCACACATTACACAAATTGCTAGGTTTGTGTCTAGAATTGTCACCTCTTTTTTCAGTGCATCATTAGCTTGCTTTAGGGTCTCAAAGTTGTCTTTCAGACGTTTGTGGTCCTTTCCTTTCTCTCTCAAGGCTTGTTCCAGGGAAGCCACCTCTGCTCTGTGCTTCTGAAAAAAAAAAAAAAGGCAAATTTCCACATAGCAATTTTATTAATGTAAGATTACTCCGTATCAATCATATTCTTTTTTTCTTGCAAACATTCTGCCTACGAACAAGAATACTGTTCAGTGTAAATGTCATTGGAGAGTGGGGTATGAAGATCACCTCTTCCATAGCTTGTATCCTTTGGCGAATGGCATGGTCTGTGATGGTCTGTACACTGGCAGAGGAGATAGACACCATCCTTTCTCTTTCCTTCACCTTCTGTTCTCTCTCATAAAGGATCTTGTTCTCTTCCTGATAATAAAAAATTAAAAAAAAAATTAAAAAATTATATTAATTGTATTAATCTAGATTGTCAGCAATGATCAATTACAAAGTCATTCTTCAATTGCATTATTTTTATATCATAATGAATTTAAAATGTTTTTCCAGACATTTTACTTACACATCATTCCATTTAAGCAATAATCACTAGGCATTTTTAACAAATGAAATTCAGAATTGTTTAGTGAGGCAGTTATCATAATGAAAGACAGAAATTGTGTAATATCTAACCTTGAGCTTTTTACTGATTGTCTGTAGTTCTCTATAGATTTCCTTCATATTGTTTTTACTCTGGTGATCTGTAGAGCAAATACAAGATTAATAATAACAGTGGTATCTGTATGAATGGTATAGTCATTTACTAGTGTATGTCAAACATGCTGTTCATTGTCCTATATAGAACACTACACATCACTAGTATATTGAGTCCCACAGCTGTTCATTGTGCTATATCGAACACTACACAATATATATTTTTTTTAATTTTCTTTTTTTATTCAGGATTTTCAGCAATATATAGTGCTGATTACATTCATAACATATCATATTCACTCAAACATCACACAGCTCACATGTAAGCTAACTTTCTTTTTTCTTTGCTTTTCTCCTCCACAATATTAGTATATCAAGTCTCACAGCTATTCATTGTCCTATACAGAACACTACACAATATCAGTATAATAAAGTCATACAGCTTTTCAGTGTCCTACATGTGTATATAGAACACTTTACAATTATGATTTTTACTTTATGATCAAGTCCTACTTTTTGTTTAAGGAGTACATTACTGATGGATAAAACATATCACTGTTTTAAGTTAATGTTGAACAAAGATTTTCAAAGTATTATAAAACTGAGTGAAATGTTAAGTCAACATATTTACAGCCTGTGTGATACTGATGAACCTGATTCTGAGTCTCTTATCTGATACTGATGTACATGATACTGAGTGACTTGTTTAATACTGATGTACATGAAACTGAGTCACTTGTCTGATACTGATGTACCCGATACTGAGTCACTTGTCTGATACTGATGTACCCGATACTGAGTCACTTGTCTGATACTGATGTACCCGATACTGAGTCACTTGTCTGATACTGATGTACCTGATAATGAGTCACTTGTTTAATACTGATATACATGATACTGAGTCACTTGTCTGATACTGATGTACATGATACTGAGTCACTTGTCTGATACTGATGAACCTGATAATGAGTCACTTGTTTAATACTGATGTACATGATACTGAGTCACTTGTCTGATACTAATGTACCTGATACTGAGTCACTTGTCTGATACTGATGTACATGATACTGAGTCACTTGTCTGATACTGATGTACATGATACTGAGTCACTTGTCTGATACTGATGTACCTGACAATGAGTCACCTGTCTGATACTGATGAACCTGATACTGAGTGACTTGTTTAATACTGATGAACCTGATACTGAGTCACTTGTCTGATACTGATGAACCTGATAATGAGTCACTTGTCTGATACTGATGTACATGATACTGAGTCACTTGTCTGATACTGATGTACATGATACTGAGTCACTTGTCTGATACTGATGTACATGATACTGAGTCACTTGTTTAATACTGATGTACATGATACTGAGTCACTTGTCTGATACTGATGTACCTGACAATGAGTCACCTGTCTGATACTGATGAACCTGATAGTGAGTGACTTTTTTTAATACTGATGAACATGATAATGAGTCACTTGTCTGATACTGATGAACATGATACTGAGTCACTTGTCTGATACTGATGAACATGATACTGAGTCACTTGTCTGATACTGATGTACCTGACAATGAGTCACCTGTCTGATACTGATGAACCTGATACTGAGTGACTTGTCTGATACTGATGTATCTGATACTGAGTGACTTGTCTGATACTGATGTACATGATAATGAGTCACCTGTCTGATACTGATATACATGATAATGAGTCACCTGTCTGATACTGATGAACCTGATACTGAGTGACTTGTTTAATACTGATGTGCATGATAATGAGTCACTTGTCTGATACTGATGAACCTGATATTGAGTCACTCATATGTTTTAAGTTTACCTTCATCAGATACTTCAACATCATAGTCCTGTCTTTTTTTCCTGTGTTTTTTATGTTTGACCTCATGAAGATAGAAGTCAGAGAGACTATCTGATTCAATGATCTGTCCATGGCCGCCATCATCTGGAGGGTTGATAGGTGTTACTGTGGACTCTGACGACAGTGAAATGTCAATAATTAAGTAAAAACTAGAATCTAAGGCACATACAAGATAGAAGCTAAGGAGACACAACAAAAACCAGGAACTAGGGAGACACCTAAAAACAAAACAGGAACTAAGAAGACACTTAAACAAGCCATGAAGTAAACAGACCAAAAATAATGCAGGAATTCAGAAAAAAAACCACACAGGAATCAATTATAAGGTGACAACAAAATGAGACAGGAACTTAGGGGACACGTAAATAAAGACAGGAAATAAGGACACATCAAAAAACAATATTAATCAACATAAGGGAATATCACTGATGATTTTGCTTCTGACTATAAGGTTACTGTTGCCACGACATTTCAGAACAAAATCATTTCCCTTCATGACAAACAAATGATTTATACATTGGTCAATAGTGATCATGACTTGGTGACACTTAAAATGCTTTACAGGTAAATCAGCTATAGGCAAGGTATACACTTTTACAACTTAGATACATGTATTACTTGCATCATATAACTAAAGGCCTAATGACATGAATAGGCTACAGAAATAGAATTATTGGTTTGTTGGTACTGGGAAAAACTTGCTAAAACTGTTTATCTCCAACACTGAATGGTGAGAAACATGACATGCAGTGATCAATTCAAGTCTTCTACATACAGCAACATTAAGCAAATTACGTGTAATATGAAATATTTCCAAATAATTAGAAAATAATTCAACTTTCTCTGTTTTTTATCAATCCATACCCAAATCACTGTCTCCAGAAAAGTCAAGCTGTTTGGATCTTCTTGAATTACTCATGATGACATCTGAACAACAAATAAAAACAACATCAGGACTATTGTTGTCAAATACATTTTATGATGTGAATAAACTCATTAGTGATTTTGGATGTTAAAGATTCAATGAATGATTTTGATTACCACTCCAATGTATAGAAATAACTGTTTTAATTCAGTACAATGACTTGAAATGATTGAATGTTGAAGCATAGGAAAAGTGACCATATATACATAATGCCTAAAGTATGTCAGCACTAGTAATGTAGCAGCTTCATTCATAACAGATTTAAACAAAACTTTACACACTTATGAAGGACCATATTATTTTAAACATCTTTAAAGTTTTATGGTAGTACAGGTCAATGTCAGGGTCAACAAGTCCTCACTATATATTTCTTCGAAAATCCATGTTAGTGCACAAGTGGCTTAATATTCCTTTGGAGAATTTCATTTATATACATGTATAATCAAATTCCATGCACTCCTTTGTAAACTTCCATTCAGTCAACTGTGAGGGGATTTGTTTTATTTCTGATGCTTTGTTTCAGCTGGAATAGACATGTTCATTTGTACGGGTGCATGTCCACAATGTCTTGTAAACATTTGTTTGAATGAAAAACGTTGCAAATATGCTAATGCTTTATCCTATAATATTTACAAGTAAGGAATCAACGTGTATATAAATCATAGCCCAAATGGCAAGGGATTGAGATGGGATCCATAACACGACACAGCTTATCACCATGCTGTTCTACAGTTAATCCAAAGGGTTCTGATTATCTATCTGTGGTTTTATTTTTTTGTCTTGGATTGGTCTATTCTACAGTAATAGCAGGCCGTATGGGAAGTTGGGAACGTCCTCTCTATATGCCACAAGTGCAGCATCTTTTAACTCAGGAGCTAAAATAATAGCATTAAGATCTCGCAATAAGACATACAAAATACACTGCCTAGTTTACGATGACTTAAGTAAGAAATTCTTTTGAAAGTTTTATCTTACATGACTGGTTCAGACTTGTAACAGCGATATTAAAAATTCTTCCCAAAACAAACTTAACAGAGAAAGTGTTGATCAAGGCATACAAATCACTTGCAAGCCATTGTGCTGTTAAAAATAAAACAATTAATGTGCCTATGCAATGCTTTCATATTTCAAGAACCATACATTTCACCTATCAATGTGTGTTTGTTGACATCTTCTGCGCCATTTTGAATTTGGTGCCGATAATTCTCGCGAAATATCGTTGTCTCGCGAGATTACCCAGTACATTCGTTGTCTCTTGACTTTTTGATTTTATTGAATGCAATGAAAAAAGGTGTACCGAAAGAAACGTGAAAAAGCAGAAAAGTTGCAGATTATTACCAGAAATTAGCTCCAAACTCAAGATGTTTGCTTTGTCAAGTGTTTTTGCGTATGTAATCGGGAAATATAAGATACCATCCTCAGGTTTGTATGGCAAGATACAGTGTCATATGATCATAATCCTGTGTAAAATTGTTTTGGTTACTTTCACGCTTTGCGCGAGGCAAACCTTTTGCACTGTAACCAGGCTGATTCAGCTATGTTAGCTTCTTTTAGTTACTGTTGAATATAAAACGTGAGTACTGAACAGTTGAAACCAGTGACAATATACGCACAAGTATGAGTTTCTCATCCCTATTTATTTATATAATTTTGAGTCTGATGAAGAGGAACACTGTTCCTTTACCGGAAACACTACTATACTATACTATCCTTTGGTATAGGATATAGGTTAATTTCCACTAAATATCATTTGACAGTTGAAAAGTCAGTTCTAGCTTGTACACTGTACATTGTAAATTGTATAACGTTATACAGTATCACCGGCACCTGTATTTAGAATGTAAACAACCTGTGTAAAATCTAGTCCGTTATGCTTAAAAATCAAGTCCAATGATGCATAGTAAACTCAATTTTACTGCAGTTGTTTACATTCCAGATGTATAGGTGTAATTGACAAGCTCTGCCATCTGAGCCAAAGAATGTTTACCATGTTCCTTCGTCTGAGTGACAGATACCATATTTACTATGTACCACACCAACCGACTTCTTCTTCAATATGAATGAAAAATGGATGAAGTGCAAAATGCAGATTAAATTACAGTGAAAATATAGTTCAAAGGGAAAATGTAGTTTGAAGGCTTCTGATTTTTTCTCTGCGATTTTATTTTGTCAGAAATGATGTAGGGGCCTAAACATTTATACCTTTTAAATCAATTTGGAAAATACAACTGTATTTTCTGTTTATTGGGAAAATATGTTCCACAAAAAGAATATAAACAGTTTTTTGTTATATGTTCATTCAGCATCATCCAGATTGGCATTTCTTCATATCAACTGATTTTAAAGATTTCCAATTGGAAAAATATGAACACAAAATGCAACAAATTTTTCTGGGAAAGGGCATTATTCGGCCTCAAATGTACCACTAAAAATGCACTTGCCATATGCACTTATACAATTTTGTTGTAATTACTGGCTGGATCACAGGAGGTCAAGTACTAATATTATAAAGCACTAGCTTGTACATGTGTTCATTGTATGTGAACAAGTTGAGCATTACTTGGCATACAGGTGGTAATTGCTCTCATGAGTCATGAAAACATGGTGTATATAGAGTTTGCATATTGATACACTGATTTAGATGTAGATGAATGATCAATCATATACTTACCCTATAGAAATGACCCTCTGGTTGCGCACTACAAGTATTTATCATAATACAAAGTCATTGAATGTTTTCTTGACTTTCTGAAGACAAAGAATATCAGAACTCATGCTCTATAAAAAGTAAGGGAAATAAGTCACCTGTACCTGTGTGGTAGATGAGAGTGAAGGTCATCTTACTAGCTTTGGCTTGAGGGAATTTTCCCTTTACTTGATCGGTAGAGTATCTGGTAGGAGACGGAAGGGCATGTAGTTTAAACCCTGAAGGGGACAGAGGTTTTTTCATTACTCCTTTCTGTTAAATATTTGGTGACATTGACCCCTTCAACGGTAGAATCTTTAGGTGATTGAGATGCTTCCTTGGAGATATCTTACCTGGGTTGTCACCTTCTAGGTTGAAGACTTTGGGAAGGAGGGTGTAGTGTAGAAGTCGCAGGCCGCAGTACAAGCTTTTGCTAGGTGGAAATTCACTTTGGTCTAGTGGGAGAGTATCTGGCTAGAGACCAAAGGTCGCTAGTTCTTGCCCCCCGCTGTGGCCAGGTGCTTTTCACTACTCCTTCCTATTACACCTGTGTAGTTGGCATTCAAATGATAATTATGGAAAGAAATTCATTTTAATATGCTTATTGCAATGCATAGAATGTCTGAGCAGCACAAATATAAATTTTCTTAGTAAGATGATCCATATAAAGGTATCTCTTTGCTGAGAACACATATTGCATGAATGAAGGTATGGACCTGGAAACCTTTGTATCAAGAGGTATCATGGGTTCATAATATCCAAGCAGCAGATTTTCAAATCAATAGAGCTGTCTTGTGACAGGTAGATTATCAACCAAGACACATTTTACATCTCCTTTTCCAAAGAATTTTCTCCAGTAGACCAAACAGTTTATTCACACTCTATAGTTAAAATTTGATCATCCCCATCCCTATAAACACATACAGTATAGAAGAAGGATTGTTTAGAGCCCCTGTACCGTTGGACTAATTAGAAATGTAAAGATATAAATACTAGACCTCAGAACTAAATAATAGAAAATTGTGCTTCATAGTTGTACTTGATCAGTTAGTGACAAGGTTCAATTTTTTCAAAAACAGAAAATAAGTTACTTGCAAAATGCTACATATTTTTTGGCTGTATGTAAAGTAATAAAAATTTGTGTCCCTGAAAGCCCAGTGCTCCCAGGAGAACCAAACTATTCAGGATCTGATAATAAGCCAGATAAGGAGTATTTGAGAGATAAATTCCACATTTCTGTGTCCAATAGACCTATTGCACTTGTAAATGTTCTATTCAGCATTTTACACTTAATTTGCAGCTGTATTTGGATGCCCGAAACATGCATCATACCAGAATTCTGGTCAGCTCCTGGAGATGGCAAAGTCTATTATACCACCACTATCCAACGACCAGCATAAGGGCATGATGGGAAGGATAGGAGTTGTTGGAGGATGCCAGGAGTAAGTCATGCCATTTAATTTAATCAAAGAAACAACAAAATAAGCACACTCGCTCATTTTGATACAAAATTACAGAAGATGTAGCTGAAACTATATTTATCATATGTTCATTTTGTAGCTGAAATTTGACAGTATTTATTTTATTTGATTATTTAAACTTCATTTATTTGACAACATTTACAAAACAAGTTATTCCATCTTCCATTTATAATCACTCTTAATTGTCTGGATGGAAGAGTATGATTGATTTTACTGTAGGAAGAAACCGGAGTACCAGGGGAAAACCCACATGGTTGGGCAGGTGACCCAAAACCTTTTACATCTGTTTCAGTAATAAAATTCTGGACGTCTAGATGGAGAACAAATGTGTTACCACTGTGCCACCATATCACCCAATGTGGAAAACCCATCTCTGTTTACTGTTTGTAACATGTAAACATAAAAACTTTCTACACATTTATTGCCAACATCATCAGTGTTGTTGTCAGAAAAATATTTTTTGTTTTCGGAGACTAAATTGAATGTTGAATTTTGAGAGTAGAATTATTGATAGAAACCTGTTGATTCCTATAGGTACACTGGTGCCCCATACTTTGCAGCTATTTCCTCTCTGAAAATGGTGAGTAACAAATCTTTTATAGCTAACATACCTTGTGAGTTAATTACTCTTAGTGTTCCATATGTAATAAAATCAGTAATTTAAGATATATTTTGTTACCTCCCCTTATCAAAGCTCTCCTCACATTTTTCAATACTATGTCCAGTACTTAATCTTTCAAATTAAAGTTTTCACTGAGTCAAATATTTTATGATTGCTATGGATTCTTAATTAACATTACTGGCATTTATACTTCTATAGTAATTAAATTGAAACAGGAAGTAGAAAGTTAACATCATATTTTATTGCAGGGAGCTGATCTGTCCCATGTATTCTGTACACAAGACTCAGCAAGCGTAATTAAGTCCTACAGTCCAGAACTCATTGTACACCCAATACTGTAAGTACATAACCTACAGTCTAGAACTCATTGTACACCCAATACCGTAATCATATATTCTACAGCCCAGAACTCATTGTAAACCCCATATTGTAATTACATATCTTACAGCCTAGAGCTCATTGTACACCCAATGCTTTTAGTACATACGCTACAACCCAAAAATCTTTGTACATCTAATTGTGTTAGTACAGTTAGGACTGACCAGAAAAACAAATTGGCCGAAAGATTGCCATCTTTAATTTTGATTTTGAAAGTTTGTTATCGCTATTTCTTGAGAGGTATCGGATGGATTTTCCTAAATTTTATGCCCATGTAATTTTGGGACAGACCAGAAAAACAAATTGGCCAAAAGGTGGCCATCTTGGATTTCACCTTGTAAAAATTGTTATCCCTATTTTTTAAGAAGTACTGAATGGATCTGTCTCAAATTTTATACGTATGTTCCTTTGGTCTCGCCTTGTGCCTGTTTCAAGAAATAAAATGGCTTCCAGATGGCCATTTTGAATTTGGCAGGTAAAGATTATTATTTTCTTGCGAAGGAATGTTCAGATGTCTTATCATTAGAGAAAAAACAGAGCAGAAAAGAGAAGGAAAAAGATCCAACTTTCAAAGAGCAAATAAAGATCAAACAATGATGGGTGCCAAGGTCCCTCTGGGATCTCTTGTGTTTCTAATTTCTTTTACCGAGTGTTTAATTACTAATTTACACAAATATTGTTATATTCGATTACTGACATCAAGACAATTTTACAACTGAAGAAACATCTTTGTTTTCCAGTGATTCTGATGATGCGTTGAGCCAAATGGAGGAATGGCTTCCGCGATTACATGCCATTGTCCTCGGCCCAGGTTTGGGAAGATCTGCTATAAGTATGAAAAATGCCACAGTAAGTTGAATTACTTCTTTGAATATTTCATGTTTTGTGTTAACTTATAAACATGTTACACATGACAAAAAAAAAATTTATATGGATTTGGAATTTTTTGGCATATCTTTGTTGTTCCACTATCTATTTGAAGTGTTAAGGTAGTCTATCCCTTCAGATAAAACTAAATTAAGTGACTTTTAAAGGTAGATATACTTACATCACAATAAACACATAAAACATATGTCACCATATTACTTTTACTACCAGGGTCACATACGGATACATACTTTGGCACTACTTTTTTCCAGATTTTGATAATTTTGAGGAATTAAACATTTTGTTCAGTTAATTACCTTTAAAACATAATAGATCTATACAAATAGCGTAAATACTATTAAAATGCATAATATGATGCATACCTGTCCTGGCAAAATTGTCTTCAAAACCATTTTTTCCTTCATTTTTCAGTTTTATGGGGAAATCATCTGATTTTTTCAATTTCAAAAAGTACAAACATGGCCTACCTTCAGGCTGGCGTTTTTTATTATGTAATTACCAGTTCTTCACTCCATTTTAAAAAGTTCTATTTTAGAATCTGACATAAATATGTTATTAAAAGGGAACAAAAAGAATGCAGTTCTGGGTTTTTCTCCCCTCCCCCATTTTCTTTAATTATGACTGTCCACATTCTGCATAATTGCTCATAATCATGATCATACTATAAGTAGCACAAAGTCTACAATACTGATATCCATGTTTATAAACCTCTGCTGAGCGACCATCATGTTTTTCTACTCTTATTTAATAAATTGATCATATTAAATTTACTTTGTTTACAAAATTTTTCACCCTTATCTGTAGGCTTTGTTTTGTGATTAGCACACACTCCTAAATGCCAAAGTGAAATGTAAACTCTAAAACTGGATATAGATAGCGAACGACTCTAAAACTGGATATAGATAGCGATGACTCTAAAACTGGATATAGATAGCGTGTTATATCAAACGAAACAGATTAAGGGTCAATCTATGTTAAGGATAATAGTTTTAGTATTTGAGCACCATTCACATCAAATCTTGACTAAACTGTAACCTCATAAAGATCTTTTTTATGAGTATGTTGGTTTTTCAAATTGATTGAAATTAACATGTAGATGTGGTGATTTTCAGTGTATCCAGAATTATGTTTCTGTTTTGTGTGAACCCTATATACTGATAGGTGTAATCAGATAATTTCCAGTCAGGTTTTAAGTTTTTAATTTTCATTGTGATCTCGTTTCAGGCCATCATTGAGTTTGCTAAGAAGAGAGAAATCCCTCTGGTAATAGATGCTGTAAGTTTTCCCTGTTTAGCATTTAATTCAGGTTCATACATGTATTACAGTTACATTACAAATGTTCAGTATTGTAATTTTGCAAGTTTTACTGTATTTTCTGCACATTCTTGTCAAGTAACTTATTTTTCATAATTGCAAAATCATATGAAAGAAAATGTCTAATGGTTACCAATGATTTTTTGTGGAATCTGAAGTAGAAAATGCTACTATAAGTTCTGGAATATTTAAATGAGAGTGAATCCATAGTGATCTGTTCTTGTATGTCTGTTTCGGTCTCTCTACATCATCTTGGTGTTCAATTTCAGTTTCTAATTTCTAAGTTTAAACTTGTGTTGTTTTGACAGGATGGCTTGTACCTATTACAACAAAACCCTGGAATCATTTTTGAGTACACAAAAGCCATCCTTACTCCAAATGTGGTGGAGTTCAACAGACTTTATGAAAAAGCAGTAAGTCTTCGAATATTGAATCAAACTAGTCAGGTTTTAGTACTCAGTTGACCAAATAGCTTGTCAAATGGTGACCTCAGTAATTATGGTGACAAGAAACAACCAATTTAATTTATAGAGTGGAAACCTCTTAATGTGACATGGGTTAATGTCTTTTTCCACTTAATATCATGTTTTCTTGAAACATTGATTTTTATGGCCCATAATGTTACATTTGTCTGTCCTGTCTGTCCATACATCTGACTGTCGGGTATTGTTTCTGCACCATAACTTCTGTATGCCTCAGTAGCATTAAATGATATTTTGCATGTATACTAGAATATTAAAAATCTAGGCCAAGTTTGATTATCACTAATGAGGGCCCCACATCAAAATGTGGTTGCCCTGTAGTAATAAACTTGTCCGCTTGTCTCAGCTGTCTGTCCATCCGCCCACCTGGCGATTGCCCATGTTCCTTATGGCCTTCCTGTCCATCCATCCATCTGACAGCCGGTTTTGGTTACTGCACCATTACTTCAGGATGCCTCCATAGAATCAAATAATATTTTGCATGTATGTTGAAATATTAAAAATCTAGGCTAAGTTCGATTTTAGCAAATTTGCTACCAGAGTTATGGCCCTTTCTTTTCTTACAACCTAAAGAATGCTTGAACATTTTGCATGTGTGTTGAAGAGACATGTCAAACTTTGTATCTACTCACAGACCAGACATTATATAAGGAGATATGAACATGAGTCTTTCCTACATACTTTACAGACCATTCCATAGTGTATCTTGCATAGCAACAGTGACAATTGCTGCACAGTTTAAAGTATGCATACCTTTTGTAGTCTCGATGTTACTTGTGTTTTAAATTGCTTAAACTCCTTGATTTTGATAAGACTCAAAAGTCATTTGTATTAATTTTTCGGTCATCTGACCCATAGGTTCATCAATGAAAGTGGAGAATCATTTCTTAAATTCAGAAAGTTGATTTGATCCCTAGAGGCTCCAAAAAGGGAAGTAACACAATATTTTACTTCGGAATGGATTTGATCCAGATTTAGTGTGAAACAAGACATCGTTTCTTAATTGAAAGTGGAGAATCATTTCTTAAATTCAGAAAGTTGATTTGATCCCTAGAGGCTCCAAAAAGGGAAGTAACACAATATTTTACTTCGGAATGGATTTGATCCAGATTTAGTGTGAAACATCTTTGAGAGCGAGGAATCGTTTCTTAAATCTAAACATGTCATAAGAAGCAATCTTATTGATTTAATGATGCATCTAATGTTTTAAAAATATGGAATTAAACAGGCATTCTGGCTTATGCAACAGAGGATGACTGTTGACAGGTCCCATGAGATGTCGCATACTCATCAGCCTCAAGTCCCTGGCTTTGTTGATAAGAAAAACTATAATGTGCAGAAAAAGCATAATATATCATATTGGAATGTATATTACCTACTGTTGTACACCCATGGGTATATGTAGCTACGTCATGCATTAAACTGCCCGCTGCTGTCCGATTGGCATCATTTGGTCCGTCAGCCCAGTGGATAAAACCTTTCCAATACAGAACTAACATGTTTATTACTTTCAGAAATTTCCGCTATTTGTAATGTATTAATTAAAACCAACAAGTATATGTTGTTTAGGGAATACATGAACAGCTTAAATGAAATTTTTTGATTTTCTAACATGGTAACTAACAAAAAGCCACATGATTTAAGGAAGCAAGTTAATACATGCAAGCCATGAACAATATAGATACGTGTATATTTGGTTCCTATTACACCTGGTTGAATTAACTGCAGTGTAATATTTGAAGTGTATCCCTTTATTGAAATTAAGATTAATGCAAAACTCAATAGAACACTTCTTTTGAGGGATTTTTATGCTAATGACAGACCATCAATTTAATCAATCAGCTTTTAAATAACCCCATACATCAGTAATACCAATTTGATTCTGGAAACATAAGGTTTTAAGGTAAACTTTTATATAGATAAGACAGGTTTATATTAAACATTTGGCTTGGGTGCCTTAACAAATTATCTACATACTGGAAAATATGGTACTTGTAATGTCAAATATTGTAAGACACATGTATATTAATACTATTATGATGTCATAAATAAGGCTCATCTTGATGAATCACATGACTGTCTCAGTAGTGGCAAATGTACTATCTACATCAAAATGAGTTTTTCTTCAAGGGAAAATTTATTTGAGAGTTTTTGTGCATTTTTCAGAATATCTGATAAATAGAATAAAAAAAAGCTTATGACATTTCAAATTATCTAATTTGAAAAAAAAAATTAATAAATAAATTCCATAAAACATTGGCACTGATGTAAGATGCACAATTTAACAATAACTGTTGATAATGAAAAGAGGTAGGAGAATCAGTTAAACATACTGAGATCCAAATTTGAAGTCTTAAATCACAAAATTCACTTTAGGATGGGGTAAGTAAATTACAAAAAATCAAGACAGATATTGATATAGTCTGACTGAACTTACATGATTTAGTGTCCCTTATTTACAAGAGAACAAAATTGATTTGATTATCTCCCTTAGAACAATCCAGCATTATGTAGAAAAAATGGTACAAAGACCTTTGATGGTCCATTCTGCTGTGATGCTACTGTTGATGGCATAAAACTTTCTTGGCGAGAGATGTCTGCAAAATTTATTTAAAGATAAAATTCAAAATTTAAAATTCAATTCAGAAGTTTATAGTGATATCACTTGATGGGTGTTAATATAAAGTCAGTGTAAGTAGATCTCTTCATAGACATTGATACTAAAACATCTTTGCTCTGAAGGATTACAGTGAAAACTCTGCATAATTTAGTGTACTTTATTTACAAGAAAACCAGATTGATTTGATTATCTCCCTTAGAACAGTCCAGCATTATGTAGAAAAAAATGGTATAAAACCTTTTGGGGGTACCATTCTACGGTGATATTACTCGCTGTTGATGGCATGGAACTTTCTTGGCAAGATATTTCTGCAAAATTTGTTTAAAGATAAAATTCAAAATTTAAAATTCATTTCAGCTCAGTTCTTTTCACAAAATAATGCCTGGTAGAATAAGCAATTTTGAGAATGACATGACTTATTTTCTCAATTACTGTGTTTCAATAGTAATACCCTTGGAAAACATAGAAATAAAATATAGATAATGAAGATTTTATTTGTGTCTATTTCTTACATTTGTTTGCTTGTGTCTGATGAACATGCTGTGGAAAACTACAATATACAAATATCGACAACACAATAACTGCCCAAACGATTCGGGTCATTACTTCCAATTATGTTATGTCAGAAAAGTTTATAGTGATATCACTTGATGGGTGTTAATATAAAGTCAGTGTATGTGGATCTCTTCATTATTAATGTCAAGTTATAAAAATAAGCCAGACATTGATACTAAAACCTCTTTGCTGTGAAGGATTACAATGAAAACTCTGCAGGATGTATGAGAAGAGTTGACTTGGTTACATAGCTGAGTCACTTCATGTTGGGTTTTGTTCGTTTGATTTCAGATATTTGATAGCTTCATTGGTAGTGTGTGTAATTTATTGAATTTTGTTGATGCAAATATCTCTTTTTTTCAGCTGCAGTATTCGTGTATATTACACAATTGTACAAATAAAAAAGTGCTCCTGGACATTAATGGGAAGTTAACTGCCCCACTGACGACTTTTATGAGGTCACTGGGTTATTACCAGTCGCCATTGGACTTGATTGAGCAATGCTAGGTGAGGGGGAGGGGAATTAAATTGAGACTGTTTATTGAAAAACTAGTTCCTGTACAGAAAATTCTCATTCCTTAGCCAGGTCATTGGTGTTACCATTAAATATTCATTATTCATTTCATTGTTTCCGGCATGAAGGGACACTAATGTAGATTGATGTCTGCCTTGCCAAACTCTGTAATAAGGTTATATAACCAGTTGATGGGTATATTTACTTTTATATGGTACATCACTACCATCCTTCTGTTCATTGTTTGATTCTGTGATACATATGTTGAAATATATGGCAATAACCTGTACGTTAAAATTTTGCTCAACTTTGAAATCTTTTCATGGTAATCAAACAGATGCAGTGAATAAGGTTTGTAGAATAATGGTGGATTGTGATAAGGTGTCCTGTAAAATTGTCTTTAATGTGTTTTGTTGTGTAACATTATGGTGGATTTAATGAAACAATGACATACAATTTCTATTGCAACTGAAGTTTTACTTGGTTGACTGACTCTGTTTACCTGTCCCTCACAGTTTTTCTGATGTAATCTCATATCTGATGTCTGTTCAGGTGGTGATGTAGACAAGTTTATTGTTAAAGTTAAATGCACATTGGTTTCAGGCATTATTTCAACTTTCATATTTGAAAGATTTAAAAAAAAATATGAATAATTTCTTAATCTTAAAAATAAAAGTATCAATTTAAAACAAAAACTAATAGCTTGCTCATTGAAAAAACTTTCACATTTAGATGTGAGCACAAGATAAAAACCTGATGTCAAGAAAGAAAAATGTTCACCTGTTAATTGATTAATCTTGAGGGATTTTCTTGAAAAGTACAGTTGTCACATTTCAGTTCTCGTGAGCTAAAAAAAAAATCGTGATTTTCTTTAACACCCATTGAAGGTTGTTTTTGGAAACACTTGTCTGTATCTTGTTGGTTTGTTGATTAAAAGTGTGAGTATTTGAAAAACTTAATTAAAATCAAGTAGATGAGATTTTAATTAATTAGAAATCAATACAACTGTGTGAAGAATCTCATTGTTTTAAATCAGAGTTGACCTGATCACATTTTGTGCATTGATCATGATGCTAAGGTAATAGAATCAGTTCAACTTGGCCACGTTTTGTCTAGGCAAGACTTGGGAGCTGATCTTGCTTCAATACTGGAATCAAATAGCTGTCTGGTCAATTAGTACAAAATCCTCTGAATGTGAAACAGGGGCATAAATCATGAGATTTATCTCCCTTAGAACACAAT